TTTGTGATATAATATCAAAACAAAGAATTGAGTCTAAATGAATGTATTCAGTATAGAAAGTGTCGAAAGTATATGTTTTCTCTTTTTCTTGTTGTTAAAAAGTCAATTGCAACAAACTCTATATATATCAGATGAATAGACTGAAGTAAAATATACCATAGATAAAGGAGATATAACGTTTTACCTAAACGCATTGGAAAGGAGAAGGGGGGGGGGGCGTTAAACTTGATTATCCAGAGTATGTGAAAGTATAACATTTCCACTTCTTTGGCACTGTTATGGATGAGTACTTTTTTGTTAGTTTTACACTGTCAAAAGCATAATCAGATAATTCATTATACCAAACGATTTTTTACAGTGACTATATACACTGAGGCCTTCGGCCTCAGAGTGTATGGAATAAAACCCGGGATAAATCCTCGTACATCCTTGATTGGACCTGTATAACTACATGTAATAGTGTTCATCGTCATATGAATTTATTACCGTTACAATGTAAAAGTCAATACCATTATGCTTTTTTTTCCGTTCGATTGCACCTTCTCCCGAATTGATAAAACCAAAACAACAATTAGCAGATGTAATACCGAAAAACTCAAAAATTCTTTAACGTTCATCAAAATTTTATAGTGAATACTATACAAATGTACAAACCAGCAAGCGACCCTGACAAAAGTTAACAGTAGTTGAATATTACACTATAGTTTACTGAAATACATTCCTTGATACTTTGATGTACTATGAAACTTAGAAACTATAGTAGAGTTTCTTTACTATAGAACCTTTATTAACTGTGGAACGTTCGAACTTTTTTTGTGATTTGCAGCATAAATATATATGAATTCCACATCAATGATGGTAATGTTGGAACTAATACTTTGATATGCAAGAAATATTTTCTTTAAATATAGAGAAATTTCACTCGGGAAAAGTAATTTTGTAATTAAAACAATTTGAATTTCATAGTAAAAAAAGAATTTGATTTAGTACAAAAACCATATCTGCTTGAACTTTCAGTAAGGCGTGACAATCTCGGCGATACATAATTAGTGTCTCTCAAATGGTGACCTAGATTCTCATTGGTTAAGAAATTCATAACATTAGTAACTTCAGATTGTTGTTTACAAACAATGAGATGACATAAGCCACACCTCTTTACTGTAAGAAACGATAAAACCGGTTCCTTGACGTCTGAACCATTTTTATTCCATGTGTATTTCACCCGTGAATGAAAAGCTGTGTAAATTTCAGTGTTGATGAGCTAATCTGGCAACCAATGAGAATCTAGGTCACTATTTGAGAGACGCTAATCATGTATAGCCGAGAATATCAAGCTGAAAGTTCAAGCAGAAATGGTATTTGTACTACTATGGTAAAAACTTTGATTTAGTAACTTTGATACTTTGATTTACTATATGAATACTTTGATAGGATACTTTGATTTACTATAGTACTTAAGTTTCCTATAGTGAATTATAGTTTACAATAATATATTTATGTAAGGGAACAGCTGTTCTCACGGTTTTTCACCTTGAAAACCTTTGCAAAAATCTGTTTTATTTGAATAATGTATGGTTGTAAACATAATGTATAACTTGAACATGTATTATGTGATACAAAAACACAGTATATTTGCTGGCCACGTAAACGTAAATATTGGTTACGGACATATTTGACACAATATCCAAACATGGTAGCATAAGCAAATGATTTTCATAATATGAATCACCCTGTACAAAATACCTAGAAGTCATGAATGAAATTATTAGAACTTATGAATCACATATTTAATATTTAACTAGATTTTGCAAATAACTTTACAACAAAAAATATGATATCACATTTTATTTACATTACATTAACATGAATTGCTGCTGAAATCATCATGATAAAGAAAATATACCTCTTGCTTCTGTGTGTACTTTTAGATGAGGGAAGTTAAGATGTAAAAATATGAAACCTGCATGTTAATTAAAATTTTGTATTAAAGATTGATTTGAGATCACTTAGGTTAGCTGTATCATACATTTGAGTACTGCCTTGATTTCAGGAAAACATGTTCATCTGCCTTAATACCAAACCATGTCAGAAATTAGTTAGTAATCAGTTGAAATGATTGCATAAATCAACAAGAGTCCTATGGGCCACATCGCTTACCTGAGCACTTTGGCTAAGAACCCCTCCCCCCCCCAGAAAGTTCAGTATTTAAAAGTTTGAAAAAATACATGTAAGTGGTCCCAACTTACCACCCCCACTCCCCCCCCCCAACACCGGATGATTTGTTCGCTAATTGAGAATGCTTCCATATAAAGATTACTAATCATGGCTTAACAATATTTCTAAAGATTTTTTTCCTATACGTTTGATCTTCTTTGGTGGCCCCACCCTACTCTCAAGGGACATGTTTTGAACAAACTTGAATCTATACTACCTGAGAATGCCTAATAATATGACTAATCGTGGCTTTCCTGTTCTTGAGAAAAAGATTTTTAATGATTTTTCTTTTATATTCCATTGTACAACTTTGATCCCCATGGGGTCATGATTTGAACAAATTTGAATCTACATTCACCCTGAGAGTGCTTCTTTATTGATATGACTAATCATGCCTTGCTGTTTTTTTGTGAAGAAGATTTCTTAATATGTTTTCTTCATATTCCAATGCATAACTTTGATCCTCTCTTGTGGCCCCGCCGTACCTTTGGGGGTTATGAATTGAACAAACTTGAATCTACAATACCTGAGCTTGCTTCTGAATTAATATAGCTAATCATGGATTTGCTGTTCTTAAGTAGAAGATTTATAAAAAATATTTCCTATATATTCCCATGTAAAACTTTGAACGCACATTGTGTCCCCACCCTAACCCCTGGGGTGATGATTTGAACAAAGTGGAATCTACATTACTTGAGGATGCTTCGGTATTAATATTACTAATCATGGCTTTGCTGTGAATGAGAAGAACAGGTTTTAATATGATTCCTTTATATTTCCATGTTTAACTCTGATCTCCTGTTTTGGCTTAACCATACCTTTTGGGGTTATGAATAGAGAAAACTTGAATCTACAAAGCTTGAGCTTGCTTCTGCATTAATTTGACTAATTAGGGATTTGTTGTTCTTGAGAAGATTTTCAAAGACATTTCTTATATATTCCTATGTAAAACATGAACGCACATTGTGGCCCCACCCTACCCCCCGGGGTTATGAACAAGCTTGAATCTACACTACCTGAGAATGCTTCCATATAAGTATAACTAATCACGGTTTTGCTATTCTTGGGAAGGAGACTTTCATATATATTTTTCCCTACGTATTCCTATGTAAAACTTTGATTGCCTATTGTGGCCCTTCCCTACCTCCGGGGTCGAGATTTGAACATATTTGAATCTGCACTACCTGAGGATGCTTCCACAAAAGTGTAATATTTTCTGGTTCAGTGGTTCCTGAGAGGAAAAGAGTTTTAAAAAAGCCATTAATTTTTCAACTAATTCGTAATTATCACTCCTTGGAAGAAGGTGTGGCCTTTCATTTGAACAAACTTTATTCCTCTTTACCCAAGGATATTTGTGGCAGGTTTGGTTGAAATTGACCCAATGATTCTTGAAAAGAAGTCAAACATGTGGAAAGTTTACAGACAGATGAATACCTGACAAAATATGATCAGAAAAGCTCACATCAGTTTTCTGCTCAAGTGAGCTAATAACGACCATTGATATTGTTCAAATACAGAAATTCATGATAGAGCTCGGCAAAACACTGACCCCTGGAAATACAAGATGTGGGATCAGGTATCAGATGAGTAAGCATCTCTTGTCGATCGGTCACACCTACCGTGAGCCTTATGTCTATGTAAACGATTATCAGTTGGAAAAGGCTTAAGAATATGTATGAAAATGTCAATCAACATTCGACCCAACGACAGTTTGAATTTGCAAGCAAGGGTATTGCAATGCACTATTAGGAAGAGTCCAAGTTTTTTTTTTTTAACCTTAGCACAAATTAATTTGCAATTTTCAAATTTATTAGTATACCAATGATATGTCTCTGAATGGTTCTTTGCCTTTGAAAAAGCAACTACAGCTTTTCATTAACAAACAGTACTATGACCTTTCAAACAAAACAATTCGGATGTCATTGCAACATGTTCATCTAGCCGTTTCATGTTTTCGCTAAGCTACCGTGACAGGTACGAAAACATGTAGAAAAAAGGTGATATAGTAGTTTCTTCTTATGTTTTTTGTACCAGTCACGAAAACAATAGTGGTAGGGAGCTCACTTTGTGATTGAGAAGACCCGTTACGATTCTCATTTTTCGCGCAGCATCAAAACTCAGAAGTAAACAAAGGTAGCGATTTTTCCTTCAACAGATACAAGGCATGAAACTGAGAGTCATCGGTATATCGGATGAAACTTTAAAAAAAACCAAGGTCCCGTGTCACGATTGGATTTGGCGCGCTAACGAACCCTCACTGCTCAAAAGCTCTGAGTGCCGAGTAAAGGTTTTAATTCGAAGAACATCACACGTATATGGTGACGTTTCTATGTGAGTGAAGAATGTTAGAATGGTAAAGGAAAACAACATAAAATCAATCAACCTACGTTTTCTCAATGGGAATAGCTATTAGTATAAAATTGTTTGCTTCTAAATCCATTTTTTCTGCTTATAACCTTTAGATACATGATTTATGGTAACAAGTATCTCCAGGTCAAAAAATTGTAATGATCAAAACCTATTTAATTTTTTACAATAGAAATAATTGTATGTGACTAAAAATATCTATCTGAAATACTTGAATAAATGCACTTTATGGCTAGTGTATGCTATTAATTACTAATTATTATAATGCAATGAATTTGTAAAAATAATTTTAGTGCATAATACATATTTACTCCCCAAATGCTTCAATTAAAATAATTTTTTTTTAAAATGCTATGAATTATTTATAAAACACTTAACCATTGTTGTGCGAGACATACTGGCTAAAACCTTGTATAAAGCTACTTTTCAAAATAAATCTGATCATATTTGGAATTATCTTCATCTGTATCTGCTATTGTCAGATAAATATTCGCTCTCCTAGGATCATATGAATTTCGAGATGCTTCAATGTTGTCACTTGCCTCAGAGGTGTTCATGATTTCATTTTGGTATATACATTCGTCTTTTTCTGATAAACTAGTTGTGCCTTGAGAACCGGTACCGTCTGTATCAGTGACTGTTATATCTTGGTTATTTTCCGTATTAAGTACAACGTCTTTATCCTCTAAAATATTCAGACAATCTTTTGTATTTAAAGTATTAACATGATTAATGCATGTCAAATGAGAAAGATTGTGTTATCCTACTTCCATATACGTTCAGAATCAACAGAATCAAGGCTTGGGTGTAAAGCAAGTTATAATTTGTTAAATTTAAATCGAAAGATTTTGTGGAATATTTAATAAATTTCAAAACTGAGAAAATTGACATTGCCGAAAAAATAGCGTTGGTATGCTAAAAATCAATAAAATGGTACCGTAGTGTTTCCGATAGATAAATTTTTGTGAGCATCTGCAGATTTTCTTGCTTATTAATCTGAAAGAAATTTCACATTATTTAATACCAAAATCCCCAAAATCACCAGTCATGAAATAAAGTTCTTAAAATCTTGCAGAGACATGGACTAACATGATAATCAATAGTAATTATTATTAGTGGAATTGTTCCAATGCATTAATGAAATAAAATATATAGCCGTATTCAAAATGATACTCATATTCTCCACAAATATTCTTACCTTAAACCTCTGCTTTCGAATAGAAAAAAGAAAATAATGCTTAAAAATTTGCACTACTCTGAACTTTCATTCATTAGATTTTTACCTGAACAGCAATACTAAAAGCACGATGCCGGACAAAAGAACTAAACTAACTACAGTAGCACCAATACCAATGCCAAACCACTGAGTACTTTTTGGATCATGTTCAATCTCCGTGCTATTTGGAGCTATAGAATAAAAAAAAAAACAATCAATAAATCTTTACAATGATATGAATGTGATTGAGCTATGACTTCAAATGAACTCAGAATTAATAAGCAGTTTAAAGGAAAAGGGAAAAAACGAAGTTCATTTGAAAACAAGTCATTCAATCATCATACCCTAATTTAATGTCCATTTCCTAAAACATTTTTAAAAAGAATTCAAAAATGATAATAGAAAAGGCGGATCAACATAAAAAATATTCATATAGGACCAAACAATTAAGTTCCTTCTAAAAGCATATTTTGTAGAAAGTTTGCCCGATTTTTTTTTTTTTTTTTTTTTTTTTTTTTTTTGCTGAAAATTACACTCTTGTAAATCATTGTTGTCAAGTTGACAATAAATGTTTGACTTAAAAGGTTTCCAAACAAAGGATATTCGATGTACAAAATAACAAAAAATTAAATGCACTTTGTATTTTTCTTCTCTTCACAAAATTCTTTAAATAAGTCATTCTGAGGAAGGAAAAAAGTTATAATTATAAAGTCCTAACATTTCTTTTTGTTGCTTTTTCGAATAAATTACAAACATAAAGAAAAGTTATGATTTAACCTCCTACATCCATATGTAAAATATGAAAAACCGTACGATGCTACCTTTTCGCAATTGAGCAATCGACGCATTAACAATAAAAGAAAGTTCAGAGTGATATTGCAGAAATTAAACGTTGTGATAAAGTCTTGTGGAATAACTCTTAATTATTGAATTCTGGTTGTTACACGCCATTTGATTGGATAAAAAATTACTTCATATCGTCAAAAAACGCATTAACCCGCCTAGCTATACATTTAAATTTTCCACAATATGGAATACGTTTTAAGGGCAATCATTTGTTTTCTTTCATGAAATGAATGGATTTTAAATTATAAGGAATGAATTCAATATCTTCTAAATTTATAAACTTGATTGAAACAGTTTATTTGTTTATAACCCGTCTCGTGTTGAATTGAAAATGAAGAAAGTGGGACATTCTGTTTTATTTACCGATGAATTGCAGGTACTTGAACATTCTCGTACAAAATAAAAAGTATATGTCTGAAGAATGGCCGACGAAAATCAGCTATCCGATTGTTCTAGGAACGGAAACTGTCTTATCCTGTGCATTTTTTTTTATTGAATTAAGTATGTGCTATAGAAATTTATAACACTTACGGAAGGAAATTTAATCATTTTAAGGTATTTTGAAGTTGTCTACAAAAGTGCTTGGCCAATTCTCGAATGGAACGTTAAACAAAAGACAATCCAATCAATTAATCTTACAATATCATCTTTAATTTACAAATATTGAACATTGTTTACCTGGAATTGTGCATCTTTCGTCAACAAAATCTCCTCTACAGCCTCCAAAGCATATTCCGTTGTGTGTGCTGCAAGCCAATAATAGACAATTTCTACTGCAAAGTTTGTTGCAGTTAGAACCGTAATATGTTGGCACGCAATCTGAAGTTAATTAAATCAGTATCAAATATTTGTATATACATGTAAACTTTACTTTGCTGTGGAATTGATTGATGCATGTGAATTGTATAATTCATTAGTTGTGCATTCCAAAAAACGGCAATAAAATGAATAAATCCAATGAATGGGTAAGTAAAGCATCTCAAAAGAAAATAAATTCTGCATTATAAATCTCTAAATTAAATTTTGGAAAACAAATTTCTTGAATCTTACTGTCGCAAAATGGTCCAGTCCGGTGTGATTTACAACCTCTAGTGCACACACCGTTTTCCAAGCTGCAAATTCCTCCTCTACAAAAAGGGCTGCAGGTTTTATCACAAAACACGCCGTAATATCCATTTCTACATCCACTGCAAGTACCAGTTAATCTGTCGCAAGATTTTGGGTTACAGTTAGAGGCACATTGATAGTCACATTGGTATCCATAATAAAAGTCTGTACAACTGTTAGTACAAGTCCCATTTTCTTGAAAACATGTATTTCTCGAACAGTGCTCATTACAAACTGACATACATTTATATCCCCAGAACCCCTTTTTGCATCCTTCTGTGCAGTATTCACCAGAGGGATTGCACACGCTGTTTAAACAGTTTCCACTACATGCTGTAAAAAATAATCCATATGTAAATTTCATCATGAATAAGAAAAAATTCAGAAGATTACGATTTTTTACATGGTTTTGTCATTCAATGCAATTCAATATTTTCTACTGAACAGTTGAAAATTGCATGTACATACGACAAGACCCGTTAATAATGTTGCATGTTAAGCAACCAGGACATGCTGAACAGGATTCCCCATAGCTTCCAATACTGCAACCTTAAAAGAAGATTTCACTAGCTGTGTATAGATTTCTTATATTATGATTTTTACTTGATAACATAAAGAATTATTAATCGTTACCTTTTCTATGAAAATGGTCGATATGATTTTTCGAGATAGAAAAATACATAAAATCTATTATTTTATCAATATATATACTGTAAACATAGACATTTGATAATCTTTTAAGCTACCACTCATGCATTTTCTCATGCTAGTTAAACAGCAATTTTAAAGGATGCATTCTATTGAGTTAATTTGAATTGAACTTTTTACAATTTTGGGTTTTATTTAAATGTCATCATTATTTAAAACAACATATGATAGAGAAAAATATAAGTTAATAAGAATATTTTTTAGATAAAATCGTTAAAAATATGGCCCATGATTCAAGAATTTCTTTTTCTGAAAACACGTTATCTACATTTAACATTTCTCTTAATTATTTAATACAGGACTATCGTGACAGCAAAGAATCAAAATATAAATATATAATAGAGGTTAGTGGATGCTTATACACCTCAGAATAATCAGTATTTTACATGCTGAAAAAAATATTACATCAAAACTTTTCACTCCCAATATTAAAAAAAAAAGCGAGGAGATCATCAAACATTCAATCTTTCTTTATAACTGCCTTTACAATATATTACTATGCTTTATATAAGTCTTTATTTAATAACGCCATATCAAAGATATATACCGCATTTATTTTTGAGAAATTCGAAGATTTATTAGATTAATACGTGAAGTTGGGCAGAAAAGTAAATTCTATTCAATGTGATCCTCGGTGATATTGTATACTTCACACGTCCTGTAATTTGATTGGCTTAAATTGGTTATGTCTATCACATCCTTAGTTTTCAACAAAAGAGGATGAAATTTAGAATATAAATACGTATTAGGGGTTCTTACATTTTGCTACTATGAAGAATGAATGCAAGGCCATGTCTGTACGACGACACTGCGCATGGATGAGAAAAATGAATAATATAATTGAAACAGCTTTTTTTCCTATTATTTTCATAAACTGCTTTAAATTCTAAAAGTAAATGTTCACAACTTAGATGTATGAAAAAGATTATATCATTGAATGAAGGAATTCTTCAAATAATGCGTATGCAAGTGCGCAAAAGTTTGATGGGCTGAAACGTTTAATGGGTACAACTTTCTCAGTTTTCATGAAAACAGAATGAAGTTTAGAATATATAAAAATGTAATGAGTTCTTAAATAATGATACTATAAAATTGAATGGGAGTACGTACATTCACGTTTACTGAATTCTGATTGGCTAAAACTTAAATGATTCTGACTATTTTTTTTTTTTTTTTTGCAATTAACTTCTTTGATATTTAATGCATAGGTACATGTATGATGAATTGAGAACTTGAAGAAGATGTTTGTGATAAATCTAGAAAGCGTGTGCAAGCAAACGTTCTGAAATCTGATCGACGCTCTTTTCCGAGTAAAAAAGTTTGAAAAATGAAGTAAAGATCGATAATACTTTTGTTTGTTTGTTTATATGTTGTTTAACGTCCCTTTCGAGAATTTTTCACTCATATGGAGACGCCATCACTTGCCGATGGAGAGCTGCAAATTTTGTCCTATGCTCGGCACTTACGGTCATTGAGCAGTGAGGGATCTTTTTCGTGCCAACACCTAATGCAACACGGGACCTCGGTTTATACGGTCTCATCCGAAGGACCGGTCTCCACGTCCCACAGTGGGATTCGAACCCGCGACGTAAGGATCAACTCCTTACTTCGCGACTCTAGAGCAAACGCTCTAACCACTGCGCCACGCGGGCGACGATAATACTTTTGAATTGCCTGATTTAACCTGATTAAACGAAGTTTGTAGAGTAAAGAGAACCATAACGAAGTGGGGGGGGGGGGGGGCGTTTGGGGAACATCTGTAACGGTTTGTGTTACAATTAGCATAGTTTAAATAATTTTTTTGAAAACAAGATGATATTATATTCAATAAAGAGGCATCATTTTTTTTCCTTCCAAATAAATAGATACTTGTAGATGAACCAAAACTTTTATAGTTCTCGATAACCAAATGATCAATCCATAATTTCAACAATTTGAATATACAGTACGAAGTGGATTCAACTTTATAAAATGCCGCCATTCATTCTTGTGCATGCCAATACATGTTTCAGGATAACTTCTCTTTCCCTAACACGCACGGCACATTCACTGACAAGTGGGCACGTTTATAAAAATTATGTATGTTCATGAAAATGTTTTTACTAGGATTGTTCGTGAGCAATGGTATTTTTGTCAAAGTAATTTGTCCTATGTATAAGCATTGTATAACATTTTTAAGAAAAAAAATTCAAGTTGGAATAGTTTGGCTTTGATTTTATTTGCCCGCGCTGTGGTAGGTATATGTCTAAATTTGCAGCCCTCCACCAGCAAGTGGTGGCTTGCAAGAAAACAACAGCAAGAAATATGTCTTGAAAAATGTTAAAAAATGCAACGCTAGCAATCCGAAAGGAACTATGTCCAGTCATTAAATTATATATTGATATGGATAAAACGGCATCAGAGACAAAATCATTATTCAGTCAACTGGAGATACTCGGAGTATTTCTAGTTCACTGACTTGCAATTGATAACGGTTTTTGATGGTGTGTATAATTTTGGATTGGGCCTTGCAATTGCAGCCTAAATAAACGAAGTATTTGTACTAATGATGATTAAAGGTATTGCAGCTTGTTTAAGTTTTATTTTTTTCTTTTATACATGTATATAAATTTACTCGATCATGGTCTGTATTAAAGTATCATCGTGTACATTTGGCAGTGTAGCATTCAAAAGAAAAAATAACTTGTGTCAATGAACAAGCGATATGAATACAAAATCCCTATTTATGACTTATAATAAAACTAGCTGAAAGTTATACTGGATTGTGTGTTTTAAATTAAAATAGTATGCATACTGATAACATTTAAAACAAATACACATTGTTTATACAGCAGTGTAGACATTATAAAGCAAATTATTGCATGTGCCCACGAACTTTTTTTAGACAAGTTTCGTTTAGAAATTTCAGGATGATAAGAAAAATATTTTACCGAACACTTCTATTTCACAAATTTCGAGTACAGGTCCAGATTCAGTATCCTCTGGTGCATCATATGTTGTCTCTACGATGACATATCTGGCTGTTTAATGACAGTTGATGTCAATGATATCTGAGGGTGTGTCAGGTGCTGTAGTGTTGTCTGTGTAACATCGAACTCTCTGTGGTGTCAGTGTGGTAGAGGAATTTGCAGATTTGTTCGATACGTCTAGGTAAAACTGACGAAAACGATAAGGGGGCCAGCCAGCTATTGAAGAAAAGTATGATTTGAGAAAAAAATATTTTTCTATTAAACAGTAGTATTGTTTGTTATAGACATATTTGGCATCGGGTATCAAACATTTCAAATGGAATTCGTCAACCTAGTTGGCCTGAAAAAAGAAAAACTAACAAAAATGGTATTTTTGATGTGCCAAGGTGAGCAATGCATATATTGTTTATTTATGGCAAATTTGCAGTTCTACATCTTACACTGAGTTTTCTCTTCATTAAAAAAGAGCCTCTACAATAAAGGTACAAAGTAAAAATGGAACTCATAAATATACATACTTTGTCATTTGCAAAATTATTTTGTTATAAAGCATTCTGATTGTACACACAAGTACTCTGAAGTTGATAGTAAAAAGATTGAGTTTCTGATTGATCTATGTAGTTTTTGGAGATCAGGTCTTCCAACAATCTGTTGGAATTCCCGTGGGTACCAATTGCGCCCCATTATTAGCAGAAAGAAAACACTTGCTGTGGCCTTCAACTAGTCATTTCAATATATGAAAGACGTATTATCAAATAACAATAGTTACTTTCATTCATATGTCGACTCGATATATCCCAGTGAGCTTGAAATAAAAGATACAACAGAGTCTGACACATCTGTTTCATATCTAGATATTTTACTAGAAAAAGACGTTAATGGTAACCTAACAATCAAGCTTTATGATAAACACGATGATTTCAACTTTTCAATCGTTAATATAACTTCCCTTACTTATGTAGCAATATACCCTTATCACCTGCATATTGGGTTTATGTCTCTCAGTTGATTCGATACGCAAGAGCATGCTCTGCGTATGAACAGTTTCTAAAACGAGGCAAGCTATTGACAAACAAGTTTTGAAGTCATCATTTCGCAAGTTTTATGGTCGATACAATGACCTTGTCAGCACATGCAACCTATCATTGAATCAAATACTGACTGATGTTTTTCATACTAATTGTTAGGCCATTATTTATACACTGAACTGTCTACGGATTTTCTGTTTTTTCCCGATCATGACAAGGAGCACACGGCGGTTGTGACCGGACGGCAGGGGATTCTCACTCCTCCATGGCACCTGATTCCGCCTCTAAGTTTTGAGGTCCATGTTTGCCCTACTTCAAATTTGTATCGTTTCATTGGACTTTCGAGATTGAATACTATTCGTTATCTTTTTATTTCATACAAAACCAGGATTATACATGTAAGGTTTTATGTTTGGTTCATGATAGTAAAAGCAAGGATTTTTTTTTTTTTTTTTTTTTTTTTTTTTTTGTCCAAAGTACATCTACTTTCAATTACGATATGAGGGACTGAAATGGTTTATTGAAATAACGAATATAGATAGCAATAGTAGTTACTTTTTAAAAAATTGATTTAAATTATCGGCATGAAATATCAATAGCCAGCATCATGAAATGTCTGAAAATAAATTTGAGGAATTATATTTATTTTTGGATTCCTATTTTTCCATGAAAGTTGCACACAGAGTTATTTTGTGCCTTGAAATGTTTCACGCTGTTCCCAAATTATTCATTAAATTACCTGTCATGAACTCTATCATCAGATTGTGACAAATACAGCAAATATATCATGAAAGTCTAGGAAAAATTTGCCCCAATTTCAGCTTAAAATTAACTCTATTTTAGTAATATCTAAAAACTTACATCACAGATTGTACTTTTAATTTTCTATTCTTATTAACTATTCTGCTTAAATTCAGTAAAATCTAAATACTTTAAAATAAATTGTTTGCTTCTTGATTTTTTTATGCCGGAAAAATACATTTTTGTGTGTAGAAATGTCAAATAAATGACTAATCAAAGTAATTTGAAACTTTTTTGTTGTCAAAAAAATTTGGTGTCTATTCAAGAAAAGGTAAGATTGTATTTGTTCCCATACAGGCAATTTATTTGGATAAAAATATTGGAGGAAAAACTTCGAAAAATTAATTCATATGTTAGACGTAATTACAGTGCAAAAAGGTCAAATTAAATGATCCGTAACGCTAAAGTAAGCGTATTATTCCCCATTTTTTGTTGTGATTTTTAATTAAGCTATGTGTGTAGATTCTAAAAATATACTTGATAAAAAAAACCCTTAATAATTTTGATATTAGGATCCAATCTCTTTAAGACACAAATAAAGTGCATAAAGGTCATACTGAATTGATTATACCGAGGAAAGAAGCTCAATGACCCTCATTTTTTTTAGATTAAAATATGAGTGTAGATACTAAAATATACTTGGCAAAACATTCTTCAAACTTACGATAGCAGGATGCAATTGCAATCTCCATAACATATTATGAAAGATTTACATGAAGCTGTCAGTGTAGTGCAGGGCGTAATGTGTGCGCAAATACTTGCATTTGAACGAATATGTCATATATTGAATTACCTGTGATTAGACAAAGCCCAAAAAAAAAAATAATAATAAAAACAAACACACGCCTCACCTACACTCCTGTAGTAAATGTGTACATTTTTCAAGCTATGGGTACTTCCAAGATCCACCTGAACCCAAGCTATGGAACTTTCAAAAGACGTGTGAGAACAAAATTGATATTTATCTTGCATTATGTTTCCATTTATGACTAAGCTTGCATTAAGAATTCCTTGATATGTTGAGCTTTGTAAAGCAGTTGTCCCTGGTTTCCTACTCAGGTTTTCTGAAAAAGAAATGAAATGTAAATGTAGCCGACTTTTCAAAATTTTAAAGTCAATGATCGAGGATCCAGAGCTCGAGATAAAGAAAGAAAAGAGTATTGAATGGTTAATATTTTATGATTCAATTTTTCATATTTCATTCGAGCTTTCACTTATTTGTAAGATTCATTTGTCACACTTCAATGGAACTGATAATGAAAAAGAAGAAAACAAATTACATGTAATAGCATAAATTGCTTAAAATATTTTTTAGATGTAATATGGATTGAAAATTTGTGGTCGTAACAAAACAATGATATCATAAGACTAAATTTTGATCAATGCTATTGAAATGAAATAATAATTCATGCATTTCTTATTATCATTATGTAGATTGTGCACTTTTCAAATTCTTTTCCTTTTGATATTTTTTCTTGTACAAGAGAAAAATTGCTCAGAGATATCATCAATTATAAAACGAAACAATTTAATGCAAAGATAGACATTTATACATCATTTAAAAGGACCTACGTCTGGATAATAAGGAAATTGTCACATTTTTCAATTTTTTTCCTGTAAATAGTAGTAATTTAATGTCGAAACAGAGGAAGAAGAACTTTTAAACATTATTGTTTTAATAATCATGGATTTGCTAAGTGTATATATACGAGGGCTGTTCGGAAATTATTGAGACATTGTGTATATTCTTTCTGATGAACGTTTTTCATTGAAAATTTGCATATACGTTTGACAAACACTAAGAATTAATAAAAACAAGAAATATTTTACAAATATTTTATTTCTTCTTTTCAATGTTATATTTATGTGTCAATGGTAGGGGTACCCGGCGCAGTCACAAAATCAGATATGAAGATATGTAATACCAACGTTCAAACTCCCGATGGGCCCATAGTAAGAGCGGAAATAATTCAATTAAGGTATATAATTTTTCAATTTAATTTTGACTTCATTTTGTGCAAGTTTGATAGAATTTCAATCAGAAATACGGAGATCATAAAAAAATTTAAGCGCGGTATAGAAATCTGATAACGACGACAAAATGGATTTTGACGTCAAGGCGGTGCAACGAGCATACCTAAAATTTTGTGTAGCGCTATGAGGAACTCTTTTCCAGTCTTAATGATCTGCTAAAACAATAACAATGAGAAAAAAAAAAACATGTCTAAGGGTTTGTTTGGTTTTTTTTTTTTTTCATTAGCATATATATTTTTTTTTTCTTGCAAGTAATTCAAACAGAGTAAAAACAAATGCTCCGAACCACCATTTAAAATTACGGACTAAATAACGTTGACCCGCATTGCATAAATCAGTACTACATGATGCTAAGTCAACCTGTATATATGACACTGCACGTATATTTTACACTGGGGTAGCAACATAACACATTTTATTTTATTAATTTTTTAAAAAGAATCGTTTCAACGAAAAGAGACAGTTTGGTTTTTGGAATGTTATATATAATATCAGAGAGAGAGAAGAGTAAACGCTTCCCGATCGATTCACATGCGAAAACATCTCCGGCTGACGTGACGTGAAAATGACGTAGCGATGCTGCTCCAGGTCGATAGACATATGCATGTTTATAATTTCACAGGAATTTATCTATTTATCCTTTAAATTAGAAATTTTGCACAATTGTATTATTTGTTGTGTTGACGAATTTTCATGAAATTATCTCTGTTCTTTATGAAGTAAAGGTAAATGTCTCAATAATTTCCGAACAGCCCACGTATGTACTTAGAATTATTGAGGGTAAACACTTAGCGATATATATAGTATTACGAAAATGTGGATAGAAAATGGATCAAGGGATAAAGAATTTCTAAAGAACGGAGAAAATTAATAGAAAGAGAGAAAAATAATTTGCTTAATAGAAAAAATTCAGTTTATTTCCGAAAATTATTAACTTCGAGAGCTTAAAACTTATTTCTTTGCCGAAAAAATTTTTTAAAACATCTGTCAGCTTTTCAACTCTTCTTTTGATAATAACACACTTCACGTACTTTTACCAAGTATTTTTGTATTTATTTAGTAGTGTTCTGGATTTCACTAAAGCAGCAGCACTTTCCAAGTTAAGGAATACTTCCTTTATCTATATCCAACAAAGGTCATGATCCATTAAATATATGCCCGTGCAAAAAGGAAATTTAATGTGGAACTTTGATGTATATTTGCCAACCTCGTACACAAAAACCACAGTAGAATTCACTTAATACATTCTCTCTATAATGATTAAACAATGACTCTTAACAAAAGTTTTGCATTGGTGTTGATGGTCTATCTAACATTATAAATAATACTCCTTTAATGATAAGATGAATTTTCTCTATGACTAATTTACTTGATCCACCTGGTCGCCCGAGTGGCGCAGTGGTTAGAGCGTCTGCTCTAGAGTCGCGAAGTAAGGAGTTGATCCTTACGTCGCGGGTTCGAATCCCACTGTGGGACGTGGAGACGGGTCTTTCGGATGAGACCGTATGAACCGAGGTCCCGTGTCGCAGTAGGTGCTGGCACGAAAAAGATCCCTCACTGCTCAATGGCCGTAAGTGCCGAGTATAGGACAAAATTTGTAGCTCTCCACCGGCAAGTGGTGGCGTCTCCATATGAGTGAAAAATTCTCGAGAGGGACGTTAAACAACTTGATCCACCACTCACTGCAAATAAAATACACAAATTTCACCATGATGACGCCCTGTCTACAAATGCACTGAGATCATTGTGTAAATTATACCTTTCTGTGCAAGATTTAGTTAGCAACAAAAATGAACGCAGTGGTAAGTTTTAATGTAGTTAATACCTTTTGTACAGCTTGAAATCACATTTTTTTATTTTCATTTTCATTTCGTGAGGAATTAGTAATTTTGTGTGATGACACATCAAACATTGCCATTATACATTAGGCCCCGCCTCTTTATATAGCAATTCCAGAACCAAGTTTTAGGTTGAATTGAACTATGGCATATATATAAGAGACAGTGAAGACTGGAAAAAAATGATAACAAAACAAAACATTTAGCTGCAAATCATGAAACTTACCTGCATTCTTTTTTTAAATGTTATTTCTTTCCTTGTTAATGTAAGAGACACAATAGAATAAAAGAATTCATGTAGATTCGTCTATTAAAAACCTGTCTTCTATAACCGCAACGTAGAGAGAGAGAGAGAGAGAGAGAGATTAAATATTTCCTGTAACGAAGCTATTTGGAAACTTGGATTGAATTAAATTAAAATGAAAAGAGATGAAAATTGCACATTTATTTGCTTGGTAGATTTTTGTGCAATGCAATAATCTTTTTGTGAATATTATATATTCTATTCTTAAATAGCATGGTATAAAAAGGAAGGAAGAAGGACACTAAGTAACCATTGTAGGAAAAAAAAGCATCCTCGGCCCTTAGAAAAAAAAAACATTCTTATGTCATTCCAAGTGTGGTATGTTTTATACAAACAACGCTTAAACTAATCGAAAAGATTCTTTGTTTTAGATAAAGAATTTCTGAAAAAATCCTTTAACATGGGATTCTTTTTTTATATTTTCACAAGTGCTAAGCACCAGTGAAAATATCAGCATCATGCCTCATAACAAAAATACCTCCATATATACATTGTATTTTCTGTTTCTTACTTTTTACTTTGGTTGTCCTTTTGTTTACCTTCATTAAATTGAAAATCGGAACAATATTACGGAGAGTATAAATGCATGAGAGAGATACAAAAAATTGGAATACAAATAAACAATTTCAAATCCAGCTTATCTTGGCAATCGTAAATTTAAAATAAAAAAGAGAAAATTTAACTCTTTTTCATTGATCGATATAGCGATTTTGTATGCCTTAGTGATACTAGGCACTTACTGTTCCTATTTTTTACAATGTAAAAATAACAATTTTGTTACTTTTACGGAATCTTAAACTGATCATTAAATAATTTTTAAACAAATACAATTTCTACAAAGATCTACCATATGATACTGTGGATAATAACATAATTCATCTCTTTATAATGGCAGTTAACCTAAAATTTCATGTTCTATTCATCCCCAATTTTTCGTAACATTAGGAAGGCTAGATATTGCAAATGTTTATACCACAACACACTTTGTTTAAGCTTAATACATTATGAAAATATATGAAACAAAGTCTCAAATTCATGATTATAAAAAAAAAATACTGTCAATAAAAATACATACCATAAAAACAGCCTACTCTGATTAGTGATATGAAACACACCCAACGTGTGAAAGCCATATTTAAAAAGAGGAAGTGAAATGTTTATTTTTAGGTACATACTGAACTTTTTTCGAGAAGCGCTAACTTTTACAGTCGATGACTTACTTTTACATTTAAACGTGTGTTATGTACGAAGGCACTGATTTGATAAAGGATTAGAAAATCTGAATAGTGGATGTAGGTAATTGATAGTGGATATAGTGAACTTAAAATAAAAGATACAACATAGTCTGACAGATCTGTTTCATATTTGAATATTTTACTAGAAAAAGGCGTTAATGGTAAATTAACAACAAAGCTTTAAGTTAAACCTGATGACTTCAGCTTCCCTTACTTATGTAGCAATATATCACCTGCATATGGGGTTTATGTCTCTCAGTTGATCCGATAAGCAAGAGCACGCTCTTCATATGAACAATTTCTAAAACGAAGCAAGCTATTGACAAACAAGTTGATGAAACAAGGATATCAACAGTCTCGTTTGATGTCATCATTTTGCAAGTTTTATGGTGGAAACAATGACCTTGTCGGCAAATACAACCTATCATTAAGTTAAATGCTGACCGAGTTTTTCCTACTAATTGTTAGGCCATTATTTACACACTGAAATGTCTACGGATATTTCCGTTTTTCCCGATCATGACAAGGAGTACGTATACATGGCGGGTGTGACCAGTCGGCAGGGGATGCCCACTCCTCCATGGCACCTGATCCCATTTCTGATGTTTGTGCATTTCAGTGTTTGCTCTGCTTCCAATTTGTATTATTTGAATGGACCTTACCAGACCCCACCCCCCCACCTGGGATTTGCAAAGCCATTAAAAAATATACTGAAGCAAATAAAAAAGGCTTTAGGACCCCCCCCCCCCTCTCCAGAACACGTGAACCCCCACTTCCATCACCACGAAATAAGTATTTTTAACTTTTGGGAAGGGACTTTACTTTACTTTTCTTTTTTTTTTTTTTTTGCTTGTCAAGAAAATTTTGAATTGGAATTTTTTTCAGACTGGATCTGCGCCTGAAGGGTTTCCTTTTAATGTATCGACAAGTGTGTAGGCCAATACCCGTAGAGGAATGGACTTCACTCACGTAAGGTTCTAAGTATAGAATCGACAAAATGAAGAAGACAGTATGATCTGTACTGATTTTCATTTCATAAAAAGCACGTTATTATGGAAGAAATAAGAAATCGAGAAATTAAAGCTGTAAACAATTTCAAAAACTGTACATAATGATGTGTTTTAAACTTATTCATAATATATGGTAAGACCATCATCGCAAGTGAGTTTTGTCGGGGTGGACCCTCTGGTAAGAGAGAAATATGAATTTCTTTAGAACGACTCGTCTAACTGCTTTTCCCAGAGTTTCAATATACGCAAGTACACTTGCAGTTTTATCCCAACGTAACTAGTCAGCAAGTTGGCTAACAATAAATGACCAAATAATGTCTTAGATATTCGTTATTCTGTAATTTTTGGTTATGACATTTGAGAAAGTCAATTGTACATCTTGTGCAATGAAGTATCGCAACTATGTCGCTCCTTGATGGCGGAAACGTTTAGCACTTCTCTTGCTTATACGTTCTATAGATATTTATTGATTTAGGCAGGCAAGCTTTTTGAAAAGCTATTATTTGTATTAATGTTGAATGTTTGTCGATTTCCTGGTTTTAGACAATTTGCCTTTGGAAACTTCGGAGCTTTACTTGTATCTCACATTACTCCTAAACAAGGACAAGAACTATGGCGAGTGGGGACTTTGACGATTTTTTTAAAAATCTTTTTCCAATATGACAATGTTTCCACATCGTCAAAGTTCCTATTTTTGTATGTATGTTCACTAGACATTAAATAATATAATGTATAATACCATATCTCAACTTTTTTTGTAGTCGGCAATTTGCAGCTTTATTTTACTAATATATAAAGTGTCATATAGTTTTAATCCTCTTTATCCTAGCAGGAAACTTGATATCTAGTAAGGTTTTGGAATAAAGATGCAAATATGTAGTATAAATAATCTTACCTTTTATAAATTTGGGGTAATTTTATATATACCTATCTCATTCATATTTGTTAATTAAATCATTTATTTATCAGCAATTTGGAAAAAAAAAACACATACAAGTAATTCAAATTACTACTATCATGTGCGTATGGATTAAATGTCTCCAAATAGATTTGCTACACAGGAGCATTTTCTGTGTATGATCAAACTAAAAATCCAGAAGTTACTAATATATCCCCTGATATTACGGAGATATCAACAGTGTCCACCTAAGTTAATATTTCGCAAATTCTATGGTCGTTATCTATCGTTGGTTTGAATTTTATACTCATTGCTAGTCAATTGCATTTAACGGATTTATTCGTTTGCCTGATCGATACGAAGGGTTTACGGTGGGTGTGACGGGTCCATCGGCAATGCTTACTCCTCATAACCCCTTATCCTAAATGTCATAAAAGAATTTTGAATATAAATCAACAGTAAAATTTGCAAAATTTCTCAAATTTATCTTGCTATATATTTACGTATATATATTTGATAGAAAAAAAAAACTGCAAAATTTTCTTATCACTACCCCGGAATGGAAATAAATTGTATTTATTAAGGTTAAGGTTCCCTGTAAAATATCACACTATATCCAATGCATTTACTTCTCTGAACTACTAGAATCTGACGTCAAGTCACTACAAACTTGATCTGTCCTGAAGGGAAGAGTGCCATAAAGTGCCTTACCTTAAAGCCAAATGTAAACTATGAAAACGTTTGTAAAATTTAACTGTCTTGACTAATTTTAAGCCCGATGGTTTATTATTATTATTTAATATTAATTTGTTTCCCTCATTTTTTTCTGGTTTAAAATTACGTGTATTCAATACGATATTGCACTGCTTTCGTTTGCAGGTGGTTGGAGGTAGAATGCATGTGTATATATAACAGGCTATGCAAATAAATTGAAGATCTTCTTCAAATATTTAGTGAAATTCATCCAAGGAGAACGTTGTATCTTCCTTAAGATGGAAATGAAATCTCTTTGTGTTGATATAAACACGGAAGCGTCCAAAATAATATGTGGGAAGGTTTAAACTACACTTATAATATTGTGGTTCGTCCCAAGCAATTTTCAGGTGACCTAGGATAAAATAATTTGTTTGTGCAACAGAATTTAATTAAGAATTGTATACAGCATTGAGTCGAAGCAATTTATGTGAAATGTATAAAAAATATAACTGATCATGACTGTCACGTGATATCGCAACAATAGGCGACTCCTCTGTTCAAATCGTCTGTATTTATGGTCATAGCCTACATATTGAAATCAAAACCCAGCTGGAAATGTAATGATAATTATGTTTTGAATGCAATTTAATGCTTCTAACTGCCTTAACATAGCTGCGGTCATCGTTAAATTATAAGGAATACGAAAGTACTTGTAAGTGTATTAGAATTTCGTTTTGCTTAATAATATTTTTAAATAAAAAAGTTGAAAATGAGTGGAGAACAATATCAACAGGATGCGTTCATAATATACTTATGTCTTCCAAGAGTAGGATCTTTCCTGAAAATAAGAAATTGCACAAGATTCATAAGGAGAAAATCATAGAACTATCAATATATGTAAACTTCAAATCACCTTGACTAAAGACAATATGTAAGCAGTCAAAAACTGCCTTTTACTTTTTTGGGGGGAATTCAAATTTTATGGATGAGCTACCATTCAATTAAACTTGCTAAATGTTTAAGCTCCTGCTCTCCGAATTATTTTTAAAATAGTTTTCTGATCACATGTCACTTTTGCGCCAACAGTGCTCTTCAATTTTACTATACATGTAAATTTACATTAATGAATATTCCAAAAAGAAAAAGAAAGAAATAGGAGTTAAGGTCTCTGCTAGCTGAATTGCACTTGTACATTTTTTGTAAATTAGCTGCACCAGTGGATACATATTGTACATACGCAGGTATGGCAATGTGTATGTATGTTATGTAATTTGATAAACATTTTCACATGCAAGTTGAATATGGATTTCCATAGCGCAAGATAAGGGAGCAATTTTTGAATTACAATGTGGATTCCTCAAACATTACTTTGACAATTGAAATGTGTAGCATTTAAAGAAGCGATACAGAATTGCTTATTATTCTAGGCAGGCAACTAACTACAATCTGATACAATTATTTTTATGTCGGGCATATCGCACATGCAAAAAATTGTTTTTATTACTAAGTATGACAAGAGTTCTCAGTACATTAATAAGAATCAAAGGCTGTTGGAGTCAAAAAGATTTGCTTCTAATGAATATCGAGATACTTAAAAATATTGAACAATTCTTAAAAAAGAAAGTTCATGTTAAAAGAAAGGAAGTTTCTTTGCTGTATAAAGACTAGTAACTTGTCAATCTCTTAATTCCGGACGAAAATACAAATATCTAGATTTGAATGATAATTGGATTTTATAATAAGACACAATGCGCATCTAAACCAGAACATATAAATACTATGACACAATGCATGCAGTTGCATTACTCTCATTAAATTAAATTTTTTGCAATTGAGTTCAAGTTATCAGAGCATATAATACTTATCATTAAATATTGTTAATGAATATTATTAGTAAAATAGGGAATGTTAATAACATTAACAATGTCACTAAATGTTGTAACCTCAATGAAAAAAACTTGTATATTCTTCACGGAGTATATGTGATGTCTAAAGACATTCTTCTAAGGTACTAATGATATGATAATTTTAAGATATTTGTTCATATATGTATGGCATATCGCAATCACCTTTATCAATAACCTATAATAATTTGGTATTATATTAGATCATACTCCATTAAAGGAAATAAATAAAAGGAATTATAATCATTGTACATCCTAACGATGTCACATAGTACAAACTGGTAAATAAATAAGTTATGATAATAGGATTGTTAAAGTAACAAGACAAACGTTCTTAATACATGTATATAAAAGACAAAAATTGAAATGTTCACAAAATTTATTCCTAGCTCTGGTCAAATTCAAAGCTGAAATGCGAGAATAAATTACCTAAACTTAATACGTTCATAATTAAATATCAGTAAGTCACTGTAAATGTTACAATCAAATTAGATTTATGATCAGTTAATTTTACTTTGAACAACTGGCAGGGGGGAAATTTCATTTTGTCAAATATCCTGGTTTTCCTTTGTCATTTCACTTGATAAGGATCTGAAAAAAAAATTCAGTCAGCTAAAATGTAAACGAGAAAAATTCCGATATTATTGTACGATATCCCATAATTATCATTACAACTTGTGTTGTCGTTTTTTTCTTTATTCAAATATTTATTGCTGGAGACTGTGATAATTATATAATTTATTATATATTTTGGAGAATAGATAGATAGATAGATAGATAGATAGATAGATAGATAAACATAAGTATAATAGAATTAAATGTTCATGTGAAAATTAAACCGTCAATATTTCTCTCAATCAATTTTTTAATCAAGTATTTTACTATCCTCATGTACTTCATAAGTTCGTTTTCGCACAAAAATATTTACTTCAATATACAATATAAGAAATTCTTTTTTAGAAACGTTCTCCTGGAGATTGAAAATTATCAGATTAAAAAAAAAGATTGAGTAGAAAATGTTAATATTTGTGTCGTTAATTTGAAAATTAATCTTGGTTTCCTGAAAAACTTTTTTTTCAGGGAAACAAATTTTTTTAAATGCTATTTATGTATTTTTAATGCATATGTAATTACCAAATTTTCTTATTTCTGAAGTTTCCCTGGTTTCTGTGTTAATATGTTTTCCCTTAGATAGTACAACTCTGAAACTGAAAATAAAATCATATTTGATATGAAAATAGTATTTGATATTCATCAAGTATGATAGCAAAAAATCTGCAAGAATCAATTGCAAGATTCCAAATTGCATGAGATATGGAGATAACGAACAGTATTCAAGCTCAAAGTCCATTAAAACAATACAAATCTGAAGCAGAGCAAACACATTTGATGCAATGAAAGATAATATTCGTTACGCATTGGTGAAAAAATATATTTGTATTTAAAATATTATTAGAAATAAAGTTTCCAAGAATAAAACGCAAACAAAAAAATGTTATAAAAGACTGTTATCTTCCTTTACCTTCATGAAATACAAAAGTAACCACAAAAGAGGTTGCCCAATGTATGTAATATGACCGAAAAAATAATCAATAGATTGCATAATTTTAGCAAATGATAAAACCCCTTATCAAATGTTGATGCTGCTGCAAATTAAATTCAATTTGCAAAATACGTTATATATATTTTACATATTTTTAAGGTGTTGAAAATAATAATAATAATAGTTGTAGTAATATTTGTAATAATCCATTTACATGGGACCATGAATACTGAAAAGTATAATGGGTACTTTATGTTTTAAAATTATCTTACTGTGAATTGTCTAGAGATATTAGCACTGTTGATTTCGGATTTTTCAGGATGTTTTTCCGCAATTTATCTTGTACTTCCTCGGGATACATATTCCACTGTCCAAATGCATCTTTCCACTCCCAGCACGTTGTGTCAGAGACTTCATCCGGAACGCTTGAATAGCTATTTCTATTACTCCTCTGTTGCTCTCCTGTGTGTTGATCTTCCAAACGTTTTGAAGGAGATATTGAGCTTGGTTTATTTTCATCGATAGTGTCGGTAGGTTTTACTTGATTTGTGCTTTTCTCGTATTCTGCAGGTGCATGATTGTATAGAGAGACTGAATTACTTGACACTGCAGACTGATTTTTAACAAACTGATTATTAACAGTGTCTACAGTTTGAACATCTGGTTCTGCATGAGCACTTTCTTTGTATTCTATTTGCCAAGCACCTTCCATTGATGGACCTGCATTTTGAACATCCTTTGAATCACTACTATTTTTCAGTGATCTATCGTGCGAATGTGATTGCTGTTGATCATTTGACTTTTCTTTTCCCCCTGAAAGGAAAATTAAACAGAACCTGTACCTTTATCTTGTACATCAACGTGTATTTAATTTTTGGGGGTAACTCTGATACTTATATGAATATGACATATTTACCTGCGATTAATTTTTTAGCATAACTTGCATTATTCTGAACAGTAGTCTTTCGTCTTATTTTCTTTTTACCTTGATTGTTAGAGTTTCTGACTTTTGTGGTGGTTACCCTGGCAGCAGGTTTTTGTCTGTTTCTCATATTTGAAGGACTGTTGGAGATATCAGCAGGAAAATCAAAATCCGACCAAACGGAATGTTTTACTGGGGGTGCCATATCCATAATGTTAAAAGAAGTACTAGCATGTTTCAAGTCTTCAGGGGACATTTTATCTTCTTCAGCTTCATGTTGCTTTTCTATATCTTTGCCTTTTTTCGGGTCTAGACAATTTTAATCACAGTCGATTTCAAATTTAATATTGCTTATGTAAGAAATAACAATAATGTGCACTTTAATTCATCTAAAATTGATCTTTTCTAGCTTCACTTCTATAACAACAGGAATTACCTATATTTGTTGTCGCTTTGGACGGTGTAGGTGGGTTCATCATTTGACTACTTGCGGAAGACATCATATTCTGACGTTTTAAAGCTTCTTTCACTTCCGAAGAGAATGGATCACTGATAAACAAAACTTGATTGAAAATATTTTTCGTACTGCATCCAATCTATGTTATACTGTTTTTCTTATCCTACAACTAAAACCTTATACCTAATCACATATTTAGATAACTACATAATGAATAATCATGCATAAAACGATATCATTATATATCTCACCAAAGTTGAACATCAAATTTTCCGTCAAATCCAAAACGATAATTACTTTTGTTACCATTTGGCCAACGTACCTTTGAAAAAAATAAATGAAGCTGTACATTTATCTTTTGTATAAATATTGCTTTCGTATCAATATTGATTGTGACAAGATGCATTAAATAAATGTTCTTTCTGTTTGATCTAGGGATGGCCACTGCTAAGCAGTTAACTGATTACTCGGTTGGAACAAAGGTAATAGGTTACAAAATCTGTACTCACTTAGTCGGAAACATTAAAATATATGCAAATTTAATCACAGTTTGATAAATAAAATAATTTAAAACTCATTTGGTCATTTTGTGAAATGCTAATTTCTGTTTATACCGTGTGTCAGTGCCCAGCCTTCTTTTCATTAATAATGAGTGAAAAATACTTAAACCAGTGTTGGGGACTGCAAATGTTATTGTGTAACTGCTTTTAATGCTTATCTTATGCCGTCTATTCTATGCATTGTCAATCAAATTAGATTTTCACTTAGAAATGTAAACTGATCTTTTATTCTGAGGATGGTGACAATGCAGAGCAAATATGTGACATCTGATTCAATGAATGTTTTATTCCCTGATAGCATGTTTAAATGTTTTAAATTTAAAATAAAATTCATATAGTGTTCTGTTTAGCATAAAAAGAGTATTACATGTACTGATGTTTTTTCTTATATCATTAGTTATATTTGTTGATTTGAATAGACCTTATACTTGAGAAAACAAAACCTACATGCATGTACAGGCATATCTTTTGATAGGATTAACTTGTTAACCGATTGGAACATAATGCAATTAATGGATTGGTAGTACTGTATTCCATTGTTATCCTTTATCATTAAATTGATAAAAGAACATCCATCTCTAGATACATGTATTTTTTGCAATGTACAGTGCATTAGTTTATGATTTATGGAAGCAAATATGATGCAGGAGCAAAAAACCTTATCTATAATTCAAACAACTGAGTAAATACTAATGCAAATAGAGAAAGTAAATACTAATGCAAATGGGGCTAATTCATTTTGTTACTGGGGTACTTATACTCAATATTTAACCAGACTTTTTTATCAATATGGGCTTTGCAGTTGTGCTGCTGCTATTAGATAACATGCTAAATACACTGATTAGTTCCTTGGCAAAATCAACTAAGCTCTCTAAATACCTACGTGAATAATTGCACTGTCATTGACACGATAAACAGATCCTACACAGCCCGGGCCTCCATCTTGGTCTCCCCATTCCCAGTCAATTCCTACAAAAAACAAGAGGCCCAAGGGCCTTAACGGTCACCTGAGTATAATACAACAATTTAGAGGATCCATAGAGTATAAAATGAACTGAAAGGTGAAGCTTTGTTGCCCAAAAGCAAGAAAAATAGGTTGATCAGGATCAACAAAATAATTAGTCTAGTGTTCATTAACAGTACATAAATTACGTTCTAATCTGTTCCCCATTTATCACTCTCACCAGACAGTACATAAACAAACTTATAATCAGTGCTTCTGTACTCTTTTAATTCCTTGTTGAAATTTCTTACATTGGCCTCTCTTGGTCTTTGATGAACATTAAATAAGACAAGTTATTTTTGTCTCATTTTTATTTATCTGTTACTTACAAGTCTACCTGATCATTAAAACTATGAAAGTACTTTTTGTATTATACAATAAAAATTCTTGCATAATTCTCTTATTCTATTAACCTTTCAAGTACATTATTAACAGTGATTAATTATCACAAGTAAATGGCAAAGGGGAATAACTTCTCTCAGTAGAATACAAATTAAGAGGGCTGGGTGGTTGTGGCCATTTTCAGACTATATTGATCTCCTTTAGAAGAAGAGCTCCATATAAAGATACACAAAAATGATCAAATTTTAAAACTAAAATGCATGAAATTTTTGTTTGCCAAATGATAGTTGACAGCTTAAGATATCATATCAAAAAATTAAGTTATATCTGATGGTTAATTTGTTGACCCCCAACCTCCTTAATAGAGCCCTGGCCTGGACCAGAACACTTGATCAAATGGTTCTGATGTTCAAAAATCTGGTAAAAACACTCTTCCTTATTAAAGCTATTACTCTTTTTGCCTCTGATATGTCCAGGTGCAGAGAAGATTTTTAAAGCATTAATGCATTTTCACTATACAATAAATAGAGCCCCCCCCCCCCCCTTAATATCAGAACCTCTGATCCAGGGGTCATGAAATTCACAATTTTGGAAGAGGCATCCTTGCTTATCATAACCATGTATTTGTTTAAATAATACCCAGGAAAAGAGAAGAAGATTTTCAAAGAAATAATGCACTTTCACTATATGATTTATATAGCCCCGCCCTAGCACCAGAACCCCTGACCCTCGGGTCATGAATTTCACAATTTTGGTAGAGTCACCCTTGCTTATCATAACTATGTATTCAATTTGTTTAAATAATACCCAGGAGTAGAGAAGAAGATTTTTTAAAGAAATAATGCACTTTTACTATATGATCTATATAGCCCCACCCTAGCACCAGAACCCCTGACCCTGGGGCTATGAATTTCACAATTTTGGTAGAGTCACTCTTGCTTATCATAACTATGTATTCAATTTGTTTCAATAATACCCAGGAGTAGAGAAGAAGATTTTCGAAGATATAATGCACTTTCACTATATGATCTATATGGCCCCGCCCTAGCACCAGAACCCCTGACCCTGGGGCCATGAATTTCACAATTTTGGTACAGGGCTCAATGCTTATTACAATCATGCCAACAGTTTGACTGCTTGATGTCCAGGAGTAAAGAAGAAGATTTTTAAAGATTGCATTAATTTTGATGGTTTTGGCCCCACCCCTCAGGCCCCAGGGGGGCAGGGGCCACGAATTTCACAATTTTTGTTCCCCTTCACCCATAGATGCTATATGCCAAAATTGGTTGAAATTGGTTTGCTGGTTTCAGAGAAGAAGCTGAAAATGTTCAAAAGTTTACGACCGACGGAGGACGCACGACGACGGACGAAAAGAGATAGCAATAGGTCACCTGAGTGACTCAGGTGACCTAAAAAGACACAAATGTTATATATTTTCTTTTCCTCATGCTTTCTTTTTTCATTATAGAAATACTAAATTGAATCTAAACTCAAATTAAACTATCAAAAAAAAAATAGCTATATAACAAACTTTTATAAATGAAATCATTGCAAGATTATGCAAGCCTAAATTAGGATTGCTAAAAATGTCTATGACACTACAAAAATTTAATAGTTAGATGACAAATTTATTTGAATCGATTTTAGAAAAAATATATAAAAAATATTAATAATTAATCTTCTAATTGAAAGGAACAAACAACAAACAAGCATACAAATCTTCATTGTTAGAGAAAATTTAATCATTAGCGCCAGAAATAAGTCTCATGTGTCTAAAAATGATAAGGTTTCATAATAACCTCTAGATACCAAGCAGCCCACCGCTATCATCTCATCATGCAGTACCCGAGGGTCATCACACACCACGACATCATAACATCCATCAGCACCGTATCTGTACCTATAATTCCCTCCTGTATCCCATTCCACGGAAATCCAACCAGCTGTGTATCAGACATCGTACAGTAAAAAAAAAATAATAAAGAACACATCAACATTCGTTTATTATATGTACATTTTATTAATTATTTGTCAAATATGCTTAGGAATTTAAAAAAAATAATTGCATGCCATTTAATGAGACGAAAAAAATTACACAAAGGATTTCTTCATATCAAGATGGAAACAATCTTTGTAAAAGAAGAAAACATATGAGTTTACCATCTTTAGGGTGCCCTGTCACTGTGCCTGGACGACGACTATCCTGTTCATTCCATATCCAGTCCGGACCACGCCGTACTCTGGTGCCGATGTGAGGCATGTTGGAGTCCCTCTCTTGACATTCATCATCTTTTTCTTCTTCTTCTTTATCGATTACTGGCTTAAATTCTTCTGAAGATCCAGTAACCATCTCATATATATCATCCTGGTATATGTATTCCAAAATGTAACTCAACTTCATAATACGAAACCTTTTTATTTATTGGAACTTAGAAAGTTACTTATGTAGGGTCGATCATGCTCATTATGGTTTACAAGGCTCACGATATTAATATATAAAACTCCCGGCTTTAAAAATAAGCCAAGTAATATCAAATCCCCTTTTAAATCAGCATTTATTTCAACATTCTTCATTTCGGTCTGATTTTAAAATTTTCTTACTTATACATGTAGTTATGTAAACAACAAACCATGTCATCTTGAGTGAATTCTGTTGGTGTCGTCACTATATTAGGTAAAATTGCTTCAAATGTCGGTTTGTCCATCTCTTTGGGGTTCCTTAAGGCATCCTGCAACCTTCCAGCAATTCTCTGGAAAGCAATTAATTTATGCATTGTTTTAATAGAATGATAGAAAGAAGGTTTCTGCTTATAAAATTAAGGTTTAACACACACCTATTGAACAAAAATGCATATTACATATTCAAAGATATCCTTCAACTGAAGTTATACATGAGCACAAAAACAAAATTGCTGTTTGTCTTTGTTTTACGACATTCTTCCGAAAGGAATAAAATACATGTCCACCAAATGATTTAGGATAATTTGCCACGAACTCAGATATGTTATTCTGTTGGTTTTTTTTTTCACTGCATTAGGGTGAGCACATGTTCGTGTGTATAAGTGCATAGTGTGGGATCATGAGAAAATCTTCCTCCTCTCAATTACAATTGGGAAAGGAAAGAATAATTATGCATTACAACTTTCTGATTGTGTGTAGATTATTTTTTTTTTCAAACTATGGTTCCAAGGGATATAATGGAATTACGAAAAGGAGTTATTGTTTCAAATACAGAATCTGACACATCTGTTTCATATTTGGATATTTTACTTGAAAAAGACGTTAATGGCAATTTAACAACCAAGCTTTATTATAAACGTGATGACTTTAACTTTTCAATCGTCATCTCCCCTTACTAATGCAGCAATATACCTACATCACCTGCATACGGGGTTTATATCTCTCAGTTAATTCAATACGCAAATGCATGCTCTACCGTACGTATGTACAATTTCTAAAACGAGGTAAATTATTGACACACAAGTTGATGAAACAAGAATATCAGCAGTCTCGTTTAAAGTCATCATTTCGTAAGTTCTATGGTCGATACAATGACCTCGTCAAAGTATACAATATATCATCGAGTCAAATGCTGACTGACGTTTTTCATACTAATTGTTAGGCCATAATTTACACACTGAATTGTCGACGGATTTTTCCGTTATTTCCCGATCATGACAAGGAGCACATGGCGGGTGTGACCGGTCGGCAGGGAATGCTCACTCCTCCATGGCACCTGATCCCACCTCTGTTGTTTTGAAGGTCCGTGTTTGCTCTGCTCCTATTTTGTAATGTTTAATGGACTTTTGAGCTGGAATACTGTTCGTTATCTCCATATATTTCATACAGTTATTTGAATGGATTATATACAAAAATCCTTATTTTAAATTTACCATGACAATTTCATTCAAATCAAGATCCTCACTGCTACTTTGGGTGGAGTTACTATAGGTTAATCAAGTTTTACAATGTAATAAGCTGGAAAAAATTAAGATTCTAGTTTTTGGCAGAGCCATCGGTTATTTCTAATACAGGTAACGTTCAGTATTATTAAAATCATGGTCTAGAGATCAAACAGTGGATTAAAATTTTGAAATCAATCTGATGTTACAGTGAAGGGTTTCATTCATTTTATTGTTCTTCTTTATGAGAAAAGTGACACATCAGGTTACTCTTGAGGCCCATATCTACATGACAGCTCAAATTGCTTAAAATTGTAGCCATTGATATATGATTCAAGTGGATTATAGCATTTGATCAGGATTAAAAAAATCAAATGTTGCAAAATGAATTTTATACTTTGGCTAAAAGCACGAACTTACAACGTTGTGTGGAAACCTCCCAAGCTTTCTGGCCTCATGCAGATGGACGATTTTTCCTCCAATCGAAAGCCCAGATATCATTTCAAATACAGACTAGAAACATGATATAAAAGAAAGATAAAGTAACTTTATTTAAAACATGCATGTTAAAATTATTTAAATGACAGTTCATGTATGTCACATTTGGGTTTTCTTATATCGTGCAAAAAAAAAAAAAATGTCCATTCTTTTTCTTTTTTAGATAAATTATTTTGCCACCGGGCTCATAATATAATACTTTTTGATTGAATTTAATACAACTAAACAAAGAATACAATAGTAGCATCTGTATTTAATTTACAGTTTTAGTGGTGCAAAGGAAATATACAAACATACCATATCTGGGTCCCCAACAGGTACACATTTAATTGAAAGCTCTCTATGCGCAAGGTGCTCAACAATATTCGTTAATTCTAAAAGTGTCTGCAAGAGACAAAATGAATCAATTTTACCACATAATTTATGGTTTCACATATTGAAAATTGTTTTTAAGGAGGTTGGATCCAGATATCAAAAGTAATGAAAATTTTTTATCAAGTATATTTTTAGAATCTACACAGATGGCTTAATTAAAAATCAAAACAAAAAATGGGGGTCAATGCGCTTCTTTTGGCGCTACAGCGCATTTAGTATGACATTTTTGCACTGTAATTACGTCTAACACATGAATTAATTTTAAAAGTTTTTCCTCCAATATTTTTTATTCAAATAAATTATGGGAACAAACACAGTCTTATTTTATCTAGAATAGAAACAATAAAATTTGTGACAACAAAAATGTTTCAAATTAACTAGAATTATTATTATATGGTAGTCCTGATCATGGACTCAATACTAATATCCGAAGTTTTGAAGCAGTACATGCCTATGTAGCAGCAACAAAACGTTTTATTTGAACACTGTCATGTAAATGTATATATAACTTTTGTCAATATTTCCAAACCGGTACTTCATCGTTTTTTTCCCTTCTTTTTCCTTGCATTTTTTAATAATGTTTGATTAATTAATGTTATACAGTGTATTTACCTTGACCTTGCTGTGGGGAGAGGGCTAAAATAGGCTATGCCTGCTGCCCAATCCAATTCACTTTTTGTGAATAAAATTATATATATATATATATATATATATATATATATATATATATATATATATATATATATATATATATATATATATATATATATATATATATATATATTATATAACCCAGTCACATGTTAGTCGTTATAATTGTTGACTTATATATTGATTACTGATGCATGACCTGTCAAAACACTGTCACATTTGGAACTTATAAGCTCAATGCCATTATTCAGAAATGTCCTATTATCAGCTAAACATAAGATTAATTTGTTGAAGATGCTAAAATTGAGCGGACTTGGTGTGTTGAGATTATCGCCCTTAAATTGTTAGAGTATATATTACAAACAAAAATTTTCAAATGTCTTTTGATATATTGTATCTCAAACTGTTTTCAAATTAATCATAACTTTTTCCAGTGGACTGGTGATATGCTTTCTATTTGGTGATATTAATTCAAATTCAAGATACAGATACGATGTAGCACATATTTCAATATGCTACAATTCTATATATATTTTCAACAATGAAACTTGTATAATTCATCTGGTATTTTTTTTTAAATAAATAATCCAAAAACAACATACTCTTCTTCTATCGTATATATCTGGGTCCTCTGGACCGTCAGGGTAATGTTCATCTGTCGCCCTGCCATCCGAAATGAGAATAATATTTGGCCTAATGTGCCACTTCCCAACTTTGCTAATTCCAACTAAAAACCAGTTTTAAAATATTTAGCATTTTAATGAGACATTACATCAGCACATTATTAGATGTATTGATATAAAACTACCAAATAAATTTTACCTCGTGCGCCTAATGAAAGCAAGAGACCTGCTCCCATTGGAGACGAACCACCACAAGTTAATTCGTCTGAAAGAATAAAAGGTTCCATGTCATTTACTAAAGCGATTGGTTGTGGAAATGATTTTTTTGCGTTACTCAACAAAGAAAATAATATACATTAAAGTTCGTAAAATAGATGAAGTATACTAACCAACAGATTGCTTGATCTCGTAGTAGCGGTTAGAATAATAGCAACGAAATTTATTTTCTTTTCCAAATGTGATAACAGCCACATTTTGATCTAATGCAGGAAATCTTTGGTATTCTACAACAAATATGATTTTTTTTTATCAGTAAAAAAGTGTACTCACAATGTATATATATGCATAAGAATATATTATTATACTAATTTGTATTGTTTATCTTAAGTAATAATTTTTCTATGATCATATACTAAAGAAATACTAAAGCATTTTCTAAAAATACAGCAATTTATTATAGGCTTACAAATCGGACGCTTCAACAAGACAGACACGTTTCGATATAAGATATGGAGGTAACTTCTGGTGTATGCAATATTCTTAGTAATAATTGTTCCAATTGAAATGATTTAGTAAAATGAAAATATTTTTAAAACTGAAATTCTGGCACGAAACAGCAAATGTTTTAATACCATTTAATATGTCCCTAACTGCGCCTTTAAGTTGTTTAATACCATCACCCTCCATGCTGGCAGATGTATCCAGAATGAATACAGTATCAAATCCACTCCCATGTTGATGTATTGAGTCAGCATCTAATAGCATGAGTATTTTGATTTGAAGATAATTATTTAACGGTTTTATGGATATACAAACGGAGTGAAAATTAATTTTTCGATCTATTTTCAACAGCAAAAATGTCCATTGAATAAAATGATATTTTCACAGAATGTCATTTTTATGTCAAAATAAACAAATAAAGGTTATTTTCAGAGTAAAAAAAACAAAGAATGGAGGCGTACAAAGTGAGGACAATCCCCCGCATAAAATTCTCAATTCTAAAAGTTCATGAAAAATTTTAATTTTTCAAAAATTGTATTGTCAATATCATCTTTTATATATTTGCCTCCTTTATTTTATTGAATAACTTATTAATAAATAATTTTATTTTTCACTTATGTCTTAAAGGTATGCATGAAGATCATACAAGATTCGAACTCTCTCCAAAGCTAAATGTTAGGCGTAAGACTGAACGCGTTAACCACTACGAGGTCTTCTTGTCAATGATGTGTGTCATTGTGCTTTAAATAAACGAATTTGTTGAAACACATATTTTTTTCAGAAATGTTCGATTTTCATGGGTTCAGACTCCATTTTATTTAAATCATAAAATAAATTTTACATTTACTTTTTCGTTATTTAAACGATAATGTAGAATGGAGACTTGACCCATTCATATTCAAATATTATTTTTATGCTTCCAATATGCCCATTTTCTACCAAATATGCTTAACTTTCCACTTAAAGTAACAATTATCAATCAGTTAGTTATTCAATAGAAAAAATGAATCAAATGTGTTGAGGATGACAATACTGACAACATAATTTATGAAAATATAACTTTTCTGTGGACTTTGAAAATTGAGAAATATATTGTCTTAGAGCGGGGGAATGTCCTCGCCTTGTACGCCCTCTTTCTTTGCGACAGAACTCTCTTGTGCTTCAGGAAAATTGCTACAGAAAATACTTTTCGTAGATAGTTAGAGTATAAAAACCATCCTTATACTGACTTAATCTGCACTAAAATTTTCTATCCATTGTTGAAAACCATGTTAACAATTTTGAATCTATAAATGCACTGAGCAAAAAAGATAGCATAATTTGTATTACGTTTCCTTCCTGCTAATCTTGCCTCTTCCAACCAGTGGTCTGTGTCAACTCGTCTTGCCTTTACCAAGGACATCTTAAAGTCTGAAAGTAATTCATATTTGACCTATAAAGCAAATTTTGATTGTACAGGCCTCAAGGTACATAAAGAAAATCAAGTAAAAAAAATCGTATCGATAAACTATCGATAAAAGTAACAGGTCTAGTTACAAAAAAAAGTTATGTGCACACCTCATTGTGCTAGATTTTGATGTTGAACAAATATGTACCTTCTAAAGAAGGAGACCCTGTCTTCCTGTCTAACTTTTGTTCAACATTTTGCGATTCCTCAGTTACCACATTCTGCGATTCCTCGGTCATGACAACAAGTCTGTTGTCAAAGTCAGGCCGTGTTTGCCTCCTTTTCAGTTTCCGTGTCGTCTCCGTTTTGGTCAGCATCTCCTCCATGGCAGCTGATCTTTGAAACGAAGTACCATTTTCTTTGATATGTTGTTCAGATTCTTTGTTATTATCCTCCGCTGAAGGCTTCGGCGATTCAGATATATGCTTCTCATCTTCAAATACGACGGAAGTATGCTCAACATTACTTCTTGACAAACTGTGTTCGTTTTCAGCTTTTGCCTGCATAGTCTCCACTGGTCCATTTTGTTCAGAATGGCAGGTTTCCACTATCGAAGCTTCAGATTTCGATTCTTCAGCAGAATCATGTTCATCAACGGTTCCTCTGACGTCAAGATCATCAGTCTTTTCATCACTTGTATTCAATTCTTCATCGGTTTTATCTTCTAATACTTCTAAAGAAAGTTTTCTTGATATATCTCCAACTCCAGGTAATGCTGTTGGTTGTTCATCATGTACTACTTTACTTAAATCATCAGATTGATTTACATCAACTTCAGTTCTGCTTTCTTCTCTCTGTTGGTCATCAACTCCAGTGGTATGTTGATGAACTTCAGAATTCCCTAAAGCTTGCATTGTACCTATATCCTTGACTTGAGCAATAGCCTGGTTCAGTTCGGAGATTTTTTCGTTCGTTGTCAGAATTTCTGTGATTAACTCCGAGATTTCTTTGTTCTGTCTGGAATCTGTCTCGGACAATTCCAGCACCTGTGCTAAAAGCTTGTCTAAAGAGAATAAAACAATTCTAATAGGGCAGTTTTATTGTTAATAGGTGTACGGTTTTATTTCACGATTTCTATTTCAAAATTTTTCGCCAAGTTTTTTTTTTTCACTTCAGTTGTCCAATTCTTTTTTCATGATCTTAAAAGTGTATCAACGAAGTGTGAAGACAATAAAATGTGAAGATTAAGTCGGTAATCAAGCTTGTCATCCAAACATTACAAATTGAGGACATATAACAAACACGGATCCCCAGAAACATAAGAGTGGGATCAGGTGTCATCGATGGAGGAAGAAAAACATGCCTAAATATCTTACCTAATTTATTGTCATCGATTTCAGATGTTTTCCTGTAAAATAAACAAAACATTTGCATAACTGTATACCAATTTGATTACAAACACAAAACAGTTGCAACAAAATACAATAAAGCAGTGAAACTAAGGTGATTAGTGCATAATTATGACTATTGCCGTGTAAGATTATTAAATAAGCGTCTATGATATGTAAAGTAGACATTTCTATCCAGATCATTAATTTCCTAAGCATCTCTTTTATTTTATTTCAAAACATGTGCAGAACTAAATTATATGAACATGGTCTACCTCAACTCTTCCTCTCTATTTAGTCTCTTAGTGATGAACATGTTTTCTTTTTGTACTATATCCATTTTCTCATTCACGCTCTTCAACTGAAAAATGCATACATTTCTGGAAGATTATTTATCATGTTTAAAAAAATTTATGCAAATGTATAATTTCTATATCGAATTTTAAAGTGTCTTGCTTCATCAATAATTACTCTCTTTCTCTCTCTCTCTCTCTCCCTGGCCATCAAGAATTGCTATCTTTTCTTTGTTTCTAGATCTTATACCCTCGATCTTCCTAAAAGTTTGAAAGAAACAGTTTCATCATACCTGCTCTATCAATGCCTCCATATCTGGAAATACTTTTGATCCACCTTCTTTCAACAGATGAAATGAGATCTAACTTCTGCTTTATAAAAAATTATCACCCGAGATCAATAAAAACCTGAAAACGATGTCGCAAGGTTCTACAACAGTATACGTAAAAGTATGTATATGTAAATGCATTTTTACTAAAAATGAAAATTTTTACTTGAAAATTTTCTTGAGACAATCTGTAAATTAAATTTGTAAATTTGTAAATTAAAGCAATATGACATACATGTTATATATGATTTTTGTATATAAAGTTCATTTTTGATCTTTCATCTAATTAATAGGTTAAATGTATATATACATATGTACTTTGAAAATATCTAAGTCAAAAGAATATTAAGTGTTTAACTTTCAGTAACTACCGTAAATAGGAATGAAATTTACCAGTTGTGCCTTGATTCATTTTTGACTAGTCAGTAATTAAGCTAGCTTAATTTGTAATTTTTACGATGTTTCCTTCGACGTACATGTATATATAATTTTTAGTGAAGTAAAAATAAATTCTTGTCCACAATTGTCAGTGATCAATCTGAATATGTATGGTATACATGCACGCTATATATTTGTATACATATTACATGGATAATTGGAGTATACAGGATTAATTTAGTATCTAGCTGAGCATAGTCATGATATAATATATCCAAATTTTTTACTGAACATATATATGTATAATGATTTAATTATTAAGATTTTTTGTGATTTTGAATACTTCGTTATATATATATATATATATAACAATAGAACTGGTTCGACATGATGTATGATTTTAAAATGTTGACATACACATAATTTGTCAGTACTCGTAAAAGTGAAAGTAGATCCAATGACGTAAACATTATATTGAATCTAATTTTCATTTTTGAATTGGGAAAAGTACAAGTGGCTATACAAGATATTAGACTAATAAAAAAGGAAACAGAACATGTATAATTAATGCAAATTATATTTTACGAACCTTCTGATTTTTTACTGTCGTGTGTCCATTATATTCCTGCTGATAATTTTCAATCTATAAATAGACGTTCAATTCCCCTACAGTTATTTAAGGAAACCTGCTTTCCGTTTGTTGAGTATTTGAAAAATTTCCTTATCACAAAGTTTTTCCTATCATATGTACGTTTTATATACATATTACATACGAGTGATGAATGACCTTGTTTTGAAAATATATAATTATCTTAATCATTGTCAATTTGGTACATCGAAATAATCAAATAATAAAATATTATAAATTTCAAGTGGTGTTTATGAATAGAATCCTAGCAAATGTACACTATGTTTCATTCACGTAGTATCTTTAATTTTTAAGTGGAAAAGAAAGGGGGTAAAAGTGAAAAAAAAATGTCAAGCCTCGAAGAACTTATATTTCCAAAGAGCATTATTATGCATTTTCAAAAGGCATTATCATGCCTTTCAAAAAGCCGGTATTGCGCCTATTCAAGAGACGATATTAAGGCTTTTATTTTCAATATATGACTAACTTAGCCCAACCGCGGGGGCTGAAATGCTGACTCTCGGAACATGAATTTCACGAAATAGGATTTTCGATTTTAGGCAGTTTAGTTTTTGTTTATGAGGTTTTTTTAAAACAATTTTTTTTTAATTAATGTTATTTTTGCTTGTAAATTTTTCGTCAGGTTGCCCTCCCCCCTTTTCAAAAATACGGGCTTGTCATAAACGGCGATTCAAAACCCCAAAAGGTCATTAACGTCTTATCTAGAAGCTATAAACGCCTTTGTTAAAGGCGTTATAATAAACACCTTTGTAAAGGGAGAAAAAATGCCTTTTTGAAAGGCGTAATAACGCCTTTTGAAAAAAAAAAAAAAAAAAAAAAGCGTTGTAACGCCTTTTGAAAAGGCGTAATAACGCCTTTTGAAAGCGCGTAATATTTAGCGCCTTTTGAAAGGGCATAATAACGCCTTTTATAAAGGCGTAATAACGCCTTTTTAAAAGACGTAATAACGCCTTTTCGAAAGGCGTAACTACGCCTTTTTTCGCGTTATTACGCCTTCATTGGTGTTATAACGCCTTTTAGAAAGGATCGAGTTTTTTAAGAAACACCATATAGATGAACCATTTAGAACACAATATGAGTAAACATGCACATGCCCCTGACTAGGTGCAAATATGTTGTCAGAACTGAGTATATTTTGCCTTTGTATCTGCGTCTATACAGCAGGATAAGCTAATACATCAGTTCAGTGTATACGTATACATGTGTATATTTACACATAATATGCCAAGGATGATCATAGGCTTATGAGTATAAAGCTCGCCGAATAAGCAGAGTATAATAAGTTTACGGTCCAGTAAATATAAAATTAATTTACATAACGACATTAAAGGAATTATAAGTATCATGGTTTTTAATTTAAAAAAAAAATCTTAACGTTACCTGTATTTTTCTATCAGGATGTAAAATTTTTGTCTAAGAGAATGATTTAGAGATTCAAAATTTTAATATTTATATTCAGAATTCTAAATTTCAAATCCTCAAAACAGACCCCCCCCCCCAAAAAAAAAAAAATCTTCAGGAATGTATAACGTTAAAAAATTGTTCACTCATCTTCAGAATTCAGAATAATAAATCTAGATGAAAATTTATAACTTGTACATGCATGCATTATATGAGCTTTTCTCCTAAAGCAAACCTTAATTCTTAGTTACTTTGAAATGTTGAATTTCTAATGGTCAGCATTCAGTGGCGGAACCAGAAATTTCAGAACGGGGGAAAGGGTGGGTGGGAGGGTGCGGTTGACCGTTCAGAATATTTTCTTTCCGAGAGGCACAAAAAAAAAAAAAAAAAAAAAAAAAAAAAAAAAAATCGGAAAGGGGGGGGGGGGGGGGACTTCTCATATACAGGCCGCTTTCCTTCATTTATTACATAAAAGAAACATAGGTAATCAAAGATTACGAAGCTCACCTCGACGAAAGTTGTATCTATAAGTAAGGCAAATCTCACATCATATTTTTTCTAGTTAGTGTTCATCCCAAGATCAATATCCATACAAGTTTGGTTTAAGAAGGACTTATAGATACTTGAAAATAGACCTGCTCAAAAAACTTTTAACCTGTTTACTAAACAAGAAAATTTTGGTCAGTTCCAACATCCAAAGCAAGTCTGGAAGTTTTCATCCTTAGATGCACAATCCATGCATGTTTAATCATAACATGCCATAATATTATATAGCTACTCCAAAAAAATTACTCTGGTCACTCATTTGGAAAATGTTGGTCAGATTCAGAATCCAAAACAAGTCTGAAAGTGTCCATCCTAAGACACATCATCCATGCTAATTTGATTAAAATATGGCTAAAATTCACTCATCTGGAAAATCTAGATTCAGCATCCGAAGCAAGTGTGGTAGTGTCCATCCCTAGTTGCATCATCCATGCAAGTTTGGTTCAGGTAGGGCTTATAGTTACTTGGGAATGGACCTGCTCAAAAAACTTTAACCTGGTCACTCATCTGGTAATTCTAGGTCAGATCCAGCATCCGAAGCAAGTGTGGTAGTGTCCAAGATGCATCATCCATGCAAGTTTGGTCCAGGTAGGGCTTATAGTTACTTGGGAATGGACTTGCTCCAAAAACTTTAACCTGGTCACTCATCTGGAAAATCTAGGTCAGATCCAGCATCCGAAGCAAGTGTGGTAGTGTCCAAGATGCATCATACATGCAAGTTTGGTCCAGGTAGGGCTTATAGTTACTTGGGAATGGACTTGCTCCAAAAACTTTAATCTGGTCACTCATCTGGAAAATCTAGGTCAGATCCAGCATCCGAAACAAGTGTGGTAGTGTCCATCCCTAGGCCTAGATGCATCATCCATGCAAGTTTGGTCCAGGTAGGGCTTATAGTTACTTGGGAATGGACTTGCTCCTAAAACTTTAACCTGGGACGCCGACGCTAACGCCGACGGTATAGCATAAGCTCATCTCGACTTTGTCGAGGTGAGCTAAAAATCTTTCTAACTAGGGAATCCATGTTTCGAAAAGGGGAGGGGAGCTTTATATTCGATTTTTTTGTTCTATGAATTTCGATAAATCTTAACATCATTAGAGATCCAGACCCCTCAGATGAAGATACCCCAGGCTAACAACAATTGCATTTCCCGTGTTCATTATAAGTCAACATTCACTTTAAAATGCATCTTTGATAATCAGGAAAAAAACGAAACAAATATAGTCACAGACATCTTGTTGAATATTTTTCATTTTACGTGCCTTTGAAAAATGGAAAGTAGATGACCCAAACTGATTTTGAGGTCGAAGGTCAAACATGACGTAGGAAGATGTTGTCTGTTCATTATCTCAAGAACCATTTGCTTGAGACATCAAACTCGGTACATAAGTTCCCTTAAAGGAGTAGATGAATCCTATCGATTTTTGGTCACAAGGTCAAAAGGCAAGGGTCAAACTGACAAAGGAAGTTATTGGAAGCTCAATATCTTGAGAACCCTGGACTTGATACACTGGTTTCCACAGAGTAGTAGATGACCCGTATATTGCTTATGTGGTCACATTGCGGTCAAACTGGACATAGGAGAATATTGACTGCTCGATATCTTGAGAACCCTTTGCATGACAGACATTAAATTTAGTATACAGGTAATCTCAGCGAGATTCGTAGGGACTAAAAATTTTGGTCTGGTGTCCCTATGAATCTCAGTACAGTCTCACACAAGGTGATTCGGGTTTGAAACAAGCGGTCGAAGTCGGGACAAGAAAACCCGAATCACTTAGTGTGACACTGTACTGAGATTCGTAGGGACACCAGACCAAAATTTTTAGTCCCTACCAATCTCGCTGAGATTAGTATACAGTCAGGTAGCTCCTTCAAGAAGTAAATTACGTCTGATAGTGATCAAACTAAGTATTATGTTTGCCTCTTACAGTTTAGATGATGTTGCTGTTGCTTACTGTTGCTTTCACTATCATTTCAAACATTCTGCATGTAAATTTAATGTAAATTGAAAGCTGTTCTCTTTTTATTATCCCACACTAGGGGGAAGGGGGGGGGGGCAAATATATTAATCAAACATTTGTTGTTTGTTTCCTTCCTTCCCTCTTTTATAATCTTTTTTTCTTAATTTTGTGATAGGGGCCTACAGTCAGTGTAAATAGCTGCCATGATATGAAGAATCGCTTAACTTTATACCTGACATTAAGGGTAAAAAAAATAGTTAAATGTACATATAATAGTATCTATTGTTTATATTAAATACTATTTCTTGAATAAGTAATTCATGTATAAATACCAAGATAGATTATTGCAAAATTTAAAATGATAAAGTTTTAACATGCATGTATGAATGTATAAATTAGTGCCAGTTTGAGTATGAAGTTTGAGTATATGCTAAGTATAAACAAATCTGACTACCTCTTTCAGCAAAGTTCTTGTATCACAATGATAGAATATTGACTATTACATATTGTATATGAAGTTAATTAAAATGGTGTTTATAAGCTTTTAAAAAATATTGTTTGTTTGCAGTTGCTTACTGACCCACTTAAAATGTACCAAATCTGTTTTTTTTTCCCAGCTATTTATTACAAGATTTTTTTTTCCAATATTTAATTTTTTTCTATTGAAAAGGACAGAACATTCAAATTGGGATGTTTAAATATGGTGAAAATCCCTATAACTCATAATCCAAACAAAAACCTAAAAACTAGGGGGAAAATGTAAAAATGTAGCAGGGTGAAAGAAATGTCCCTGCTTACATGCAAGTTTTAAAAAATGTGTAAGTCCAAGAATGTGAATATAACAATGGGTAGAAATGACACAAAAATATATCACACTGTTGCTTTTGTTTTCTGGAATAACTTGTCTATACCACAACATCCTTAAGCTGTTTGAAATGGTGATCCCTTACAAGCAAAGTAATAAAAAAGGTGCAAAACAGTGCATCATTAATTTTTAAGGCCATAAAGTCTCGAATGCAGTATGTGATTTCTTTGAGAATTTTAAAAGTTTAAGGGTCATAAATTTTGTAAGAATGGGTCATTAAACACAAAACTAAAACCTGATCATAGATATCAAAATTCATACCAAAAACCAGCTTATTATCTAAAACAAAAAACTCTAGAAAACTACGACAGAATGACAGACCCAGAGGGTAACACTACATGTGTATATGCCCCAGGCCATTTCAAGGTGGGGGCATAAAAAATATTTACCTACCCACCTATTCTAAAAATTGTGGGTTGGCAACTGCAAACAAAGAAATTTTTAAGCTTGGCCTTAAGCACTTTCAAGTTATTGCAAACATACACTAAATAAATATACAACCTAAAAGCCCTACACAAACACGACTAATGAAACAAAGAGAAATGACAATGCTTACTGTAAATTCATTTAAGTATAAATTTCTTTCAAGAATCGCCATAGTTTATACATTTTAGAGTATTCATTTTAAATAATTACTCATTAATGACATTAAAAATCAACATCATAAATTGTTTTGCATGAAATCTGAACACTCTTGAAATCATTAATGTAATTCATACAAGTCAGACAATGAATTACTGGAAAATCACTAACTTCCGTGGGGGTTTCATTTTTATTGTTTTCAAGGTATAAAGAGATCCATGAATCATGTCCATCACGAAAATGTAAAATTTCATAAACATAACTACTGAACACTTCCTCAACCATGAAATCAAATTCCCACAAACCAATATTTTTTTCTTCAAACTTAGAAATTTGACCCCACGAAAATATAAGCTTTCACAGTAAAATCAAAGTTTAATGTGGACACATAATACCTGCAGTAATAAATTACATGTACTGGTATATAGGTACAACCAACGTAACAAAAAAGCCATTAATAGTAAAATAAAACAAGAATAAAACTGAAAATTAAAATGACAGTCAAATAAATAAATTGTTTAGTCTCCCAAGATTTTTCTGTTCTCGTTCAAATATACACCTGAAAATGTTATAATAAAGTGCCAAAACTATAAGATATTACAATAGCTACCCATTAACAAAACATATAATAACAAAAACAAAACAAAATCAGGTCCCTATATTTATCAACAAATTTTATTCACTTCTGGGATCAATTGTAATGACTCTGAAACAGAATGTATATCTTGTTTATGAATTTTATATCAATGTGTATTTTTTATTTTGAGCAACATGAAATAAATAAATAAATATACAATCTAATAAACAACCTTCACAAATGAAACAAATAGAAATAGCAACTTAAAAAGCTTCTTGTAAATTTATTTAAGTCTTCTACAAGAAATGCCCTAGTTTATACATGTGCGTAATCAGTGTAATATTACACAACTGTGCAAAAGCCAAAAGTACTTTAACAATTTCAGTATGAACACAGATTTAGGTGGTCAACTGAAATAAATTAATAGTCATTAAAATTAAATTTCTGCAAAAGCTGGTGACTTTAAAAATCACTTCATCATAAGTTGTCTTTCATGAAATCTTAACACTCTTGAAATCAATTATATAATTCAACTAAGTCAGAAAATGAACCATAATCATCTCTGAACTATTGATGTAATGGAACAAGTTCATTGAAAGTCTACAATAAACATGATAAAGCTGAATAAAGCTTATGATCTATAAATTATTTTTGACAAATGTAAGATTTTAAAGAAGGGATGTTATTAAATCAAATAAGTTTAATTGAAATTTATTAATTGGATGTACAAATATTTATATTGATTTAGTTAAAAAAAATATGAAGTAAAGGTGGATTGCTTGTGTTGTTTACATGGATCAGCATGTTAACAATAGGTACTTGTGCCCCCTATACTGTGCTCTTTAAATTCTATTTTTTGATTTTGTTCAACATCAGCTGCTTACCATTCAACACACAATCATGACAATAAAACCATATACTGCTAACATTTTCAGACTTTAAAAAGTAGTCACTCAAACAAAAATTACGCTTAAACATGTATCTATGGTACTTACAATTTATCTGTAAATATCGAATATATAAAAACACGAAACGATTCAATATACATGATTGCAGATGCACACAGGTGTAGCAAAGAAATACTACCAATTTCATCACAATTCAGAATTTATTCATTTACCATTTTCTAATGCTTGATAAACATAGTGCACTCAAAAAAAACATGAAATTTTATGAACATGATGAAAATAAGTACCCTTAAATCACCCCCCCCCCCCCCAAAAAAAAACCCCATATATTTGAACACATTTACATCTGTACAAACCAAATATAAATTTGCATCAGAATCGTCCACAATCATATTGGCAAACTGTCTGGTAGGATGACCACAGTCAATCCATGAGTTTTGATGTCATTTTCGTAGCCCAATGAGTCTCCCATGTTGATACATGGACCATAGCTTGACACCTGGTTTACGGTATCATTCATAATTTTCACCTCTGCAAAGCCGTTTCGTTCTCTTTTGGTCAAGCGGATCACCCTAAGCTTGAAGGGAACCAGATTCCCCAGTGCACTGACCGGGGAGGGAAGTAGATCTAGTTCGTTAGGTTTTCTGTTTTGGTATTTCCATTTCAAAGTGGCTCCGTATTTTGCCGACATGTGTGATGGCGTTTGGAAATAATGTTCCCAAAATGTTGTGGTTTTGAAAGTGGTTCCACAACGTTCGGTGTATATTCTTGGGACGTAATTTTTGAACATTTTGTCTTCAGGTGGAATTTGAACTCCCAAGCCAAATGAGTGGTACTTGTAGCTTATGTAGAACTTGGGAAGCAGTAACATTACAAAATCCTGTATTTCTTTCATCTTTTCAATCTTATCAATATCATCGGGAGAAAGCATTGGGGCACGGACACTGCCAAACAACTTGACAATATCATCTCGCAGACTTTCCTGAACTGGTCGATCATATGCCTTCATCCACTTTATTATTGCCTGGATGATATCCATTTCCGACTTGCAAACTATGGCGCCAGAATCCAACACCAAACTCAGCTCATTGGTTTCCAGTTCCACCAGCTTTCCACTGAGGTTGAAATGCTCAAAATTATGGCTTATGTACGTAATGCACTTATTGTACAATGCCTTGACATCATATTTCAAAGCAAACCTAAACCAAGGGATGGCATTTTCACCACAGACTTCCTCAACCATGAAATCAATGCACAGTGAAGCGAGATCTTTGACCAGATACTTATCAGCCAATAGACCGAGTGGAATGACATTTTCCTCATTCAGCTTTACTTTCCATGTGTAGAGAAACTCAAGGAATTCTGGGAAAACTTCCTCGCAGTCACCAGTTTCCTCCAAATGAAGATCAGAGGTCGAACACCAGACCTGAAATTAGAAATTAAGTTTAAAAAATTACTTTATGATTGGAAATCTGATTTTACTCTATACTGGAGTTTTCCACATCCATCCAATGCATATCATCATAGGAAAAAAATATTCTCCATAGAAATTTTAAATATTCTCTTTATCTCTATCACTTATAATCAGACTCATTCAAGCTCTTGGATTTGTGCCAAAATCTAAGAGACAAAAATTTGGCACATAATGAAATTGAAGAGCTTAAATGAAGGCGAGTAAATATGCATGGACTGCAAGATTTCCTAGGTTCTGCATTTTCACTTGTTTCACTTTGAATTTTTATACATGCTGCAGGGTTGTTCCTAAGACCCGGGGAATTTCCCCACCTTTATGATGTAATCCCCCGGTTATTTTGGTATTCCTCATAAATCCCCATTAGGGGAGGAACCCCAGATCCCATTTTACTTTTTAAATGTCCCCTTCTATTTCATTACTTAAGGAAAACCCTGCAGGATGATTGTAAATGATTTTGGTCTGAAAAATTTTTTGTGTTCAGTTCTTTGTGTCCCTTGAGTACAAAGGACAGACTGTCCTACGAGACCCCAAAAACTTTTGCATCCACTGAAAATAGTCTTTGGCCAATTGTACATGTATCCCCAAACCTGATTTTGTTTATGAAATATTACTTTCAAACTAATTCTTGACTGGGGGTTGCAATATACAGCATTCCTGATTCTCTCTGTATATAATGCATGCAAGGCCTAGAAAAAGAAATATGTTTCCACTTTCAAGCTTATGGTACATAGGGATTAGAAAGGCACTTATTCACTTTTTGTGAATTTCTTCAAACAAAACATGGATGACGATAGGACTGATGCTTTGAAACATTTCTGTGATTTAAATTTACATTCGAAATTTTTATACATTGGAAAAAATACAAAATTCAGATCCTCACTGATAAACATTTTGAAAAAGAAAAAAAGGTCAGTGCTATATTTTAGGGTTAGTGTGTTAAGCAGAAACATATTTTTTTTTTCCAAGGTCAAAGGTTTGTTACCAGATTTGTGAGTAGAGACAAAACTGATGGAAAAATGGAAACTTTTAACCATCATGTTAACACTCGAGACTTACAGACGAAAGCATGGTTTGAAAGACTTCACTGGCGCTTGCCAGAACAATGCGATGACCAAAATAGGTTGTGTCTCCAACCGTGATTCTAACATCACTGAATTCTTCGTTACAACAGAAAACCCCATAATCTGGCGGCTGCGCCCCATTCAGTTGTTGTCCATACTTTTGCATCAGGCGTTTTCCATATTTCAAAGAGGAAGTTGAACCTTCCATCATGTCGAAACCCTGTGTGATTATAAAAACATGTTAATTAACAAATACTTGATACTATAAATGTCATATACAAGTATATGTAAACTAGAATTCCTTAATATTGACAATATAAAAATAAAAGTCATACATGAGTACACAACAATAAGATGTTAACAGAAATTTCCTATTATCAACAATAAAGTAAGAATATTTCATTGCTTTAAAGGTGCTTGGACACAGATTTGAAGTTAATAATATTTTCTCTAATTTTCTGAATAATTTCATGACTCAGATGTTGCTATACCATTTCACACTAAAATATAATATAAATCGTATTTCATCTTGAAGTTATTAAAACTTTGAATTTCTGGACACATTGGATTGACACATCCTTGCGCTTTCACATATTTTAATTTTATTCTTAATACAGTACTTAAGAAAAGTGGCAATTTTGTTGTGCATTAATGAAAAATATTAAAACTATAACCCAGAAAATTCAGAGTAGAAATGTTCGAAAGCAAAACCCACACACAGTATTGTCAGTCCGTGCTCAGTGGGGTGTGCAGAGTTTGACAATTGAACACACCCGGTGAATCGTAAACATGAACTGTTGAACAATAACAGAGCTCATGCCCTGCTTACAAAAACAGTTTACGTTTCACAGGTGTGTTCAATTTGTTAAACTCTGTACACATCACAGAGCACGGACTGACAATACTGGTGAGTTGGTTTTGCTTTCGAACATTTCTACTCTGAATTTTCTGGATTATAGATGTAATATTTTTCATTAATACATAACCAAATCGCTTCTTTTCTTAAATATTAAGGATAAAGTTAATATTTGTGTAACTGCAAAGATGTGTTAATCAAACGAGTCCCGGAATTCGTAGTTCCAATAATTTCAAGATAAAATAAGTTTTTAAATATATTTTTGTGTGAAATCTATTGCAATAGTCATGATATTATCCAGAAAATTTGAGAAAATATTAAGTTCAAATCTGTGTCTAAGCACCTTTAATATAATCAATCAATAGTTAGTTAAACTTAAAACATCATCTTGTCATGAGGCTCATAAGGCCTGTGTTTATACCCATTTTCTGTAATGCTAAGCAGATGAGAATCATTAATTCCCATTGGATGGGACACCAGCCCATAGCAGGTTAACCCCCAGCATACAATGTAAGCCAGTGCCAATTACAGCTGGGTGGGGTGAGACATGACAGATGATACAAAAAATCTTTCTTTATAATCATGAAAATAACAACTTAAGCCATGTTAACATTTAAGTAACATGAAAGTTTAGCCACATGTTTTTTTTTTTAATCTTATATTTAAAATGTTCACATTAATGTTCATGATGTTGTTGGAAACATACTAGGCTAGTGATAAAAAAAGGTATGAAAAAGGTAAAAATTGGAACTCCAGAGTTTTATTTGTAGCATCTGTCCTTAAGCAAATTTTCCTAAATTATATATATTTTATCACTGTAAAATATGGCTCCAGTCCATGTAGGTGATCAAAAATTGCCTAAGGGCATAAAAGGAACATACAAATATGTTGTGAACATCGCCGCTTCCCCTCCCTCGCCCCAAAGTTAATTTTACTTGAGAACAAGTATCGTTCATTCTTGAAACTTGTAGTGCGCCATAAAATCTTCAAAAATAGATATACACAATTACAAAATAACCTGTGTGTCCATTAAATCTTTTACTCTTTCCTCCTGTGTTTAAACTATAAAATGCCCGCGCTGTTGTTGCGTTTTAAACTTTATTTAGATAGGTTGTTCTGCGAATATGTTAAATTTCACATCTAAAATATGATAAAAAAGAATTTACACGAAAGACAAAATAATATTAAGAGACAGTAAATTTTATGTTTCTGAACTTGAGTTGAAAGGATAATGGAAAAAATAAATAAAAAGCCCCCAAAAAATATGCTTTCCGGAATTTAACATGACGACTTTCACTTTTAGGTACTAATTGGCTAGATCAATAAAACGTTTTGAAATTCCGCTTCAGGTTGCTGAGCAAACTGTAAACATCAAGGTATGAAACTTGTCTAATAAATTAAAATAAGTCACCCTATAGTAGGTATAGCTTAGTATACCCTAAAGTTTTACCCTTTCGTTAATCTGAACTGTAAATCTAACGAAAAGATGTCACAATTTTCTCATCGCCAATATTGTAATTTTATGTGGTTCTGGAAAGATCTAGTGACATGCATAACACAGTAACAGATGGAACCGCCTTCTTGTTTGGAGTTATGCTCTTAAATAATCTGTAGACCAAAAAAGCTATCGTAAATTTTGATCCATACTTGTATTTTGTTTAAACAATAACAGCTGATGAAAAGGCAGTGCATGCTTACCTTTAAAGGCCTTTTTAGGAAAAAAAAAATTACTGAACATGTAAACATGTTAAATATGTAAATATGTTGATATATTTTTTTTTTACAGATTGATATGGATTTTATGGTTCATGGTTCACCAACACCAAGAAATCATGAGCGAGCTATTCCAGGTAGTGCACGGAATCGACCTGGAAGTGGAAGACCACCAAGCGCAAAGCCAACAGTAAACAGAAATCCCATAACTGTAAGGGTCGTTATTAGTTCTGTAGTCGATGGTTCTCATTTTGGGCTCGGGGGGTGGGATGGGAGGGGTGGGGGTGGACAGGCAGTCTAGGGTAAACCAGTGTATGTTACTGTTATCGGTCCTATAACATGTCCAACTTAATTTATGGGACCGTTTCTGACAAATGATAAATTCAATTTACAATGTGTTTAAGTTCAAATGTTTTCCATGTTGCCCCAGCCTATGCCAAGAAAGAAAATGTACAAAAAATTACAAAAGATACATCAATAGTCATGATAGTGGAAAAAAAAATTAGTTGCTCCAACAAAAGGAGGTATTAAACCTTGAAGAATGTGAAAGGAATCAATGAAATTAAGTGCATTGTAATAGTAAGATGGTGAACCTTTCTTTTTAATGAAAGTGCATATATATAATCTATAATCTAGCAGACTTCATACTTGTATTTGTTAAGTTTTGTTTGTACTAGTTATTACATTTTTTGCAGGGAGAGGAGAAACCTATTAGTAAGCCTGATGATAAACCTCCCAGTAGGCCAGACAGCAGACCAGTTGGGTATGGATCTCTAGATTAGAATTTAAAGACTCTTTAATTTGGTATTGTAAGGTATTTTATTGTGGAATTTGAAAAGAAGATGTTATATTCCTAACTCAACTGGACAAAGTCAAGATGAGCTTGTGCTATGACCCCAGCAATGGTGTTGGCATTGGCGTCTTTAGGAACAAGTCCATTCCTAAGTAATTATATGTCTTACTTGGTCCAAACTAGCATGAATGATGCATCAAGGGATGTATGTTACCAGACTTGCTTTAGATGCTGGCCTGACCTACATTTTCCATATGAAAGTTTTTGGTCCAGATTTACATGCAACTACATCCAGAGTTCATGCAACTATAAGCCTTACATATACCAAACTTGCAGGGATGATGCATCTAGGAATATACACTTTCAGAATGCTTCAGATGCTGGATGTGACCTACATTTTCCAGATGAGTGACTGTAAGCCTTAGGTGAACCAAACTACACGTAGCATGGTTGATGAATGTAGGGATTGACACTGGACAGTATAAGACTTGCTTCTGATGCTGGATCTGACCTACATTTTTTGGTAGAGTGACCAGGTTAAGAGTAGCTCTATTCCCAAATATCCATAAACCCTACCTCAACCAAACTTACAGGGATGATGCATCTAGGGATGCACACTACCAGACTTATATTTTCCACATGAATGACCAGGGTAGAGTTTTGGGAGTCTATCCGAACCAAACTTGAATGGTTATTTTTCTTGGGATTTGTTATGAGATTTGCCTTAATATGTTTAGCTGGTAACACTGGCACATTCCTTGAAGTGAGCTTGGCAATCTTTGAATACCAATTTGAAGTTCGATGTATAGAGAACGATAAAAAATATGAAGAAACGACAGCAATATGAAGAAATGATATCCCTTTTTTAAAAGAGATGAAAATGATAAAATATTGAGATATGTTTGAAATTTTTTTTTTTATATTGACAGGGTACCTGCTCTGAATCTTAAGGCTTTCCAGCACGAAGAGCACACAGTGTCCAAACCAATAGAAATGATAGATTATCCAGACACAGGGAGATCTGGGGTGTCTACTATAAGGTGTGAGATTTAGTAAACTGTTCTTCAATAAGAAGCCATAGCTCATATTAACAAAAACAGTCAGAGATTTTTAGAATCAGGAGATGAAGCATAAAAGAATGACAATGTATCTAAACTTTTGTCAAATAAGAGTAAGACCTGGGAAAAATTCTTACTGCATGTTTATTTGGTGTGGACAAATTTTGGGAAAAAGTTTATAGTAACTGTTATCATGAGTCTATAAAACCTTGTCGTAAAAACTGAAAATTTCTTTGAGTAATAAAAATTTATTAAATTTGCTTACATCACTAGGTTGTTAATATGCAAAAATCAATTTCATTGTTGGAAAATTATAGACTTCTCATTTTTGCAGTTGGGGTACACCTTGTTCATCAGCTAGATACAACATGGACAGAACTTCAAGCAGGACAGCAAATAAGGTAGAGTCAAACCTCATTATACAGAATTAAACAAGACAAAGAAAATTTTTTAAATGTCCAAGGATATGACATGTTGAGATTAAGAAAACAGAGGCTGGGACTTGCAGCTTGTTTGGATGTATCCATGGTATTCAAGAGATTGATGTTTGCCACATCAAAGTTCAACTGAATATGACTTGGCAAAGACAATTCATAAGGTGTAAAATATTAACACAATGCAAATATGTTTTTTCCATTTTTTTTATTAGTTAGTGTATACAGAGAGAAATAAATGTGGTTTTCTATTTAGAGCTTGGGAAAGATTAGTACAAGGAGATAAGGCAAAACGAGCAAAGCCTATTATTGTTGTTCCAAAAAGTTACCTGAAATTTAATACAAGTAAATTATTCTTTCACTTCCTTTTTCAGCCACAGAGCGGCAAAAGTGTACGACCAGATAGTGTTCCTGGTCTTTACTTTGGATACACTGACGACAACAAACAAAAAGTGAAAGTACACAAAGAAAAACAGGTACTGTAGCTAGATCACCAAATGGTCTCGTGTGAAAATAGTTTTTCACAAATAGAAAGTGATTTACAGTATCTTACTAAATGTACCTTATGTTTTAAGTCCTGTGGTAGAATCTTCTTTCAGTTTCAGAAAATATTACTATCTAAAATTAAATTAACTCCAGTTATATTTATTAAACAAAGGTGTGCATATACTATACAGACATGCAGTGTTTCCCCCATAAAATTTTTAATGCATGGGGGGAATTTTGCTGAATTGACAGCGCATGGTGTGTCTCATTGAGTTACTTGTGCATATATCTGAATTTATATTAAAATGAAAAATAAAAATGCATCATTCATTTATATATATATTTTTTAATTTAAATGATATATTTTGAATATATTGTCAATTTCATGTTTAAAAAAGCTAAACAATTAAGTTCTCTTTTATAAAAATAGACCTAATCACAAAAAAATGTTCTATTTTATTTTCCTCTAAAGCAACGGTCTTTTTATCATGTGCTGTGTTATTCTTGCTTTCTACAAAGTGAATAGGACCCTAGTGATCCCCCCTTTTTTTATTTAGTACATTTTTTTGTGGATGTCCCTACTTTTACATGCAGTCTTTTTTAAACAAAAAGGGTGCACACTATGTAGCACCATTGCTTACATGTAAATACTGTGACAACATATTTAGTACATTGGTTTCTGATTTTTTTCTATTCAACGCAAGCTGTTGAATGTGGGTCAAGCATGTGCGCTTGAACGAAGTATTTGCCCATAGTTCATACAGTAAATAAACAATGATAATATTTATTTGACATGTTTATTTTTTAGGCATATTTAGGCTAAAAAAAATGACTTTAAAATTATGTGTTTTTTTTTTTATGTCGGAACATCAATGCTATTTATAGAATGACCTGTGGATGTTGGAAAAACCCACATGTGCATTAAAAAGTGTATTACTTTCACTGTGTGTACTATCTGACAGCAATTAATAAATTTTTCATGCTTATAAATATTTTTAATCAAATAAAAGCTTAATACTTAGTAACATATCAGTAAATTGCAATAAACATAAATTGACAATTTTTGCATCATACCCTGTACCGCGATTCGCATCGAGTTCACTACAGGTGCGCAACATGTGTACAGTACACGCTATGATTCTAGTAATTTGAATTGTTTTATTGAAAGATTAATAACTGATAACATTCAAAGTACCGGTATATCTTCTTTTTAACATAGTCTACCCTTAATAATTCATGCATAGCGGGAAGCATAGCGGCAATGTGTGATGCATGGCGGGGGATCGCTATGCAAAAACGGCCTGGGGAAAACACTGTCATGTACAAGTAGCTTTCATGATTGTCATGTCCTGGCTATTTAAATGTCCATATTGTATGCTTGACATATACAAATTTTAATGGCAATCTCCCACGTTGATGAAAAAAATTAGGGCAAGTTGACATAACTTTTGGTTGCCCTGGAAAGGGCTGTTTTGTCTTTGTCTTGGCATCTAGTGTGATCCTCTGAATTATCTCCCTTGGACTGTAGGCAGATGGGTTTGGGATGAAACCCTTTACCAACATAAAAATCTGTATTATACAAATGGCTGTTTTTAATCAATAATATTATGATGTTGTATGGTTTTATTTATAGCCCACTGCTTGGGACAAAAACCCGTGTCCAGATGATTTACCCCCTCCTTCGGAACGATATAAAGAAATGTACCAACAGTATACTGATGACATGAAGCAATCTTATAGGGCCAAAAATCAGTCTGCTACAGAGGTGTGTAATATCAAATATTTATTGGGATTTGTCAGAGTGAATAAATATAGTAATATATGTTCTTGAATCAGTCTGTGACCAAGGTTTGTCTCTAATACAGCTGAACTTCGTTATCTCAAACACCAATGTCTTGAATACTAGAGATGTGTTGAGGTGTGTTGGCAGTCCCGATCACATTACTTTTAATGTTTTTACCCAGGTTATCTGGAATCCTTGGATATCTCAAAGATTAATCTTGTTCCGGTTGAGTTTGAGATAATGAGGTTAGATTGTACATTGTATTTTAGAATTTTGAATGGAATTATAATTGATAGGAGGATGTACACAAAGAAATCGCAGCTGTAAAAAAGTCTCACCCCAAAACTTATGGAGAGATTCGAGATGAGGTAGAAAAAGAAAGTGCCAGGTACGATGAACCAGAGGATATCCTGGACAAGAACTGGGCAGAAAGAAAATCCTACTCCACACAACAGATGATGAAAATTATGGATGCCGTAAGAAAGATTATTTTTCTTTTAAAAATTCTATATTGTCTTGTAATATAAACATGTAGTGCTGGATAAGGTACTAAATACATTCCTTTATTAATTTTCCAAATTGGATTGTTTTCCAGGAAGAATTAATAGAATTTAACAAGCAGCAGAAATTAATCGAAACTGTGATGATAGACCAATTATCAAGGTAGTTATATACACATTAGAAAATGTTTACAACTTTACAAGTAAGTTAATCAAAAGTATTCAAAACTTGGGCGGATCCAAGAATTTTTTCTGGGGGTAGGAGGGTATAGGAGAAGACACTTTCCTTAGTCAATTTCCTTCAGTTACATGACTGGATATATGATCCCCTTACCATTTTAAGAGAGTTTTATGTTTCCAGCAGTAGGGTGGTGGGTGGGTGGGGGTTCCAAGGTCATTTTTAGTTACTTTTACATAGAAATTTAATTGTTTAAAAATTCCAGGAGGGGTCAGAATCCCCAGAATATTTGTTTTTAATCTTTAAATTTCTATTATTATAACCACTACCGTTGAAATCATAATTTGAATGTTTACTTATTTCTTCTTATGATTTATCTCAAGTGCTTGAGATTCTTGCTGATAAGGAAAATTTGTTTTTGTTAAGGCCCGTTATTAGTGACCCAGAACAGAATATACGAACACCAGTCCCTAACGATACCAGGCGAGCAAGGGGAAGTAATCGATATCTTCATGACTCCAGGTACAAGGGCTATTGATTAAAACAAAAATCAGTTAATTAAGTACAGTTCTTTGTAAAAATCATGCAAAATAGGCATGTAGGTGATATATGAGGGTTCTCAGAATTTGATGATTTTCCACACATAGTTTTCTTTTGCCCTATGAAACATGTATGCAAAAGGAAAAATGTTTTGATTCACGGTTACCATGGAAACATGGGTAGAGAAATTTCCCTAGCAACCAGCCAGTTTTCAGCTTCGATGGACTAAAAAATCTCGTATCTTTCAGGCTCAAATTAAATGTAAATACTAAAAGAATTTCTTTTTCATTGCTGTTATTCTCAAGATAATGATCTTAACAGTTTTCACAATCAAAAATATAGAAATAAGATTTAAAGATATATCTGTGATAGATGTGGGAATATATGCATGTTTTTCCTTTTTGCTGACTCAGCATTTTCCTTGATTTTGGAATTATTCAATGCCTAATTACTCCAGTGATGGACCTCATACAGACATCCTGTGTATATAACATAAAAGCAGAGGATTTTGTCTTTTAGAATTTGAATTCAGAAGCGTATAATTTTTAAACATTCCTATCCGTTGCCTAGCAACAAAAATGGATGTTTTGATGAATAAAAAGAGAAAAAATGTAAAATGCTAACGTCATAAATCACCTAACTTGTTATCTTTGAATACTCAAAACAAATTTTACAATAAATTGAAAATTTTGAGACCTCTCTGCAAACTTTGGAATGTTTTACAATCTGTAATCTCCATGGTAACAACAATTTCCCCTTAGCAACACATCAAAGAATAACGATTTTAGCATGTTCACGTACCTGTTGTTAAGGATTTTTCAAAGCATGCCATAAAATTGTGATTAGGCAAATTTTACAATGCAATTAATATCTTATAAAATTCTATTTTTCACTTGATTTTCCTATGGCAACAAGTATTAGCACATAGCAACCAATGTATCCTATGTAGAGTTAAGAGTCATTCTTTGTAGGAATTTCAATTGTTTTGATACTCAGAATCAAGATTACAGAACATTGTTATGTAAAATCATTGCTGGTACAAAATATACATAAATATATACATTTGCAATCAAGATTCAAAAATTCAAACTAAGAATGTTACCATGGTAATGGGTATAAACATTTTTAGCTCACCTGAGCCGAAGGCTCAAGTGAGCTTTTTTGATCGAAATTTGTCCGTTGTCTGTCGTTGTTGTCGTTGTAAACTTTTCACATTTTCATCTTCTTCTCCAGAACTACTGGACCAATTTCAACCAAACTTGGCACAGGGTATCCTTGAGTAAAGGGAATTCGAGTTTGTTCAAATAAAGGGCCATGCTCTCTTCCAAGGGGAGATAATTTCAAATTAGTGAAAAATTAATGGCATCTTTTAAAAATCTCCTTCTCAAGAACCACTGGGCAAGGAAAGATGAAACTCATGTGGAATCATTCTCAGGTAGTGTAGATTCAAGATTGTTAAAATCCTGACCCCCGAGTTTAGGGTGGGTCCACAATGGACGATCAAAATTTTACATAAAATATATATAGGAAAAGTCTTCTCAAGAACACCAAAGCCATCATTGGTTATGAACTATTAGGAAGTATCCTAAAGTAGTGTAGAGTCATATTTGATTAAAATCATGACCCCCTGGGGATATTTAGGGGTCACAATTGATTATTAAAGTTATGCATAGGGATACATAGGACATTTTTTTTTTTTTTTTTTTTAAATCTTGTTCTCAAGAAGAGCAAAGCTATGATTAGTCATATTTATATGGAAGCATCCTCAGATAGTGTAGATTCAGATTTGTTGAAAACATGACCCCCGGGGGAAGGGTGGGACCATAATGAAAGTTCAAACTTGTTATGAAAAAAGTCACAATTAGTCAAAGAAATATGAAAGCATCTTTAGTTAGTGTAGATTCAGTTTTGTTCAAATTATACCCCCCCCCCCCCTCTTTTTAGGGGTAGGATGGGACCACATATTCATTAAAGCTTTTCAATACTGAACTGATTCTTTCTTTTTTTCGAAGCCACAGTGCTCAAGTGAGCGATGTGGCCCATGGACCTCTTGTTGTTTATATCATTTCAGTTTTATTTCTTCATTTTCATTCAGAGCTCATTGATCTTTCTAAATTAAAAAAAAAAGAAATATACAAGCACGGGTTTTCAAGTTTTGAAAAAAAAAAAATATGAATGCACTTCATTAATTATTATTTCATGAAAGAAATAAATTCATTTTTTTAATTAAAGTATTTTATAAAATGAATGTTCGCATTCTGGCATAGTAAATTTTCCGCACTTTTTCCTATGCTTGTACCGGAAATTGAATCTTATGTGGGATTTTCGTGGGGGAAAATCCTACTCTAGAGTCATTAATCCGTGGGGGAATCCTACTCTAGAGTTAATTTTCCGGGGGGAAATCCTACTCTTGAGCCAGTTTTGTCGGGGGGGTTAGAGGGGAAATCTTACTCTACAAGACCGGTAGATAATGAGCTGATTTTTGGTATGTCTCTTGATATTGTTGACTTACAAATCAGGTTTCGAGTTTCTTTGGTCCATTTGTTGCTTACCAGAGCAGATGGTTCAAGGTTCCGATCATATTTTGTCCGGCGTCCATCGATCTGTTCATCTGTCAGACTGCCGTCTGTCTGTCCGTCTGAAAACTTTTTCGACATTTTCGACATCTTCTCAAGAACTACTGGGCAAATATCAACCAAATAGCAACAAAGTGTTCTTTAGTTAAGGGAATTCAAGTTTGTCCAGATGAAGGGTCAAGCTTTCTTCCAACGGGAGATGATTACGAATTTAGTGAAAAATTATTGACATCTTTTAAAAATCTTCTTCCGAAGAGCCAATGGGTCAGAAAATATTAATCATATATGGAAACATTCACAGATAGCGTAGATTCAAGTTTGTTAAAAATGACTTTTGGAGGTAGGTAGGTTTAAAGTTTGTTCGAATCATAAGCCCCAAGGGAAGAGTGGGGCTAAAATAGGCGATCAAAGTCTAACATAGGAATACACAGGATTTTCTTTTAATCTTCTTTTCAAGAACAGTATAGTCATGATTAGTCATTTATTTGGAAGCATTCTCAGGTAGTGTAGATTCAAGTTTGTTCAAAGCATGACCGGATGGGGGGAGGGAGGAAGTTTGGGCCACATTAGGCAATGAATTTTCTTACATAGGAATACATAAGTATATGGGAAATATCTTTAAAAATCTTCTCAAGGACCACAAATCCATTAATTATATTCATAATAATACAGAAGCTGCAGATTCAAGTTCGTTCAAATCATAACACTTAGGGGTAGTGTGGAGCCACAACAATGATCAAAGTTATACAAAGGAATACAGAAAAAAACATGCTTATAGATAAGGAGCTCATATATGAAATGACGCTTACAGGTAAGTGATCTGTGGGTTAAGAAAATATTTGGTACTGTACTTTATCAAATGAGTTGAAATGGCGTATATTCCCGATGTTTTCCGAGTGACTATACACAACTTAAACGACATGGATAAGGCAAGTACCACGTCACACAGCTATAGTTTTTATTAATCGCACAATTATAGATATTTTGGTTATCTCATTAGATTTTCTTTTCTCACAAAAATTTAAGATAATCCCTGTAAAATGATGTTAATTGATCTCTATCCAAATCGACGACGAGTAAATTGATGACGTCGCATTGTTAACGTTGAAATGTTGAAGGTTTTTTTGTAAATCTATACAAAATATGAAATCTCGGAATTATATTTGCTGAGTCTTTTAAAAGATACGTGACAATTTGTTGAAGATTCATTTTATACAAACTTTTAATTTTGAAGTTGTACACGTTTTAATATGTAAGAAAGTATTGATGAAAGTGGCTAGACTTTCCTGAATGGTAAAATGAATCATGCAACACGAACTTGATGAAAGTGGCTAGACTTTCCTGAATGGTAAAATGAATCATGCAACACGAACTTCACTGATAGGCCTAATGTTTCCTTTGAGAACGTGTTGGTGGTGTGGGGAATGGGGTTAACATTCATATTTACAGTAGTCAATTTAAAAAAAAATGAAATTTCGTTGAGGTAAAACGAGAGCTTTCTTGTTTTTAACAAAATGTTTGCTCATTATCATTTACGTTAAATGCAAGAACTTTCAAAAATAAAAGTTTTGAAAATTTTACGTCTTAAGCATGGGATTGTGTCAAAACAGGAAGTGCTATCTATAAAGCATACGCATTCGGCAAGGATAAAACATAAGTTTATCTTATGGGCAGTATCTACCACAAGTTTGAGATTAAAGGTAATTAGTTTAATCTCACACATGTGATGGACACTACCCATAAGATAAACTTATAATGTATTAAAATTGTCTATCCCTGGTACTTCGATATAAGCATGTTTTACTATATAAAGAAAAGTTTAAAAACAGCAAAGCCACAATTAGTCACTTTAATTCAGAAGCATCCTTAGTGGAAATTTTACGTTTGTCGAAATCAAATGTAACCGGGCTTAGGGTGAGGACCACGATAGAAGATCGAATGTATAGGGAAAACCTTGTAAAGCTATGATTAGGTAAATAGATATGGAAGCATCTTTAGATAGTTAGGCCTTTGTTTTGTCAAATAATTTTGGACCAATATCTTTAAGTTTTCAATACTGAACTCTGTTCTGTTTTTCTTAAGCCCAAGTGCTAAGGTGAGCTATGTAGCCAATGGGCCTCTTGATACAAAAGTTATAGCTATTAGACTTAGTTTCTAATTGTCAAAACAAGGCTATAATTATAGACAATGCCTGCTGCCTAATATATTTATGTAGATCATATTAAAATATGCTCAAATGAAAAATTTCTAATAATTTACTTTTTTTAAATGTTTGGCTGTAGAGCTGATTGACTGACAAATCAATTCAAGTTTATTGCTGACTGACCCACTTTTATGAAAGTACTTGTATTAGTACCTTGAATGTAAAAAATCCTTTTATTCACTGCTCAGTTCAATAATAAAAATTTCAAATCTTTTTTTTTCTTTTGCTATGCCTGCAGATAATTAGCTGAAGTTTATTATGTTTCTTTAAACCAATGACCAAGATTAGGTTTGACAATCATGATAAAGATAGAAATGTATAGCCCTCAGATTTACATATGTAGAAATTCACAGATGGTCTTTTGTTTGTCTCTTCATATTTTATTTTCTAGTTTCGCATTGATTGGACCATTTCAGTAAGTTCACCTGTACAGAAGGTGGAGGTAACGAACAGTGATCGATCTCATAAAATCCATAAACATTACAAATATGTGAAGAGGGCATAAAACACGGACCCCTGGAAATTACACAGGTTGGACCAGGTGCCTAGGAGGAGTAAGCATCCCCTGTTGACCGGTCACACCCGCCGTTAGCCCTATGTATTTATCAGGATGACGGAACTTTTCGTAGTCCATTCAGTATAAAAACAAAGGCCTAACAATTGGTATGAAACAAGTCATCCAAATACGACCCAATGACAGGATATATTTGCTGACAAGATCATTATAACGACCATAAAATTTACGAAATACCAACTTTAAATAAGGTTGTTGAAATCCCTGTAACATCAACTTATCAGTGAGTAGCATGCCTCGCTTTAAAAATTGATCGTACTCAGAGCAAGCTCTTGAATACCGAATAAACACCATAAGCAAGTGACACTGGAACGTTACTACAAACTGTTGAAGTGCTTTAGAGTATGACTCTCAACTCTTCATAGATTACATTGGTTGTTATGTTCACAGAATCGTTGCCATGGGTTTATCAAGTAAACAATAAAACTTTGATAAGATGCTAATTGCTTTGTAAAATTTCTTAATCACAATTTTACAGCATGCTTTGAAGAATCCTTAATAAAATCTTTCCCCCGGAAAACAGACTCTAGAGTAGAATTTGCCCCACAGTAATCCCATATCAGATTCAATTTTCTGGTACAAGCATAGCAAAAAATTAACTATGCCAAAATGCGAAAATTCATTTTATAAAATACTTTAATAAAAAAAAAATGAATTTATTTCATTCATGAAATAAAAATTAAAGAAGTGCATTAATATTTTTTTTTTCAAAACATGAAAACCCGTGCTTGTATATTTCTTTTTTATGCCCTCGTATCGAAGATTCGGGGGTATATAGTTTTTGCCCTGTCCGTCCGTCTGTCTGTTTGTCTGTTTAAATGTTTGTCTGTTTCTCAGCAAAAACTTGAACATTGCCCATAGCTTTGATTGGAGCTATGGTTTTCATATTTCACATGTGTATTCCTTGTGACAAGACCTTTCTTTGGGTACCACCATATTTGACTTTTTGACCTTGGAGTTTGACCTAGTTTTACACAATTTTACCCAACTTTAACCCTTGGCCATAACTTTTGAACAATTGGTGCTAGGGCTTTCATGCTTCACATGTGTATTCCTTGTGACAAGACCTTCCTTTGGATACCAACAACTTTGATCCTTTGACCTTGACCTTGGAGATTGACCTACTTTTGGGAAACTTTAACCTTGGCCATAACTTGTGAACCGTTGGTGCTAGGGATTTCATACTTCACATATGTAATCCTTGCGACAAGTCCTTCTTTTGGATAGCAACAACTTTGACCTTGACCTTGGAGTTTGACCTACTTTTGAAAAACTTTGACCTTGGCCATAACTTTTGAACAATTGGTGCTAGGGCTTTCATACTTCACATATGTAATCCTTGTGACAATACCTTTCTTTGGAAACCAACAATTGTAATCAATTGACCTTGACCTTGGAGTTTGACCTTCTTTTGGAAAACATAAACCTTGGTCATGACTTTTGAACGATTAGTGCTTCAGCTTACATATTTCACCAGTATAATTCTTGTGAGAAGGCCTTTCCTTAGGCACCATTATTTTGTACCTTTTGACCTTGACCTTGATGTTTGACTTACTTTTGAAAAACTTTAACCTTTTCCATATCTATTCAATGGTTGCTGCTAGGGCTCTCATATTTCACAGGTATATTCCTCGAGACAAGACCTTACTTTGGGTACCAACATATTTGATTTGCATTTGAGAAAGTTTAACCTTTGCTATAAGTTTCCATACGGGGGTATCTTGTTTTTTTTAATTTAGAAAGCTCTGAAGAAAAATGAAGAAATAAAGCTGAAATGATATAAATAAAAATGTTTATACCCGTTACCATGGTAACATTCTTCGTATGAATTTTTAAATCTTGATTGCAAATGTATATATTTATGTATATTTTGCACCAGCAATGATTTTACATGTCAATGTCCAGTAATCTTGACTCTGAGTATCAAAACAATTGAAATTCCTACAAAGAATGACTCTTAACTCTACATAGGATACATTGGTTGCTATGTGCTCAGAATCGTTGCCATGGAAAAATCAAGTGAAAAATAGAATTTTATAAGATGCTAATTGCATTGTAAAATTTGCCTAATCACAATTTTACAGCATGCTTTGAAAAATCCTTAACACAGGTATGTGAAGATGCTAAAATTATTATTCTTTGATGTGTTGCTAAGGGGAAATTGTTGTTACCATGGAGATTACAAATTGTAAAACATTCCATAGTTTGCAGAGAGGTCTCAAAAAGTTCAATTTATTGTAAAATATGTTTTGAGTATTCAAAGACAACAAATTATGTGATTTATGACTTTAGCATTTTACATTTTTTTCTCTTTTTATTCATCAAAACATCCATTTTTGTTGCTAGGCAACGGATAGGAATGTCAAAAAATTATACGCTTCTGAATTCAAATTCTGAAAGACAAAATCCTCTACTTTTATGTTATATACACAGGATGTCTGTATGAGGTCCATCACTGGAGTAATTAGGCATTGAATAATTCCAAAATCAAGGAAAATGCTGAGTCAGCAAAAAGGAAAAACATGCATATATTCCCACATCTATCACAGATATATCTTTAAATCTTATTTCTATATTTTTGATTGTGAAAACTGTTAAGATCATTATCTTGAGAATAACAGCAATGAAAAAGAAATTCTTTTAGTATTTACATTTAATTTGAGCCTGAAAGATACGAGATTTTTTAGTCCATCGAAGCTGAAAACTGGCTGGTTGCTAGGGAAATTTCTCTACCTATGTTTCCATGGTAACCGTGAATCAAAACATTTTTCCTTTTGCATACATGTTTCATAGGGCAAAAGAAAACTATGTGTGGAAAATCATCAAATTCTGAGAACCCTCATATATCACCCTTTGCATGATTTTTACACAGAACTGTACTTAATTCACAAAAAAAAAAAAATGATATTAATAAATTAAAAAAAAAAATTAGATTAAAAAAACAAAAAGAAAACAATTTTTTTTCTTCAAATCTTAGTAATATTTATATTGCATAATGTATAATATATTATAAATATATTTTAATATAGAGTCAGAACCAGTGCCACTGCCACAGAAAATTTATTGTCAAAACGGGTCCGATTTGGTGCTAGAATTCTAACAAGGTAAGATTAAGGCATTGACCATACTTAAAAGATTCTTTTTCTAAGTAATATCAAAGAATACATTTTTATACTCCCCGCTTGAAAAGCAGGGGGTGTATAGTGATGGGGGTATCCGTCCGTTCGTCTAGCTGCACGTCCGTCCATTACACTTTGGGGTACACATCTCTTATCCGCAACGCCTCTTATACCACCGAATGAAATTTAATGAAACTTACAGAATTTTTGTTACATAGTGCATTTGTGACCTCCTATTTTACTTTTTGATCAGACACATATGTCGGATTTCCAATAGCAAAACATAGATGCTGCCATTCTTTCTATAATATCGAGAGGTACCCTTCTTTTATCTGCATCTCCTCTTATTCCATTGAATTAGCCCTTAGTTTTCTTAACTTTTAGGCCCTCTTTCCTATGAAATTGCATTCCAATCCAAATCACTTCATGTGTGTATTCTACTTTCATGAACAGTATGAAAAGATAAATGTGTACATGTATTTTATTTTGATTGTAGAAATGGGCATGATGCTTTAAGAGAGTTAACAGGTTTTTATTTCCATGTAGACAACACACTCACAATATATGAATTTAGACAGTTTGGTAAAAGGTTAGTGTAGCATTAATTTTTTTTTTTATTTATAACTTTGAAAAGATATCATTTGTTTAAAAAATTGATTTTGAAATTGAGAGTAATGGTACACATGTTAAAGTAAAAAAAAAATAATAACCAAAATTTTAAAAAAGCAAAAAATATGAAAGATCAATAAATATACAAAAAAAAATTATTTCATTGACAAAGAATTTTTGTTGGATGAAGATATTAAAGAAAAAAAATCAAGATTTTATACTGATTTTTAAAAATTATATCTGTTTCCCCTGATTCTCTATTTTTAGTGCTAAAGCATTGCCCTTAATAAAGAGAGGGAAATACAAGCACCTGACAGGAGGCAGAAAGAATGAGCCATACACACTGTTAGATATATACTCAGTAAGTAATTGATATAAACAGTAATTTTTAAGACCATGCAGTTTTTGCTGTTCCTTTATAAAATTCACACAAAATAAGATGAATTCAAATTGTGTATTTAAGGTTCATTGATACTCTTATAAGAGAAGATAACTGTGATTGGGATATTATTGCCTATTATTTGTTTATGAAATTGTCAAATTAAAAGGCCAATTTTTGTCAAATTTTGCTCTGTAAGCTATGCAAAAATTGTTTGCATTTTAATTATAAATCAGATTGTTTTGAAAAATCATTAGTGTTAAATTATCTTCTAGTTTGGTATTTGCCATCGTTAATGCTGATTTAATGGTTGCAAACTGAGTTTTACAGGTGACGCGTAAGCGGAGCAAGTAAAACGGATGTTTGCGACTGTTAAATCAGCATTTACTGTGGCAAATACTAAATTAGAAGATAGTTATTCCCATTCTAATGCAATTTATGCCTTTTGTTTGATGTTTATGTCTTATTTTGTTGGGTTTTGTTATATGAAATACGTCACAGAGTGTTGTGTTTTTGCTTCGCTCTATTATGACATCACAATCAAAAGTTTTCACTCTCGTTAATACTCATTTAACTACCTTAAACATCATTGCATTAGCTAATCAAAATTCATTTTACAAAGCAGTTGCATTAGAATTGAAGTTTTTACATGATTGAACAGGGATATGGTGAACCTTTATTTAGCTTCATTCCAGGAACTTTGAATTGCAAAAAGTAAAATAAAACATTTATACACTGAAGCTTGTCTAATCCAGGTGTTGTATATTTTGAAATCTTACCTATTACAGTATGATAGAAACTTCTTATGAGTGATTAATTTTCCAAAAAAAAAAAAATTAATGCCTCGCACAGAAAATGTTAAATTACTTGTAAGTCTCTATAGATGCAAGTGGACATGACTATTTCACATCACTAAAATATTCTCTGCAGTCAATTTCACAGTATGGTCTTTCGAAAACATAACTTTTGCATATTCTCCTCAAGTTATTTCAGAGTTACATTCCATCTAAATTTTCATCAAGCACTTATATTAATATTGCTTCTAGTGAATTAGTTTTCTGGTATAATTATTAGGGATAGAGATTGACATTTTTAGTTGACATGTATGCTTGAGAATAGTGTGGTTGCATCAATATTTATTCATAAAATTAATCAAATTATAAATGTCATATCTAATAACAAATGTTAAAAAAATCTCCATAGAAATATTTTTCTGTCTTTGGCCATGGAGTTTTCATATTACATTATATATATATATATAGGGAGCAAATCTGATAATTTCCACGGAGGGCCAGCACTCTCTACCAGACACCATGAAGAAAGCTGACCATGTTTACTTCCGAGTAACAGATGTGGACGAGGCAGCAAAACAGGAACTCATGTACGTACAATAGGGATGGGTATCACCAAAAATTTCGTATATCGCGATATATCACAATTTTTCCCCAAAATATCACGATAATATCATGATATTTTTACAAGCAATTTTACAATGATTTTAGATGAATATTCATAATTTTTTCCTAAAAATATGGTGGAAAAACATAACTTCACTTTTTTTTTCATTTTTTATTTACGTAAGATCAAGCAAATTTGGATACTAGGATGCCTTTCTTTTACCGTTTTCAACATTCTTTACACTTCCTGTAATTGTAATTTGAAAGACTGAACAAAAAATGAATAATTTCTGGAATTTTTAACAATGTACTTAAATACCAGTATTTTAGTCTCCGTATCACAATACGTATCACACAATTAAAAATCACGACATACCGGTTTACCGTTAAAATCGCACATCCCTAACGTACAAAGTGTCGGGATGTATAATTGAAAATATACTGTGAAGGTATTATATTTAGCAGGTTCAATATTTGGCGGAAATTGATTTTTGAACAAGTTAGCATAGATTTGATTCAATGCTTTCTGAATATATGATATATATGTAAAATATGCACACATCATCGGATAGTCACTGGTGATCTCGTCTTTTATCACCTGTGGGCAAACTCACTGAAATATCCTAGTATGTAATTAATATGCGTGGGTCATTTGATTGGCTGCTGCACAGAATCGCGATGGCATATCAACGCATCACAGTTTACGTTATATATGTATGTACGCTTTTCCATGTTAGCACGCCTGTGCATTTAGCAGTTTGAGAAAGGTACTCCTATATTATTCCTGAAAGGTATTTAATGCCTGGCAGTGACATGTACATGTACTATGTGTTTTTTATCGTTTTAAAACAAATTTCGCATGTTTTAACAATTTCACAGTATTACCATAAATAGCAAACTTCTGAATGTACATTCAAAATTGAGGAGTTCCAACTTTCTGATTGGTTGTTTATAATCAATAAATTTGCATAATGTAATAAACGACAAGATTTTAGCGAGTTTCCCCGCGGGTGATAAGTACAAGACAAGATCGCCCGTGGGTATCTTATGATGGCACACACAAGACATTTAGCACTGTATATGTACTTGATTAAGCAGAAGCTGTTTTCCATGAAAGGCGCTAAGTAGAGTACACAGCCAAATGTAGTAAATTTACAGTAATGAGCTTAGGCAGAACATACAAAAAAATGTGCTTACAAATGTGCACACTTCTGACTGACAGCAGTCTTTTGAAAATGGTTTCTTCAACCTTCATGTTTTAAAATATTAAACCCTGCTAAATTTTAGCAAAATCTTGTCAAAAAATTCTGGTCATCTCTTAAAAAAATAAAATTGGGTAATATTGATTTACAAATATTTTTGTAGTGCTAGTGATATGCCAACCACCTACAGACAAGGTCTTCAGAAGTCCATTGATGCAGATGTACAGAAAGTGGTGGCTGCTGTACAAGGTGAATAAATGAAATATCATTTGTTTGCAAGTTAATCTTTGCATGGAAAATTTTTACCCCCAATTTTAGCCCAGTACTTATCTACTAGGGGTCATGATTTATGAAGTGCATGAAAATGCTTAATTTTTTACAAGGACTTTTGCCCCAGCTTTACTGTAGAAGAAGTTTTAATACATGTAGATATTCTTCCTATCCAATATATATTTTAACCCCCTATTGTTGCCACATCTTAATCCAAGCAGTCACAATGTTAACAATGACACCTCAAAGCAGAGCATCCCTATGCAGTAGAGCAAATCTATCCCATTATAATTTATTTTGAGTAACTTCCATGATTACACATACACTCCAGGCCCGTAGCAATGATTTCAAAAGGGGGGGGGGATGTCCGAAGTCCCCCCAAAAAATCTGACAAGCAAAAAAAAAAAAAACCTGAACTGTTCAAAAAGTGTGTGTGTGTGTGTGTGTGGGGGGGGGGGGGGGGAGGTATCTAAGAAGAAAAAAATACTGTCCAAATCTTGGAATTTTTCCAGTGCTTTACCTTACAGCAACAAAAAGTTGGGAGGGGGGGGGGGGGGAACCAGCATCTAAATGGAAAAAATAATTATAGCAAAATACATAGGGAAAAAGTGCTGCCCCCCCCCCCCCCCCCAGCCGTCTATGGGCATGCACTCACCAACTCGCCAACACACACACAAGCATGTAACTATGTCCCCTCCAACTTCATTGCTAGGGGATGATAAAGCTTGATTCATTGAATAATATTAAAAAATACTGTCCAAATCTTGGAATTTTTCCAGTGCTCTACCTTACAGCAACAAAAAGTTGGGAGGGGAGGGGGGGGGGGGGGAGGGGAACCAGCATCTAAATGGAAAAAATAATTATAGCAAAATACATAGGAAAAAAGTGCTTCCCCCCCCCCCCCCCCCTCCCAGCCGTCTATGGGCATGCACTCACCAACTCGCCAACACACACACAAGCATGTAACTATGTCCCCTCCAACTTCATTGCTAGGGGATGATAAAGCTTGATTCATTGAATAATATTAATTTAATATAGAAAAATGAATATATTCAATGTATGCTTTTGTAGCTGAGGTGCGAGAGAAGATAAAGAAGAGAGGTATAAAGACATACACAGGACTGGGCCGGTACTACAGGGAGAGAGATGAGAGGGGGGACGGAGTTATGTACAGGTTCCAGCTGGAGAAAGGACTGTTCACATTCCACATAGATCTTGATCCCGAGGTGAATGACATTTAAAATTCCTAATGTCTATTCTTCGGTATTTTCAGTACCAATGAGCATTATTTTAAAGTTGCTTGGTCTGATTGTTATGGTAAAAAAATATTTCTGGTTGTTCGTGAGAAATAATTCTCCAATTTGAGCTTCCACTTTCATAAATTTATATTCTCAGAGTTGGTTTCTTTTAAAAGGTATTATAATTCAATAAATTTTTAAAGGTAATTTTTGTTGGGTCACAAAAATTAGAGAGAATGCAAAGTTTCTGCATGTGCATTTGCTTTGTAAACTTATCACACAATGGAAGTCAAATGAGCACATGGTAGTCCCAAATCTCTAACTGACTCTGGGCTTAAAAAAGGAAACCTGAACTCAAAAGAGACCAAAAGCAGGGTATTCATTTAGAAAAAAACACAAAGGGGAGTACCTGAGGGAATTGACAGGGATGAACTGCAATTCGGAACATTATATAGATACAAATACATGTATGTCAAATGGAAATTTCATGTGTTTATCACGGTGACCTCAGCTGGGTTTGTTTACTTCTGGAAGTCACATGGTCTCACCCATTTATATCTCCATAGCGTGTTTGTTTTGTCAATGTGGTTTTTGACTTAGATTTCTTGTATAAATATTGTTTTTAACAGAAAAATCAGTTGCATGATTTATTTTTATACACTCATATTCTATGTATTCATTTACATTTAATGTGTATGAAAAATGTGAGTCTCCGTTGATCAAGTGACTTTAGACATTCTTTTGGACAGCTAGGGGGACAGAAAGTAGGTTCTGGTACAAAGGAAATGAATATAATCTTCATTATTTCTAATGGTAAATAATTGCTTACTCAGAAAAAATACATGTACATGGTGTTAGATACATGTATGATTCCATTTCTGTGTATTTTTTGTCATATTGTTTACCATTTATGAGTGATGTTTTTGGCAAGAATAAATAACATGTGTAAATGTAATTTAATGCTTGTTTCATCTTATTGCAGTTACTGGATGCCATATTTGAAGCATTAGATGTAGACGAGACAGGAGAATTAGACTACAGTTTGTACATGAGGGAGGTCCTAGGACAGATGAATGAATATCGCAAGTCTAAAGTCAGAAAGGCAAGATTGACAATTAGGGCTTGAAATGTAGAAATGTTAAAAAAGTGAAAAAAAAATCAAAGTTTTGTATAATTGAATACTTAATATGTTGAATGTGTAGTCTGCAAAGTAAAAAAAGGCAGGAAATATTGTTAAACCTACTTCATACATTGGTAGCTAGGAAATTGTTTACATTCATGATATTTGGTCGTACCTTAATTGGGCTGGCATTTATGTACATGTACTGGTCTGTAGTTTGGGTGAATTTGACTTTAAGATTTTAAAATCTCTTCATTTCATTTAGGCCTTCAAAAAGTTAGACTCCAGTAAGAGTGGTAGAGTCACAGTGATGGACATCAGGAAATACTTTAACAGTAAATTCCGCCCACCTCCACAAGCAGGTATGTACATGCAGATTTTCTGGCACATTCTGCAATACACATTAGATTTTCTGTCAAAAGAAATATGATTAATTTGACAATGCTCTCTCAATATTTAACCCCACCTTCGAAGCAATTTAATTCACATGTTATGATAATAATCTATAGAGCTAACCACAGGGATTTTCCCCATGTACAGGTGAATTTAGGCCCCATTCCCAATTGCAAAAACCTTTTTCATAAATAAATTAATCGTGATACAGCTGGAATCGGAAATCAATAGAATTTCTAAGATTTGAGGAGGAATTTTTCTAATGATGTGTTTATTAATGTACTCTAAGTACTCTTTGTTTGAAGGTTCTGATAATTAAATAAAAGCTCAAATTTATTCATAATGAGTGTTTATTTCTTGAAAATTGTCTTGTGATATAATTTTCCAATCACTGATAAAATGTCATCAAATACCCAATTCCAAGGTCCCAGGCCCAATTCCCAAAGTGTAGTGGAAAATCCCTGAAACATAATTAGCTACATGAATATATGGGTTTTCAGTGTTTTATTTTTTGAATAATGAGTGATAGAGATGGCATTTTCATTTCTTTTCCCATCCGCAGCTGGTGTTGTCCCCGGGATGAACCCAGTGCAGGCCTTCCTAGAGGCTGTAACAGCCTCCTCAAGACAGGAGAGTGTGTCTTATGTAGAGTTTGAGGAATATTACGAAGGACTTAGTCTGGCCATTGAGAAAGACGAGGACTTTGTCAACATTCTTCATAACACATGGAATGTCTGAAATATAGGATTGAATTAGAACAGGTGTGATAGTAACAGAACTTCTTGGACAGGTATTGGCAGTGTTTGATAATAGCCAGGAGTTTTCCAGAGGAGATGAAAAAGTATTAGATTAAAAGGAAACTTGTGTCTAGATCATTTAAATTTACCAGGAAGTTCAAACCCTTTGTGTGTAAAAGATAGATAGATGTTTGTGCAAGTATGGGAAATCAGAAATGGAGACTTTTATATAATTTAAGAACACAAGTCAAAAAGGTTCAGGGTAAACATGTGCTAGAAGTAGGAGTTGTCGTAGTTATTAAAAAATTTATGTATATTGCTATTGTTTCCACAAAGAACAGAAGAAAAGACATTCTTAGTATAGGAAAGAAAGACCAGATACGTTTAATGGTATGGAAATAAGTACAGAGCAGAAAGTCAGAACATTGATTCCGGTGATTAATAATATGTGTTTTAAAGAATTTGAGCTATGAAAAAAAATGTTTTGTTCCAAAAATGGGAGCATCATGAGTTTTGCCACCTTGAAGAGAATTACAGAAAATAAAAATTGAACATATATTGCCAAAACAATTTGATAATACATGTATATACAATGTATGTAAATTTGATTTATTGCCTACAAAATACATTCATGCTTGCTTGTGATGTAAACGTGTATGTCTATATCTCAGGAACAAAGTTTCATTTTTCCTTTGATGATTGAATTAGAAATTTTGTTTTATGAATTTTGTCAATGTGTAATTAATCCATGTTGTTTATGATATGTTTCTATCTGTGATATTTATCCTTTTTTAATTCAAGATGCAGAAATGAGAATTATGTTTTGTTTTTTTTTTAAATCAAAGATCCCATGTCTTTTATTTTGTTACCTTTAACTGTTTGATCATGTTTATTCAAATTTTCAATGCCAATGTTTTACGCTGAAAAGCTTTTCTGATCAAATTTTTCTGTTGTCCATTTATTAACATTTTCCACCTCTTTTCAAGAACCACTGTGTTGATTTAATTTCAACCAAACTTGATACAGAGTATCCATAGGCAAGATTCAGGTTTGTTGAAATGAAGGTAAATGCTTCTTTCTTAAAATGGAAATATAAAAGAATAGAACTAGGTTGGATTACATAAATATTTTATTCTCAGGAAGCACTTTGGCAGAAAATCATTATGTAGAGTCTAGGATAAGGATCATATGTACTTCTAATTATGGCCCTTATTAGCTGCTGGAATGGGGCCTTAGTTAAGAATGCAAAATTTTATAAAGAAATAAACAGGGCATAATTTTTCATAAAAAAGAATTTTTACATGTAGTAAAATTAATATAGAAAAATATTTGAATAATGTAGTTTCAAATTAATTTGAATCTTGGCCCTCATGTGTTAAAGAGAACAACCAAAAATCTTAAAAACTACATGCCACAATTTGGCTCAAATTCAAACAATATGTAAATATGCAAATGGCATGGATCCCAGTTTTGTGTTACGCTGAGGGTGTTAAAAAATCTCTGAACAAATGGAAATAGGTCAAAAGTCTACCTAGAGATACAAAATATAGTTAAATACAAATAAAACAAGATAGAGAGAGAGAGAGATTAGGAACGTCATGACAACAGTTAATCAAAATATAAATACAAGAGAAAGTGTGAGGAGAAATTTGACTTGGGTGATCTTTGTGAATTATTGGTCTTACTCTTTTTTTAACAAATTTAAGCCGTCCTATGAATTTTTTATATAATTAAATTTTTAAGTATAATTTATAAGTCTTTTATAGGGAATAAGTTTACAGAACTTAGAAAATGTGTTTCCATTAGTATATTTAAAGACAGTCATGTACTAAAGGGGCCTGGACACAGATTTAAAGTTAATGTTTTCTCAATTTTTCTGTATAATATCATGTTTTATATGTTGCTATAGCATTTCACATGGAAATATAATTAAAGCCTGTTCAGAAACTTCTTTTATCTGGAAATTATTGAAACTACGAATTTCGGGACCTGTTTGATTGACACATCCTTGCACTTTCACAAAGTAAACTTTATCCATAAGGAGGGATTCTTCGCATATTTATTGTATTTAAAAGTTAATGAAATTTTCACAGATTCAAGAAGACAATATCACTAAGTAATGGTATCAATTAGATTAAATTTGACTGCTTTATTTTAGAAGCAAGTTCAGGTTAAGGTCACTGTATCTTTTTCCTTGACATTAAGAATAAAAAAATACTGTTACCATTCATCTGATGCCTACTTCTATTTCAAAAGACTAAATATTTTTCTGCTTGCATAAAAAGATCTCACCATACAGGGTCTATCAGGTGATATTACCAAATTAAAATAACTAAAAAAGATATTGGCTAACCCGAATTTCCTCTATTTTTCTTATTTTTTATGGAATGTTAGTTATTTTTGTATGCTTCATATATTTAAAAATTTTTTGTTTTCACATATGGTGAAGTAATCATATAAAGATACAAAGTGATACAAACATAAAAAAGTTTTGACCGTCTAGTAAGAGAGAAAAACACTTTTTACTGACTTTTTTTGCTAAAATCTGTTCTTAGATTGGAAGCTCTCAGAAGCTAGCAAGATTGTAGTTTTTTTTCTAGAAAATCACATTTATATAATATATTTTAAAACTTTTAGTCCATAGTTATTAATTTCAATCATTTCAGAAAATTTCTTGTAGTTAAGGATTGTTAAAATTTTAACTAAATTCATTGTTCTTAGTAATTTTATGAAGCAGAAAATGAGATATTTTCATATGCCGCACTTCCGCCGAAAATATAGTCCCTGCTAGATTTCAAACTATGTTTACCATTTCTATTCAAAGTTGTACAATTATGACAAGGAAAGAAAATTATGATCTTTTTATTCCCTTACATCTAAATATATAAGACAAATAAGCAAATATACTTTGAATATTTCATGACGTCAGAAACCAGACAAGAATCCCTCCTTAAGTTAATACTTAGGAAAAGTAGAAAATTTGTTGTGTATTAATGAAAAATATTAAAACTTTAATCAGAGTAGAAATGTGAGAAAGCAGAACCAACTCACCAGTATTGTCAGTGATGTGTGCAGAGTTTAACAAATTGAACATACCTGGAGAAACATTAAAAATAATAGAGCTCGTGTCCTGTTTACAAAAACAGATGTTTGACATGATGTAAAGAAGAATATCGTTATCATTAAATTCTAAGAATATTCATATAAGTTCAATTCCTTTAACTGGTTTTATTTTATGTATATAACAGAAATTTAAAATGTAAACAATGCGACTGTGTCCAGGCCCCTTTAATATTATCAGAGTTTTTCAAATTGAAAATCATAATCATTCTGAATTGAAGAAAAAAGAAATAACATTCAGTGGCACAGCATACACATTTGAAAAAAAAAATAATGAAAATTTCTTTGATGTATGGTGGCATAGTTCTGCCCCCTACATGCAAGATGAATTATGTTAACATGCAGCATAATTATGTCGACATGCGACTTATTTATGTCAACATGCGACTTATTTATTTCAACATGTTATACATATATAATTATGTAGACATGGGACTTATTTATGTCATCATGCAAGATAATTATGTAGACATGCAACTTATGTCAGAATGCAAGATAATTATGTTAACATGCGAGGTAATTATGTAAACATGTGTTAGGAATGTAGCTAAAGTAAAACACCTCTGTATCGTATAGTGGTTTATTGAAACTCTAAAACTGTTATCTTCATAACGTCGTAGTAACCTCTATGACGTCACATCTTTATGACGTCATAGTTCAGTAAAAGTCATTTACACAATCATGATAAATCAAGGTAAATAAGAAAGTTACATGTACTAATGTCCATATTTCACAACATTCTCCGGCCCCCAAAAGTGTCCATATTTCACAATATTCTCCGGCCCACAAAAGTACGAATTGAGAAAGTCATTGGACAGAGAAATAAAAGGCGGTTTTTAAATGAAAATGCAAAATGTGCATTACAAAAGTTATTCACAATGTGACATGAGAAATATCACGATTTCACTTGGTTCAAGCTTGGATTCACTCTGTCTTTGGGTTTGGTATCATCATGTACTTGAACAAAGTCTCCAAGAAATGTTGGATAACTTGATGTTATGTACTGAAAGCTTTGTTTGCTGTTAAATGGTTCAACTCAGATCTGAAGTTCTCTTTGTCTTTATCTGCATATGCATTGTGATGCTCGAAGTACTCCTTGATAAACGCATTCTCTTTGGCTTGAATTTCCTGCTTAAGCTGATCAATCTGTTGATCCATAATGTTCACCTTCCTCTTCATATCTGTGATCTCTGCATCCTGAGACTCGATGATGTTTTTTCTGTAAGTGTTTTTTTCATCTTTGAAAGCTTCGTATAGATTCTGTTGTTGCCTGATTTTGGTGTCATTCTCAGAAATCTTCTTCTTGTAGTCAAGAATCTGCATGCCATGAACTTTGTTATCTTTCATGTAATTCTGAGTTAGATTGTTGGCCTCATTAATGTAGTGGTCTCGCTCCCTTCTCAGCTGGTAGATGATATTCATCTTCTCCTGGGTCTCCTCTCTGTAATTCTGAATGTTTTGCTTCAGGTTTTTCTTATCAACTTCAGCTAGCTTCTTTGCTGCCTCCAACTCTCTCTTCAAACCAGTAATTTGATCCGTAAAAGTTTCTCTCTGCTGTTCTACATCCGAATGATTTTTGTCTCTTGGTTGCTGATGTTTCCTCTGAAGTGTCTCTCTCGATATGTTGAGCCCTTGTATCTCCTGTTTGAGCTTGTTAACTTCAACTTCTTTTTTCTTTAACTCTGTTACTTGAGCTTGGTTCTCAACAGTCAACTGATTTGTAGCAATTAACTGTGCATCAAATTTGGTCTGAAGCTTTGCAAGTCGAGTTTGTAAAAACTTAACATCCCTCATAGTTTTCTCATTCACAATCTTCTGTTCTTTTATCTGCTGTTCCAATTTCGTGATGTCACTTTTATAGTTCTGTAGGTGTCCCTGTAGTTTCTTGATTTCTCTAGTCTTTGCATCCAATTCAGCCTTTGCTTGTAATGTAGGGGTATTCACCTTTTTGTTTTTGACTACGTCATGAGCAGTGCACAAACTTGTATGATGACGTCTTTTACAAATTTTACAATTAGATTTAGACTGGCAATCTGCAACACGATGTCTGCCTAAGCAGTTAAAGCACAGTTTGTCTCGTTTGAGAATTTTCACACGGTCGTTTTGTTTTCTGTATCTTTCACAGTCATTTGAATGATGTGACTCCTTGCAAAGTGCACAGCAAACTTGATGTTTCTGATGACTGTAATTCTGTTGTACTTTCTCATCACTGGATTTTGAGTGTATGTAGAAAATAGCTGTAGCACTTTCTTCTGCTGTGTCCATATGTGTTCCAGCTTCTAAAATGTCAAGTTCCCTGTAAAGACTATTCCTTAAGTCACCTAGCAACCAATCAGTAGAGCCATGTTCACGTTCACGTGCCAAATTTTTGCGCAATTCACTTGGTAATTTGTTGAGAATAATAGGTACAAGAAGTGAACCATATGTATCCTGAGCTTGACCGAAGGATTCTAGTCCCCTGACATATGTCTCCACTTGATCATGAAAATGACGCAGGCTTGTGAGATTATTCTTCGGAACAGGTAGGTCTAAAAGTGCTTGCATGTAGGATTGCACTATCTTGTGTTTTTTTCCAAACCTTTCATGTAGGAGCTCAATCGCTCTGTTGTAATTTGCATGGGTAAGTGCAAATCCTGCAATGGTGTTCGATGCTCTCCTTCTACTAAAGACTTTAAGTAATTAAACTTTTGTACTTCAGTTAACGTGTTGTTGCTATGAATAGCTGAATCGAATGAATTCCAAAATGACTGCCATTCTAATACACTTCCCTCAAAAATAGGCAAGTTGAGTTTTGGTAGTTTATGAAAGTTACTACTGCTACTCGAATTGGAATTAGAATGAAAGTTTGTGAAGGACTGATGGCCTCTGGAATTTTCACTGAAACTATGTGATGATTGACCATTCTCTCTGATTTGTGAATTCTCATTGTGATCTGAGTAACTGTTGGCAGTTGGATTTAAATTTGATCTTTCTACTAACAGATGTTTCTTAAATTTCCGCAAATTAGAATTTAGATTAAAATTGTACTCATCTGTATCAAGTATTTCTTTCTCAATTTCCTCCTCTGCTGTTTCTGTTCAAATTTTTTCATCAAGATCTTTGAGAACTTCTTGCTTCTCTGTCAGTGTCTCCAAAATTGTTTCCATATCCTCAGTATTTTCTTCAGAGCCATATTCTTCTAGTCTTTTTAAAAGTCTGGTTACTGCACTTCTTTGTCCTGCTCGGACTGCCTTGAGTTTAGAAATCGTAACTCCTCTTTTGTCACGGCACCAATGTTAGGAATGTAGCTAAAGTAAAACACTCCTGTATCGTATAGTGGTTTATTGAAACTCTAAAACTGTTATCTCCATAACGTCGTAGTAACCTCTATGACATCACATCTTTATGACGTCATAGTTCAGCTGCATATTCATGTTTCATGTTACATAAATAAGTCGTATGTTGATTGATTGATTGTATGTAGTTTAACGTCCCTCTCGAGAGTTTTTCACTCCTACGGAGACGCCACCACCCGCCGGTGGAGAGCTGCAAATTTTGTCCTATACTCGACACTTACGGTCATTGAGCAGTGAGGGATCTTTTTCGTGCCAGCACCTACTGCGACACATCCGAAGGACCGGTCTCCCCGTCTCACAGTGGGATTCGAACCCGCGACGTAAGGATCAACTCCTTACTTCGCGACTCTAGAACAGACGCTCTAACCACTGCGCCACGCGGGCGACAAGTCGTATGTTGGCATAAAATCTTGCATGTTAATTAATATAAATTTATATCTTGCATGTTAACATAAAAGTCGCATGCCAACATAATTCTGTTGCATCTTGTTTGTATGAATTCGTATACTGGCGTTAGTGAGTTTACTAACAATAAAATTAGATTCTCAAAAAAAAAAGTTGGCAACTTGCATGTTCACATAATTATTATGTATGTAGACATAAGTATTTACATTTCCAAATGTTTTCTATTATATAACATTATTGAAAGCAACGCGTATCTATATCCGTCTAAACTCGGGTTCCTCGCGTCATAAACGTTCGACGTAAATTCTCTGTGACGTCAAAAATTACCCTCAGTCATTATCTATGGGTATCATTCTTCTTCTTTTCACCGACGTGGAGAAGGAACGTTTTGGAAGACGTAGGGGTTGAGGTTTATATTTTGAAATAGCAAAGGACTGATAACATTTAAAAAAAATGAATGAATAAATAAACTGACGAATAACTTTCACACTTGATAGTTAGGCTCACATTGTCGGAAAAATTATTATACTCTCAGTTGCACAGCAGTCATAGAGTAAATTTTATGCAAAGGCAGGGGATATGAGATTTGGGACCACCTTGAGGCTCCGAGCATAGAACATTAGAAAAACTCTAATTTGGAATTAGGGAGTGAAACCTCCGGAATCTTTTTAACTATAGCTTTCTTTAAGAAAGAATTCAAAACGATGTATATATAAATTCTTAAAATTTTATCAGTGTATTTGATCAGAGACCTATATACTATATTTTAGTATATAGGTCCCTGATTTGATAAAGATTTTGCATTTAAATCACAACTATGATTCAATTTCTAATTTCAAGGGACAACCATGAACACAGTTGATTTATTTAAAAAATAAGTAATGTTATGCTAAAAATAATTCTATATCTTCCTATGACATGGACCTTCCTATAAAATTATTTTGCTTGCACAGTTACCTTAGTTTTCGAAACACAAAAATTACATGGTTTTCTCAAAACTTAATACATTGATATAAATTGATGATCGAGAGCAATCCTTTATGGTGTCATAATTTTTTGACCTTTTGTAAGTCACTGAACGTAATGTTTCCCCATTTTGTTGCAGCCCATTTTATTAAATTTTATAGAGGATTACTTTCTACAACTCCATAAACAAATTTCATTGAGAGCATGTCTACCTTACCAATCTCATGAATGTACATACATTTTTGCCACATCTGAGAGAATGAATACGAAACACAGAGACTTCACTAAGATGTCAGATAAATAGCATGAATCAACACTGCACACCTTGCCACAAAAGGCAATAATTGTACTAAAGGTTTTTATGAAAATAAAATAAAAAATACTTTTATCATGTTTTACTACCGGGGTATTAACACAGAAAGGAAATTAAGGTACATTTCTTTACATGTTGTAAAACAAATGCACCTAGTCGCCTGCGTGGCGCAGTGGTTAGAACGTTTGCACTAGAGTCGCAGAGTTATGAGTTGATCCTTACGTCAGGAGTTCTAATACCACTGTGGGACGGGGAGACAGGTCCTTCGGACGAGACCGTAAAAACCCAGGTCCCGTGTCGCAGTAGGTGCTGGCACGAAAAAGATCCTTCACTGCTCAATGGCTCTGAGTGCCTAGTATAGGACTAAATTCGCAGCCATCTATCCGCAAGTGGTGGAAACTCCAGTGAAAAATTCTCGAGAGGGACATTAAACAACAAACAAACAAACAAACAAACAAACAAAACAAAAGTATCTTGGGCGGGGATATTCATGTCTTATGGACATATTTCTATTTTATAAATCTATGTCTCCCATTATGTTCCGTAGAAAATGTCCTTGAACTAACAACACAAAGGGTCTGCCATGTTTTCGAAGTTGGGAACAAAATGAAAAGTAGAAAGATAGCCTTATAGAAAAGGTGGGTAAAAGGATGATAGGCAATGATTAAAAATGAGTTACGTCTAATCGGTAGAATAATTAATGAAATGCTCACAAATATGAGACGATAATTGAAGTTGATATGACGGAAGTCGATCGATCTAATCAAGAAAAAATGTTTTCGGAAATTGATCGATCTACTTAACAACAAATGTATGTTTTAATTTGTGTTATCTATTAGGATTCGCATTGTTTTTCACTGACAATATTTACAACATGCAATCACATGCATTAATGGTGGTTCACAATGGGTGTTGGGCTTTTGAACGTATTGCTAAAGATAAAGGATTTTCACGGTATTTGCACATCGTATAGAATTTTCAACACACAATACCCATTTAAATGACGTACTTGAATTAATTAAAAAAAAAAATCTTAAAGCCTTTAAATCTGTAGAAGGTGAATTAGCATTCTTCAAAATCTTTACCAGTAGTACAAATATTACTAAGCGTAGTAATTGATATTGATCATTTTATTACGTTTGCATAATGATTCCAGGTTTTTCTGCCTAACCTTGCAATTTTATTGAAAAAAATTCACCGTTCTAGCAAAACGTCAAGCAGATATTCACACAAGACCAGTCCTCTATTTCAATAAATCTGCGTAATATTTTAGTTCTTACAGTCAGTTTGGATTATACAATGCCAATTAATTAAACTATGTTCAATTAAAATTTCGTGATTAAATTATACCAAAAATCATACCAAAGCATTAAGTGAGGGACTATTTTTTGTGGTTGCAGATTTTTTTTTTTGAGAAGAAAATGGTCAATTTTTCTCTTTCGAAGTACATGTATTTTCAATACTGTTATGTTTGCATTTCTATTTTTCCATGCAGGCTGAACAGATAGTTATTTTGTGCAATAAAATGTTTTATGATGATGCCATATTATTTACTAAATGATTTAGTCTAAAGTTTATCATCACATTGTGAAAAATATAGCACATATATTGTGAAAGTCTTGAGAAAATAGCTCCAAATAAAGCTTAAAATTTACTTTATTTTAATAATATCTAAGAATTTACGTCATAGGCCTACGCTTTCAATTTCCTTTTCTGTATGCATATTAATAAGATAATTGTATCATCAAGCTTAAATGTAGTGAAAGTTTAGAAGATTAAAATGTTTTTATTTTGCCTCTTAAATTTTTAATACCAGAAAAATGACATTTTTGAGTGCAGAAAGGTCAGATAATGGACTATGCAAAGTAAAGTTGAAAATTTTCATTGTCACAAATTTTAATGTGTCTATTCAAGATAAAAGAAGATTGTTTTTGGTCCCATAATCTATTTGGATAAAAAAAAATATTGGAGGAAAAACATCTAAAAATTGAAATTTGTCTTAGAAGTAATAACAGTGCAAAAAGGTCTTATCAAATACTCCGTATCGCATTGTTCCCTCCTTATTTGTTTTGATTTATAATTAAACTATGTGTGTAAATTCTAAACATATACGGAACAATAAAGTTCTTAATACTTTTGATAACAGGGTCCACCCTCCTTAATATTTGAAAAGCTAGATATTTATATCAGAACAGTTGCGAATCGTGTTTGATATAACTTGTGATCTGTTTGCGATAATCTTGAGATTTATGTGCAAAAAGTTGATACTGTAAAATCACGTAGGGTATTTCCGTGGGGTCAAATTTTCCAGGTTTGAGGGGAGAAAATATGGGTTCGTGGGTATTTGATTTTGTGGATGAAGAATGTAATGTTACTATGTTTTACCACATTTCGTGGTAGACATGAATTTGTGGGTCTCTTAAGGTACGTATTCATATAAAATGTAACACAATTTATATCCATAGCTTATTTTAGTTTTTTTTTTTTTTTTTTTTTTTTTTTTTTTTTTTTTTTTTTTTTTTCAGAAACATCTTTTCCTTGAAATTAAAATCTACCCTGCAATTCAAACTTAGTAGATAAGTAGAAGTAATTTAATTCGGATTGATACCGTGATTTCTTGTAATTTGAAAATGTTTGGCTTTTGTTTATTTTTCTGTTGTGCTATTTATAATAATGCAGACGATTGGCGTGCCTAGCTATTATAAAGCCAGGAGTCTTTAAAATATTAACACCTTTTACAAGCATTTATTTGTTATATTTTGATGACAAAGCAGTTAACGCTTAAAAAACACGAAACATTTTATGCAAAAACTGTTCTAACCCAGGTTATACATTTATAACTTGGGTAATTATAAGATCTAATTCTTATTATTTGATTTTCTATCATTCAGTATAAAGAATAAAACGATTACCCTTAAAATGTCTTCAAATTTTACAAACTTTATTTGTAATGTCAATTATTTAGCACAGCTTAATATATATGAACAATTTCTCTATCCTATCAAATACACCAATAATTCTTACAGTATTGCTTACAATAGTAAATGTTCGCCTACCATATAGCATTTTTCTATTTTTAATCTTTGTATTAAAAGTAATTAACATATCATTTTCAAGAAAGACCGGATAAAGAGAGCGATAAAAGAGTTTTATAAATTATCGGGTCTTTTTAAATTTCTATTAATTGATTGTATGTTGTTTTACGTCCCATTCGAGAATTTTTCACTCATAGAGAGACATCACCATATACCGATGAAGAGCTTCAAATTTTGACCTTTACTCGGCACTCAGGGCTATTGAGCAGTGAGGGGTCTTTATCGTGCCAACAACAGCCATGATACAGGGCCTCGGTTTTTAAGATGTCATCCGAAGGACCCGCAACTTTCACTGCAAAGTGTCGAGCGCATGGCGAAGAAACAGTTGCTACCCATTTTTTATCGACTTAGGTCAGTCGCCGCCGAGATTCGAACTCGATCACGACCTCCCGATCACGGAGCGAGCGCTCTGCCAACTGAGCTACCGTGAACGGGTTTTTTTTTTTTATTTTTTATTTCTAAGATGAACATATTGCTTAATATTTCAGAACACAATGTATGCATCAACAGAAGAAACAACTTATGCAAATCGAGCAGCTCGTTTGATATGTGGACCGTGCAAAGGTCAAATGAGGGATTTGCTAGAACATTACGTACCAAGCAAATCTTTTCATTACGTACTTAAACACAATTATAAAAACCTACCAAAATTGACATTTTCTCAGCGAAATCTTATTTCCCCAAAATCCGGTTCCTACAATGGAAATTATGAGGATTTTGACTTATCATTACTCTATGTCTTGTTGCGAAGCATATGTGGTCTAAGTGAACCAACCAACGGTTGGGACGACAAACCAGATGACAGTGACAGGTCCATATCTGCAAACATAGCGAGAATAAGAGAAGCCAGAAACACGATTGCTCACTTACCGAACTACTCTATGAATAGAAAAGATTTTCAAGCATTGTGGACAATGGTAAAAATGTCTATCATTGATATTGATACATATTTAAGTAACAGCAAATTTTATGAAAAGGAGGCTGAGTTTTTAGAAACAGAAACAATGGATCCGGAACGGGACAAGAAATACCAAGATGATTTACGTTTACTTGCAAAACAGGAAGAGGATTTGAAAACTCAGATAAGTAATAACTTACTTAAAACTTTATACATACAAAATGTTCAGATGTTAAATCGTTTCATTTAATTATTTGGATTAATGCATGATTTGGCATGCACCTTTGTTGCGTTTATTTTACGTATGAAAGGTAAAAATATTTCATTTTGGTAAAAAAAATTCTCCCTATCTAGAACACACGAATGAACGTATTGATAAGCAAGAAGATGCTCTGCAGCTTTTTTCTAAGGATCTGGAACGTCTAAAGAAGATAGTGAAAAAACAAAACGAGGTTGCAGAAAGCCAAAAAACCAATATTTTGCCACACAGTGAAGCATCTTATCTGCTTGAAGATTCCATAGAATGTACAAATCAAGCTCAACGCCTATTAGAAAAAGCAGAGGCAAAACTAGCAGACGCAGCTAGATTAATAAAAGATGCCCAGCTAAGAGCACACATTGGTACATGTTAATTCTATTTTGGAAACACACTTCAACAGTAATGCTTTGCTATTTATCATTATTGGTCATATCATGTACACCTCATGTAATATTTTTCTTCTTTTGTAGAAAAAGAGGTGTTTATGTTGACAGGTAAATATGAAAAGAAGTATTTCGAGGAAAATGATTACTTACAATTAGTTATTGTTTATGTCCAAAATTTGGAGAATTCAGCTAACGAATTATTATTATAGAAAAATATTTTGTATAATAAGGGTGTAGTTTCCTTTTCTATTATGCAATGTGTTGAATATGAAAGATGCACCTAAGAGGGAACTTTTTCTCTATGTGAACAAGTAATTCATGAGAAGTACATGCATTGGTTGACTTCCAGTAGTCCAAACTATATCTTTCTGGAGGAAAATGCACAATTATATTTAAATTGTAATTACGTCCATTATGGATTCATTTCATTATCAATACATTAAAGGTTCTTCATAACATCATTTACAAAGCATGCATGTCCTCAAAACATGACTTAATGATGGTACTAAGAATATTTCTTCAGAATGTAGTTTCAGGGGTTAGAATGGGTTTTCATATATAATCTCCCATGCAATGTTAAACATTAAAAAATCCTAGAAAAACAAATAAGAATATTTTTATCATAATGATAGTATAGCATTTAATCAATTTGTAAGCAAATTTTTGAAGCATTATTTTATACATCACGGTCCATAAGGTAGGTTATTGCTTCAAAAGGAGTTCAATATTATTTTTTATGATGACTAAATTTTACCGAATAATCCCACTACTTCCCACTGTCTAGTTTAAAGAAGCAAATTGTTGCCAAGCCAAACATGTTGTTAAAAATTATAATAAAAATGTAATATGGAAAAGATGTCAATTTCCCAACATTATCTTTTGTCGGGTCACCACTGTCACTTTAGTTAAACGACAAATTAGAATCACCATGCACGTCATGTCGTGACAAAATAGGCTGTTTTTTTTTCTTATACAGATATATATCTCATATCTAAAAATACTACCATCTGAATGCTGAAGGACAGTGCTTTATTATGTAAATATAAGACTAGGAATATTAAGGTTGCATATAGACCCCCCCCTCCCACCCCCCACCCCCCACCCCCCAAAAAAAATGAAATTGAGGTTAAAAATTAAAATGCACCTTTTAGGCTGCTTAAAATTGTTTTTGGACAATTATTAGGTCAAATGATAGTTGTTTTATAAGCTCATCCTAGCTGAAAGCACAAGTGAGTGTTTTTCTAATTACAATTTGTCCGACGTCCGTCTTTCCGTCTGTCTGTAAATTTTCCTCATTTTCAATTCTCAGGAACCACTGGTCAATCTCAACCAAATCTTCCCACAAACCAATGTTGGGTAAATATGATTCAAGTTGGTCAACTGAAGGGTCACGCCTGCTTTTAAGGAATTGATTGATTGATGGTTGTTTTACGTCCCATTCGAGAATTTTTCACTCAGAGAGAGACGTCACCATATACAGGTGAAGTGCTTCAAATTTTGACCTCTACTTGGCACTCAGAGCCATTGAGCAGTGAGGGATCTTTATCGTGCCAACGTCTGCCGGTTTTTAAGGTGTCATCCGAAGGACCCGCAACTTTCACTTCAAAGTGCAGGGCGCATGGCGAAGGAACAGTTGCTACCCATTTTTTATAGACTTAGGTCAGTCGCGGTCGAGATTCGAACTCACGACCTCCCGATCACGGAGCGAGCGCTCTACCGCCTCAGCTACCGTGAACGGTCGCTTTTAAGGAGATAATTCAGAGAAAATATGATGTCATCCTTTAAAAATCTTTTTCTGAAGAACCACTCGGTCAGGAACGATGAAACATCTGAAAGCTTCATTACATTTGTAGATTCAAGTTTGCTAGGCGGGGCCACAATTGGGAATAAAACTTTTACATAGAAATATAGAGGGGAAAATAGATAAAAATGTTCTCCAGAGCAACAAAAGTCCTGATTGTACTAAGGTACAGTGTACTCAAATTTGTTCAAATCCTGACCCCCGGGGTCAGGGTGGGACCGCAATTTGAGATGACATGAATATGTAGAAAAAATATTTAAAAATCCTCTTATGAAGAACAGCAAAGCAAAAATTAGTCATATTTACCAGGAAGCATCCTCAGGGAGTGTAAATAAATTTTTGTTAATAGCATGACCCTTGGGTGAAGGGATGGACCAGAATAGGCGATCAAAGTTTTACATAGGAATAAATATGAAGAAAACAAAAATTAAAAACCTTCTTGTCTAGAAGTAGAAAGCAATGAAAAGTTCTGAAAGCATCCTCAGATAGTGTAGATTCAAGTTTGTTCAAATCGTGGTCTATATGGGTAAATTGACGTCATTTTATATATGTACGACGTAATGACTCCGAAATTAACGTTTAGAATACCATGTGTTTCGTATAGTACCAACCAGATACAACCTAACACTAGAGCAAATTCTAAAAGTAAACCCTGGGTTTAATCTGCGTTCGCTCGGGATCCGCTATTTAAAAAAAATGTTGCAGTCTGGGTTCGCTGTACGTTCGGGTCAGGAGCGAACTATTTTTGTGTTTTCTTTTTTATTTACGTAAACATTTTTTTTATCTCTTCTGAGTCAAAGGCTCAAAGAGCTAATGCTATAGCCATTTGTGCGGTGTGCATAAACTTTTAAGAATATGGGCCATAACTCAAGAACCCCTTCGCCATTTATTGTCAAATTTGTCACAGGGTATCCTTGGCCCAAGGGTTCCCGTTTATACTAAAACTAGGATTGCGACCCTTAAACAACGGGAGATAATTAGGAAAATAGAAACAAAAGTACTGGTTGCTAAAAAATCTTCTCAAGAACCACTCGGCAGATTATCACCAAACTTACACAAAAGGATGAGGATATGTTGTAGATTAAAATTTGCACAGGGATTTACCCTGGGGAAAAGGGCGTGATCTCAAGGTCACTTCAAAGTTGACCAGAAATTACATATTATTAAAATGTTGATTTTTTGCTTACTATAAGGACTAGGATCATCAAATCTTGTCTGTTGATGCATCTAAGGACCTCATATCATTTTGACTCAAAAGTAGGTCAAGGTGACATACTTTTTAAATTTTATGGCTTTATTTAAATATATCTGGTACTTATTCGCTTAGAACCATCAAACTTTGGCAGTTGATGCATCTTGGGTCCTCAAAGTATGTCATTTGAAAAGTATGTCACTGTGACCTACTTTTGAAATTTTATGGTTATAATTTTAAAAATATTTTAGGTATTAATTGGTTTAGAAACATCAAACTTAGTTGATGCATCTTGGGTCCTCAAAGAATGACAAGTGATAAGTAGGTCACCATAACCAACTCTCAGGTACTAATTGGCTTAGAATCATCTTGGGTTCTCAGAGTGTTTCATCTAAAATGTAGGTCATGATGACCTACCTTTGGAATTTAAAGGGTTTATCTAAATATACAGGATACGTAGAGGCTTTAAATAGAAGTGATAGGTTGTACAGTTTATCAGAAGAGCGATTCAAGCCCCTTGGGCCTCTTGTTTTTAACTCCGTGGTCATCTTACATCTATATCTGTTCTATTTAGTTTTCATATCACTGTTATGTTAAACTGCATTGTTTAACAGGTACATTTACATTTATTTTTTTTCAATTAATGTTGAATCTCAATAATTAAAAAAAACAATGAACAGTAGCCTAAATGACGAGAAAGAGAAATAGTTTGATTTTTTGTTCAGTACAGTTTATCTTAGTTACTTCAATTTTTAACCGAATTGGAAGTGCATTTTTTATGTAATACGTAGATATTGATTTGCATATACCTTGCGTGTCATGTTTTGTTTCTAATAATTTCGCATACTCTCAAAAAGGGGGTAAAAATTCCCTGTCTCTACTCACTTACAATTAATTATTTTCATTTACTCATCATGATTTCAATATTTCAATTGCAAACAGACATATCCAGAAATGATGATTTTTGAAATGCCCGAAAAAAATATCAATTATAATAATTTTGTATATAAGCGGATTTTGTACATAATGATTGTTCATAAGCATGCCTCCAACCCCTTTCAAAAAGAACAAAAATGTTTAAGTAAATACAACAGCAAGAAATATAATTACTCCTTTATTAGCGGCATGAGGTCAAACAGAATTTCATTTTTAAATAATTTTGAATTAAGCAGTATCTATGAAAAGTATAAAAATAATGAATTTAAAATTAAATTTAAATTTAAGATGACTTAAGTAACAGAAATTTGGATTTTTGACAAAAAATGTTGTAAATTAAGGGTAAGTGCAGACTATCTTCTAAAATATAAACTCTGGTGAGGCTTTGAAAGTGGTTTGACTACTTCTATAAATTATGTAATTCACCTTTAATCAAAGTGCTGGTTTCATAATTTATTCTGTTCATGTTATTACGTCCTCAAAAATCTTTTTAGGGATGATGAAAATATACCAGTTTATCAAAGTATTCAGTGGAATTATACATAGTAATCCATATTTTATACCCCACCCCATCCCGCTCTCCAAGTCTTATCTATAAAAACATATTTTCTGTACCTGTAATTTTTTTGTTCGTGGCGCCACTGTGTAGATATTTCTATCTGGACCCTTCAATTCAACGTTCTAAATCGGCGTTTCAAGTTTGTATATTCAAACAAACCAGAAAACTTAAGGGGTTGGTGGGGTGGGGGAAGGGGGGAGTAATGGAAGGTTCAAATGTAAGGGGATTTATACTTAGGTACAACACTCTGACCATGGTAAGGGATACACAACATGGAACCTTTGCACCCCAAAATAACTCCTCAACAGGTCTATGATTTTCAATACGTAATGGACTCTGGTTATCTTTCAAAAAGTAAATAAGTTTATGATATAAAGGCAATATAGAATTTTTTAAAAAAAATGTCAAAACGTAACAATTTCAATATACAAATGTCATTGAAAAAATATGGGTTCGCTCTGGGTTCAACCAGGGTGCACTTAAGGTGCCCTCTGGGTTCGCTTGGGGTCAGCTCTGGTCGGTACTGTACATTGGAAAATATTGAGAAAACTAGAATAGGGCTATCATGGGCTTTTTCGAAAAGACTCTTCAAAGAAAAATTGGAAAGAGACAGAATTAGACGGGAAGAATGATACTGTCAATCAGCAATTCCATATTCCACTTGGTTGGATAATAATCTTGGTTTATAAACGGTTATGTTAATGTACACATTCATAGAAGATTTTATTTATAGATGGACTATTGGTCTATTATATAGCTCTCAACTTTAATAAAATAAAACTTACAGGGGCATAAGTGAAATGTATCATTGCTGTTTTCTTCAAATGTATCTTGGTTCATAGGTCTCTCACCGTATATAAATGAAACGTACAGAACTTTTCTCACGACATGTTTTCTGTGCACTGTTTCATATCATTTCAGCTTTGGCGATCCTATTGCTTTTGACATCTGCATTTCATTGTCAAGAACAATGTTATTTTCCATGAGTTAAATTTTGCAAATTAACATAAAGAGTTACAGTTCAGCTAAAACTACAAGGTCGCAATTTTATATTTTATGAAAAAATACTGGACACCCTTTCCAAAAACTCTTCTGAGCTTAATCATTCTAATAAATTGGAAAAAAAAACACCTGACGAATTAAGGACAGCAAATTCTGAAAACATTCTCCTGTTATGACTTACTTGTCATTTTCGCATGGCAATGACTTTCTCACCACATATTTAGCGCAATTTTGATAATAATATGCCATGTTTGAGACACTCCTAAACTATAGGAGCTCCTGATTATAATTTCATATGATAGACTGTAGTTTATGTAAACTTTCTCCCGACTGTCATTTGTGTCTGTTCGCGTGCTTCCAAATTTTGAACAAAAGCTGGCTTTCAAAATTTAATTCATTAAAAGTTTGTATCTTGTTATATCATTTGTATGTCTTAAGACAAATCATACAGGGGTCTTGAAGTCATTTTTGGATTCTTACGCAAAAATAAATAAATAAATAAATAAATAAATAAATAAATAAATAAATAAATAAATAAATAAATAAACAAATTAAAAAAAAGGAAAGTGGTGTCACGCTATCTGTTGTTTTGAAATAATCTTACATTGATATCAGGTTAATTTACATCCGTTACACGGTTTATATTTTATCAAACAATTCCCAGAACTTTTGAAATACCCCTCATATTATGACGCTTGCTCAAATAATGCAATTGTGAAGAAGGCTTATTTTTTGGATACTTAATATTCACAATACTATTTGGAGAACGCAAAATCTTTTGAGGGTACATTGATAGAGTATGTAACAAATGACATAAAAAAGCATACTTTCTTCTTTAAAATAGTTTATAAAGCTACTCGTTGATTCAATCAATATGTCATTTTGTCCATAAGTTAAATAGAATAACATGCGTCATTAAATAAAACAAAAGTGAAGCATGATTGTTTATTCCTTTGCAGATAGAACCAGACATATTTTGAGAAGGCATTGCGAGTCACAGTCATATGCAGAACTTTGTTTTGTTCAGCAAACCATTCAACAGCTTGAAGAAAAAAAGATTTCCATTATCTCTGGAGAAATTGGTTCTGGTAAAACATGCACTGCATATCAGGTGATGTGCAAGTTAGAAAAATTAAAACGTGAATTATTTCGTATTCCTGTCATTGTTTCTTCTCCTCAAGAATGGGAAGCTGTTATTGTTACCAAATGTCGGTACGTTATTTTGCTGGATGATATTTTTGGCAGAGTTTGCATTAGTAAAAATTCTTATTACGAATGGAATGCCTTTCTGGACAAAATGTACTCGGATGTTGAAACAACTAACCAACACGTCATTCTCTGTATGCGGACAAACATACTTAATCAAGCTTTGGATATTTTTTCGAAGAAAAAAATGTTTAGATGTGCAGGGCATATTAAGCATGACATTTCAATTGAAGAAAAACGAAAAATTATAAGACAATTCTCTATTTCCTGTCTAGATGAATCAAATCACATACATGGTACCAAAAAGCTTATCGAATCTGAGATAGAGGAGATTATTGACACACAACTGTTTGACAATTATGGATTTCCATTACTTTGCTTTTTCTTTTTTGCAAATAAAACATTTTATTCCAGTAAAGCTGATTTCTTTAGAAATGCAAAGAATGCTCTTCGTATATTAATAGACAGGATGATGAATTCCGACAACATTCAAGAGAAACTGGCTTATTGTGTTCTTGTATATGTGTTGTTTAAAAAACAAATCAATCTTCAAAGCATACCAGAGAAAGAACTAGTCTGTATTTTGAACCTGATAGGAATATCATCAGAACACATTGTGGAAAATGATATGAGGAATGCCTTGATGATCTTTCTGCATGGAACATTTCTTTCATCAACCACTGAAGGAGACATATTCGAACTTTCACATGATGTAATAGGGGACGTTGTACTCGTTTCATTTGGAAAGTTGCGACCAGATATACTTATCAAATACTGCAGTCGAGAAACATTTCTAGAGTATATTGGACCCTTCGAATCATGCGAAAATGAAAGCGTTTTAACAATTACAAAAACTCACTACCAGTATTTGGTGAACAGAATGTTTCGTCGTGATGATTGTGACTGTGATGAAGGTGAACTTCTAAATGGGGCTCTGGATATTCTGTGGCATCCTGCTTGTGAAAATGAAAAATTTGTTGCGTATTTACTAGACCATGGAGTCTCGGAGCATATGCCAGCAATATTAAGGAAGGTCTGGAAATGTCTTGAAGATGGAAAGCACGAAAATGCAATGTTATTCCGAAATTTACTACAAAGATTTGGTCCAATACAAGACAGTAGGGTATGGACAAATTCATTATCTGGAATAACAACATCTCTGAAAAAAATCTTGGGTTTTGCGAATCCTAAACCCTCTATCAGTATTACGAAAGAAAACATTTCCTTGGCATTGAAAGGCTCCATTATTCGTGGACATGAGAAAAACACTCTGAGTATTTTGACATATATTAAAAAAGATACAAAACTCCACGATCTTCTTCATCTGAAAGTAGATGGAGTAAACATATTCCACCTGTGTATTGCATATGGTTGGGAAACTGTTGTAAATTTGATGTTCGAGATAAACCCTGAATTAGAAGGAAAAAGTACTTTAGATGGATACACAGCCGTTCATTTTGCTGCATATGGGGGTCGTACTGAACTTCTGAGAATGTTAGAAGAAAAGAATGCAAGCTTTATCAGAAAATCAAAGAACGAATACTCTGCTTTTCATTGCCTTTTGTTTGGATTAAGATACGGACAGCATATTGTGAGAGGACCAGCTTTTACCAAAAAAATTAAGCTGGATGTTAACCTCAAATTTCCAGGGGAGAAAAGCTACATGGAAGCATTAGACATCTTGGCGGAGAAAGGTTTGGACATATCAAAGGATGTACAGTTTGAGGTTGATCGGTATGGTCACAATATCATACACTACCTAATAATTCACAATTACAAGGAACTACTAGTGAAATGTCTCGGAGACAAAAAGTTAGATTTTTTCTTTTTTAAATCAAGCAATCTTTTATCCAATCCCCTAAACGTTGCTGTCTATTTGGGGCGAGCTGAAATAGCTGAAAAGCTATGGGAGGCTGGAGGAAGAGTAGATAGATCTCAAGAGATAAGTCCATTCGATCTCATATCTGAAGGAAGAAAGTTTCAGGATAAAACTGGAAGTAGAACTGGTGAATGGTATGATGAATTTGCAACATACGATACCCCAGAACAATTCGATAAAGATGAAGTTCTACAGACCCGTAGCATGCTTTCAATAATTGAGAATGTCCTGGTGACATATGGGAATAAAGACGATTTTGATACCATACAAATGTTCTTGGAGAGCCATGTATACAAAAAACCCATCTAACCAATTCAATCCAAAATAATAATAATAATAAGAAGAAGAAGAAGAAGAAGAAGAAAGACAGACAGACAAACAGATATACCAAAAAATTCCAATATTTTGAATTCTTTTGCTTGGTCTAAAATAATAGGTTAATAAGTGTTAAAAGGACTTAGACGTATGAACCTGAACTGTCCATGATATTTAAGACCACAGAAAACAGCAACAAAAATGATTGAGATAAAAAGTGTTTTCATAGTGACATGACATAATTTGTGCAATTAATCTAAATGAGACAATGCTGAAATATTATAGGATAGATTTCAGTAACTTAAATAGATCTTGATTCCCACGTATAGTACCTCATGGTAGAACTTTTAATGAATTTAAACATAAGCCATCAACTGATTGCTGACAGGGCGTTTTATATCTAATACCAAACCCTGCACGACTTTTTGCGCCCCTATGTGTTTGTGCCTTTGAGCCTAATTTTTCTCTAGACCTACATGTAGCTGTTTAGATATTCCACGTTTGTTTTCTTAGATTTAAATATGATCCATAGAAAAAAACTTTTGCACATTAGAGGTTCTTGTATAAGCCTTAAGGTCAATATTATCATTTTGAAATTTTAAATGAAACAAATATTTGTAGAATTTTTGAAAATAATATCTTGATAGTGAATCAAAACTTATAACATAAAAAAGGTTGAAGTAATTTTGTCTACTTTTCAGCTAACAATTTTGGATATCCAAAAAGTAGATGAGCAAATTGATCATACTTTTTCCATTTCATTCTTAAAGATGGTGAAACAAGTACATGTATCTTACTTCTAATTACGTGGACTACTAATAGAAAGTGTATATATAGTCACAGAAAAGTCTTCAAATTTTAGTTCCGGGTGACATTATGAGTTTTAACAGGTGCATATACAAATTTTTGTACTTAATTCTTTACTTTTTGCTTTACAACAATTAAGTACATTTTATGCCTTTTTGTATTAGGAACATTGCCGTTGGATAAACGAATTGCTTGAGTTACAATAGATAATAAATTTCTGATAAATTTCTTTTTCCTGTTTTTCTTTTCTAGTTTATTCTCCTTATTATTAAAAGTTTTTTGCAAAGTTCAATATGAGATTTCCTGTTCAGAATGCACAGTAGTATGCATAATACATGTATCTTTATACAGTTTCGGAGTACGAAAATAATAGCTTTTACTGAGGAACATTGGTAACCCGGACCCACAAATTGGACCCTTTCATCTTTCGGTCTAAATTTCTGGGTAATGCAATTTTATATTTACTGTAAACATACATTTTACGCTGGTTCAAAATTCCTCGAAATCACAATTTCTGTTAAATCCGCCGGTAAAAAATTACGCGGAACTCTTATATTGCCCTTGTATGTCTAACTAGACATTAAGTACGCTGTGATAAATTTCCATGGAATATTTGCTGTCATGTACGTAGGGTAAAAATTCCATTCCAAAAAGTACTGCTACAATTATCTTCAAATAATAAAAAATACGACTGACGATTCACTGATCGTGACAATATGTTGGGAAACACAAGCGTCCAGATAAATAAGGCTCGACTGTATAGATTTAGCCTGTTTTCACATTCCATGATGTTTGTAACCTCATAAAGCAGAGGGTTAATTTGAGAGCTCAATTCTCTGGCAATTGTGGAAAACCTAACAATGAAATTCTTTCTCTCTTTCTGTGTTACTGTGTAACACTGTCAGTCTTCTGGAGACGTTTTCTATTGATTCTTTTTATGCCAGCTTAACTTAAATATAACATCAAAGTAATTACAACACAAATAAAATTTATTTGATTTTACAGACTGGTTTTGAACTAATACTGTGCTTAAAATCATTATACATCTGTCTTAAACGTGGGATTTAAAATTGTGGTTTTAGAACCAAATAAGTTTTGCACTAGCAGATCTCAACACCTCGTTTATACGTGACGTTATCCTATCCAAAATCTGACAATATTCCCCTAGTTATTAAAGCAAATTGAGAGTTACTTGATTAGTCTGTTGAAAAAGTAAATGATTTAATCAAACGATCTCAATACTGCTTTTGGTGGGAATATGACAGTTATGCAGTGTTGTAGTGAAAATATGTAAATGCTGGAAGGCAATTATATATTCAAACATAATTACTTTGTTAAGTTAAAAACATCAAACATTATAAACTAGAACATCAGTTTAATTCCAGCTGTGTGCAATTTATATTTTTATATATTCATATTTTATTTACATTTTTATTATTTTCTTAAATTCTTCACCATGTTCATACTTTACCAAATATTTTTGAATCGCGATAAATCTGCACACACACTGGAGTCGAAGTGACAATGGTGGTGTGTTTACTTTCTCACATTTCTTGACTGCAGTTAATTTTAATATCTATCATAAAAACACCATAGATTTCCAATTTTCTCAACTACTATTGGACTTTTGCGAGAAGCGCTGACTTTTACTATCAACGACTTACTTTTACACTAGGTTAGTGTATGGAAGCTCTTTTGCAATATGAATATTAAGCTTAGCAGTTCATTAAACGATGATAATGGACTATTTCAAAGAACATATTACAATGTCTAGGAAGGGAAGGAAAAACAAAAAATGCCACAATTCGTCTTGAATTTACACAAAATGGGGATCTCTACATATTTAGATCCCCATTTTTTATAGAGTTAAAAAAATGGAGCTTACAAATTAAGTATAGGTAATATATTTAAATAGAAAAATGTAAAAATAGAAATAAAAAGTTAGAAATAATCTTAAAAAGGTCTTAAGAATAGTACAGCAAAGTCTAAGCACCCATGCGCTGAAGAATATATTTTGAATCGGAGAGTTAGTGTGAGACAAAATGGGATCAAAGTTTTCATTAGATTTCATTCATGAAATAAATCTATGAAAATGGTCTTTAAAATAACTATAATTCGTCAAAATAATAAGCATTGAAGATTATCTGAATGAAGCATACACACGATAAATTAATTAGTGGGTTTACATGAAAAGTTCAGGAACACGTACTTTCCAAAAGGCACTTTGATTAGAACTTCAGTTTCCATATATTGAATTTTATATATGGACCAATCATAATGCTTACCATTGGTCACATGATCTTATCAATGGAAAACTCACTGTGAAAGTAAACGTATTCATATTTACTTTAACAGTTTAATAATATAATAAACAAAGAAGTGTATTTCTTTACTCAATGTGAGTCCTTATAAAAACTTAATTAGTGAAGCATGGGATGACAGTCACCTGAGTATAATGAGTTTTTAAAGCTATAACCATTCTAGTACCATAAGATTTGGACCTCTGGTCTCACAAAGAATAGTTTTGAGAGGATTATATACTCATTTCTATGGAGCTTTCCTCCTAGAAATCCAAGCACCCTGTAGAATAAATTTCAATACATGACCAACTTAGCCCCACCCTAGGGCCGGAGCGCTGATATCAAAATCGTGTAATGCATTATAATTTACGACCAGTTGAGTACCACCCTAGGGTCTAAACCAGTGGCTTACATTTTTAGAGGGATATAAGTGTTTATTATAATTAGGGATGTCAAAATATTTATTTTTCATAGTCGATTATTCGATTGAATTATTCGAACGAAAGTCGAATATTCGCCATGGTACATGACGTATTGTTACTCACAAACCCTTTCATTTAAATGTATTTAAAATGTAACATCAAAATTAATGCGATGTGACGTGTGGATAGCATAATTATATAAATAAAATTCCCCGTCGATCGAATTCATAAATCGGTCTGTACAGTAAATTTTTATTTTAACAAGCATTAAAAAGCATTTAAAAATTGCAAGCCGATATTTTTTAAAGCTCACAATGTAATGAATCATGAAACATCAGGTGCTTGTGATATTGTTAAACAGTTAGATACTGCTTATTCAATAATATTATTGATTGTTTCTACTATCCGTAAAATGTAAGCGAATTGTTTAAATAATTATCGAAGTGTCAAAACAAGTCACGGCTATGGTGTGTTCCTTGGATTTGAGCAATCTTAAAATAACTAAATATAATTGGTACACGGTTTAGAATCAACCCCAATTAATATTTTTACAAAGAAAGCAGAGTAATTTGATCGGTAATTTACTACAAAAACAATACGGACAAATAATTCTCGCGATTGTGAAGCACTAACAATTAGTGTACTTTCTATATATGCATATGGAAAATCAATATTTTGTGGAGGAAAATTATCGACTGTGTCTGAAGACTGAGGGTTTCTCAGTTTTGAGATGAGAATTCCATCTCGTTATCCCACTTTTTTACATTTATTTAATAATAATAATAATAATATTCGAATGTCGTTTCATTATTCGATCGTCGGTCCAATCGACTGATAGTCGAATAGTCGACTATTCGTTGACATCCCTAATTATCATATATAAAGTTAAAAGTTTACATGTTCTTGCCCATCATGTTATATATCCAGTATATGACAATGACCATCACAAGGCCTGAAAACATGGACTCAGGTGACTTGGTTTCCACAGTTTTGGTAAAAGATTGAGTACGAATTATAATTAAGCAAAACATTTGCCTGGTAGATCTCAATTAGGAACGAAGAAAGCTTTCAAAGATTCTTTAAAAACCTTCTCTTTCCTCCATTCCCATCGTACCCAAGAGTGTCAGAGGCCAGGAAAATTTGCAATTATATTTATCTAAATATGAATTAGTATACATACATGTATATTATTTTTTACCCATTGATGATTTATTATAATATACCAAAATTAGTTGAAATTGGTATAGCTGTTCTGGAGTAGAAACAGAAAATATTAAACAGTAGAGTTTACGCTTTAGGACGGAATACTGTAGATTCCTAAATATAGCAGGGATTTAATTATCGCGTAATTTCGCGAGAAGCACCACTCGCGAAATAGAATTACTCGCTTTTATTTTTATGGTGCTGAAATCAATATAAAATCTCTTGATCATCCGTCCACATGCGAATTATTGTTCTCTTGACGTTAAAGAGCCATTTTGCAATAATAAGTACTCGCGAAAAATAAGGAATCTACAGTAATGGAAACAGCATGAGGCACCTGAAAACCTCAGGCGACTTTTTCTGTCGTTGTTGAACACACAGAGCTTAAAGCGACTTTTTATGTTTTATAGAAAATACAGATATTTTCTCTCTCCTTTTGTTGTGATTTCAATGGTTAAATGATATTTCTACAATGAAAAAATAATAAATTGAAATTGTCAAAAATTCAATAGAAGGCATTAAAAACCTTTTCTTTACTATTTTCACATCAATATTAGATGTAAAGTGAAACATTTCATCAGTAAACATCAATAATGCTATTGTAGAAAAAAAATCATATAATCCGCTTATTAGTCCCCTACCCGGTGAAACCGGAGGGGACTATAGGTTTCCTCTGAGTCTGTCCGTCCGTCTGTCTGTCTGTCTGTCGGTCTATCCGTCTGTCTGTCCCTCTGTCTGTCCCACTTGGTTTTCCGCACTTTTTCCCTAAACGCTTGCAGATATTGAGCTGATTTTTGGTATGTGAGTGTATCTTGATGAGTTACAGATCAAGTTTGCATTTCGTTCCGCTTCATTGATTTTTGACGGAATTACGGCCTTTTCAATTTTTAAGGGTTTTCCGCAATTTTCTTCTGAACGATTTCAGATATTGAGCTGATTTTTGGTATATGACTTTACCTTGATTAGCTATAAATCAAGTTTGCATGTCGTCCCGCTTCATTGATTTTTGACGGAATTATGGCATTTTCAATTGTTAACGGGAACCAGATTACACTTGCCGGTAGGGGACTAGTATTGCTAATGCAATACTCTCAGAATGCTTGTTTTATTTTATTTTTTTCAAAATATTTTTTGGTCATAAAATTATTATTGAAATAAAAAAATTAAAATTTTCTAATGTCTGAAGAAATAGTTTTCCATAACGTTAAAATTTGGAAATGTTTATAAACCACTATGAAATGAAGATAAGCAAATTTGCTTTCATTTCTTGTTTGAAAATCTTTCTCACGAAAAAAAAAAAATTTCCATAGAAAACTCCTTTAAAATGAATGTCTGTCGTGTTATAAAATTATGTTTGGTTGTATATGTACAATATTTCGTAAATAGGAATATTTATATTAACACACATTTTGTAAAATATCAAATCAGTCACTTTGAAATCAAAATGGTTAGGGGCGTACTTCCTTAACAGCTGCGATGCATTACTGCATATTCTGCTTGATAATACATGTGTAGCTTCCTTTTCTATAATGGCTGTCCTGTGGTGGATGTGGTTTATTTTGATCAGTGGATTTGTTGACTGTTACGGTATGTCCATCTTTTAACATTTCCATCTGTACATTTTACATGCTTATTTTATCTTTGTGTCTTACATAAATACAATTTCTTAAAATATTTATTGAGTATTTATCCCCGTTTCTTTATATAGAAAAAGTCATTTCTTTTTACTCCCATATGACCCCCAGAGTGAAAAAGAAAATTTGGAAAAATTATTGTAAATCTACAGGACACCACCAATCGTCTTCCTAAAGACAATAAGGCTACTAAGTAAAATGTGAGGGGAGTTCTGGGAAGCAGGGTTTTTTTATATGGAAAAATGTCATTTTCGACCCCCATTTGACCCCCAGGATGAAAATGAAAACTCGGAAAACTGATTGCAAATCAATAGGACACCCTCAATCATCTTCCAAAAGATGATTAGGTTAATAAGTGAAGTGTAAGAGGAGTTCTGGGAAACAGTTTTTTGTACGAAAAACCTCGGTTTTCGACCCCCATTTGACCCTCATGGTGAAAATGAAAATTCCGAAACTTATTGCACATCTACAGCTAGGACACACCAATCATCTTCCAAAAGATGATTAGGCTACTGTATAAAATGTAAGAGCAGTTCTAGAAACCAAGGTTTTTGGGTATCTAAAACATTTGGTCATTTTTTTTTACTCCCATTTGACCCCTAGTTTGAAAATGAAATTTCTGAAACCTTATTTTACATTTACAATACACCACCAATCATCTTCCAAAAGATGATTAGGCTACTGCATAAAATGCAGTAAAATCTCGGAACCAGGTTTTTTGGGGTATCAAAAACGTCATTTTTCGAACCCCCAGTCATTTTACCCACGGGTGTAAATATAAATCCCGAAGCCTTATTGCCCATCTATAGGACACCACCAATCATCTTCCAAATTTAGGAGGAGTTCTGGGAACCAGGTATTTGTAGAAAAATGTCATTTTTTGACCAACATTTTGCTTCAGGGCAAAATTGAAAATTCTTAAACCTTATTGCATACCACCTATTATATTCCCAAAGATTAATTGGTTACTGCTTAATATAAAAGGGGAGTTTGAGGAGGAAAGAGTGTCAGACGGACGGACGGACCAGGGTAACAACAATATACCTGCACTTTCTTTAGAAAGTACGGGAATAAAAATATTTCGCAGATGAGCTGTCTATGAGGGGTGTCTATATGTCCCTACTGCCTGTGTGTTCGGTGTAAATATAGTAAAAATATAGTAAAAAGAATTAAGTAAACATTTTTAAAATGTCTTTTGGGGTTGTCTGAAAACCAGATTGATACATGCGAATCATTTTGCATGGCAAATCAAGAAAATATCTGGATACTGTATGAACCAATATTGTTCAGGGCATTGCCCTTTGCATATGTTTAAATATACATTATATAATGAAAACTATTTTCCATTTGGGTTAACGCAGGATTTTTTCTAATAAGTTCTCAACTTCTGTATGTAGAATACAATTGTGGACAAACAGACATGTATTTGTCAGGTCATAGCTTTTATATTTAATTTGATTACACATTACTCCGTAAACCTGATCAACACACAGGGGAAGCTCACTCCTCCTAGGCACCTGATCTCGCCTTTGGTGTTTCCAGGGATTAGTGTTTTTCCCTATTCAGATTTGTTGTATTTTCTGGATTTATGAAATTGATCACTGTTCATTATCTTTACATTTTACATTCTATTTGATTTTCACATTTTATAATGAATACTACTGTAGCATCACAGTCTTACCTTCTATGGACTTTTTGAGGCACATGCATTGAACTATAATACTTAGTCTAGTATGCAAACAAATAAAATATTTACCTCATTTAACTTTTATTCATAAAATTAATGTTGTTTCTGCAGGCGAAACATGCGTTCCTTGCAACTGTCTAGTTTTTATTCAGCGATATGCTCTGTCATAATCTTTAAAAGGACCAATAAAATATAGTGTATGTTAGGAAGTAATTAGATTGATTGATTGATTGCATGTTGTTTTACGTCCCATTCGAGAACTTTTCACTCATATAGAGACGTCACTGTATGCCGGAGAAGGGCTTCAAATTTAGACCTAAATCGGCACTAAGGTCCATTGAGCAGTGAGGGTTCTTTATCGTGCCAACGCCTACCATGACACGGGGCCCACGTTTTTAAGGTCATATCCGAAAGACCTGTGACTTTCACTTCTAATTCCGGGTGCTTGGCGAAGGAACAGTCAATACCTCGTTTACGTCTTAGGTTTCAAGCGGCGCGGCGAACGAGAATCGAACCCAGACCTTCCGATCACGAAGCGAACGCCCTACCACTAGGCTACCATGACCGGTGGGATGTAATGGAAAAGCAACTGGCTAATCATATTTAAACACACTTCATTATAACTTAATCAGTAAACCAAATTAAAAAGATAATCTCTAAATAAATTTTAAGGATCTCAATTTATATCTGTCTCGTCCACAGAGAACTTGAGTAGAAAACCAACAACGAATGTATCCCAGAATTCCATGTATTTGCAGAGAAAAGCAACATACGCAAATGACGGTAACCTGAATACAACACTTGATTATTGCGCCCATACTGCTGTCAACCAGTCTAAGGCTTGGTTCCAAGTTGATCTAGGAAAACCTCACAAAATAAACAACATTAAGATATACTATAGAAGAGAAGGTATGGAAAAATTCATGCAAGATCTAAAGTAGTTTATTCAAACAGATAATATTACTTTTTCTAAGAATCAAATATACATGTAATTCAAAATTGTTTGAAATGTCACAAATTGACATTCGATTTATTATATTCATATTTTCTCCGCATTTAAAAATTATCATGATCAAATGAATAATATTTATGTATTTCTACATTAACAAGGTGTACACACGCGTAACACAGTAGGAAAATAAGAAAGTAATTTAATAATAAGAAAATAATTTCATGTCTTAGGAGATGGAGATAAAGATTGGAAACAATATAGATTTAGAAACTTTTATTTGGATGTCTCTGACTCCCCTGCTAGTGAGACTATCACGACGCAAAGGACTCGATGCTATACAGACATTAGCATAGGATCAGCCTTACCTAATAATATTATCGATATTCCCTGTGAACATAGAGCCAGATACATCATCGTGGAATCTACATATAAAGCTCCAGAAGATACAAAATCCACGGGGCCCATTCTGGAAATCTGTGAGATAGAAGTTTATGGTGGTAAATGATCTTTTAACGATTTTTGAATGGGAATGCTTCTGTATTGTGAATTTTATATATATAGCAATCAAGTTTTCATTTGTTAACTAGGCCCTTTGCTTTGTTGTCTGGTGTTTGTTTTTTATATTATTTTTTGTTTAGTTGTAATAATTTTTGTCAGGAATCGGTGCATGATTGCATGATTGTCATTTCAAATATACTAATAGTATGAGGATAATGTTTAATTATTTATAGTTTTAAATAAAATTTTATGCATACTTAAATTTTGCAACACACATTCTAAATCAATCGTATCTTTATTGACTGTTCAGTGCTCATCTACATTAACATTATATGTATATACCTCGTTCTCAACGGCTGACCCTATAATCTCCTAGCTTTTGCAAACCTTTCTTGCTTGTTGGTGTAAATCCAAACTTTGTTTTAGCTCGAACCCTTAAAGTCAGGCTTAGCAAATGACGCCACCCAATGTATTCATTTGTTTGCTTTACATTCCTTCGAATATCACTCATGTTGGGACGCCATCAATTGAACACTGCTGAAGACCTGTACTCGGCACTTATGGCCATTTAGCTGTAAAGGATCGTAATCGTGCCAGCATTTACTGCAACGCAGGTCCTCGGTTAATTCCGTCTCATCCGAAGAATACTCCCCACACGTAGCGCGATGGCTTTCAAATCCGCGACCTAAGGATCAACTTCATTTTTTCCGACTCTAAAATGAAACTAGACCACTGCCTGGCGCAGTGGTTTGAGCGACGTACAGATTTTCTGAAAAGAAAAGAACAGAATACACAATTTCAACTTGATGGATATTGAATAAATGTATCACTTATAAATCTGTTAAGTATTATATACAGGATCAGTTAAAAATGATAAAATATAAGCAATTGGGTTCGGGGTTATGTACATGTATTTGAGTGCAAATGGCACAGATCTTCAGACCTCATTTTTAAACAGTGTTTGGTATTTTACTTCATTTTGAAAAAATGAAGATTTTTTTGAAGGATACATGATTTCAAGTTAAATGTGGGATAATTACATGTTATAAAAGAGTGATGCAAAGTGATCTTAATAATTCTAAATTTCTGTCCAAAAAAAAACATGTTCACTTCATCACAATTATATCAATTATGAGGTTTTAGAGACTTTTCGAGGGAATATGTAAATTTAAATGACATAAAGAATAAACCGGCAAGATTAATAACGTAATAAGAATATATATAAGAAAAAAATAATAAAAGAAACAGAAATGTTTTGTTATTATAGATCTCCTTAACCTATACTACGATGGCCGATAGCGGCCGACAATTTACACTAATGTTATGTGTGTAACATGTACAGCATTTTCACTGAAAACTCACTGACACATTACACCTAAAAGGAAAAGTGTACAAAGTGTACAGCGTCAAAGCAAATTCCGTGTACACTCTACACCAAAGTTATGTGTGTAAAGTGTCAGAAAAACTTTCATGTACACTCTACATCTAAAGGTGAAATCAAGATTCAAAACAGAACCAGACGTGTTTCTTTGTGTTGCTCCCACAAGGTACCTCTTGAAGTTCACATAGATCTGGCAACAACATTCAAAAAAAAAAAATTCAAGATACTAAAAAATCAAATTTTGACTTAATTCTATTCTCATTTTATGGTTTTGGGGCCTGAGGAAATGCTGGCAAATTAAGTTCTTTGGTAAATAATCAGTAAAGAGCAAAATTAGTATTTTATGAAAGGTTTAAAAGGGTCATCAATTAAATTACAGGTACTTAATCAGATCATGATAATAACTATCGAAAATGCTATTTAGGACACAGCTTGGAAAACGGATCAGTCTGCCAGTAGGAGAGGTACATCAGCATTCAAATTTTCCAGTCAAAAAATGGAAAGTGATAATTATCACATAAAATGATTGTGAATATTACTGCTAAGTAAAAGAAAATGATTCACTTTATATATTTTGAATAACCTTTCATCCATATTTACTAGAAACAAGATTTTTCACTTCCAGAACTATGTGAACTGTTTGATATCTTCTACTGGACAGACGCATTTATTTAGCCATTTCCTTATAGCGAAAATATAAATAAAAATTACTTCAGGTTTATGTGAACATCAAGAGGCACTTTGAGGGAGCAGCACGATAAAGAAACATTGGATCTGTTTTGAATCTTGATATCACCTTTAGGTGTAGAGTGTACATGAAAGTTTTTCTGACACTTTACACACATAACTTTGGTGTAGAGTGTACATGGAATTTGCTTTGACACTGTACACTTCGTACACTTTTCCTTTTAGGTGTAATGTGTCAGTGAGTTTTCAGTGAAAATGCTGTACATGTTACACATAACATTAGTGTAAATTGACGGCCGCTATCGGCCATCGTACTATACACATTAACGAATCTGTACACAGACGGATGTAAGATATTGAATATCTACAGTGACAGTATTATCTTGAATATGACAGTAGCTTTCTACGAACAAACATGCATTGACAATAAAATCCGGAAAAACTTCCTGAGTTTTTTCACTTCAATTTTGTAAAAAGTATATTGTTTCAAATATCATGCTTCATCTCGAATGGATAGACTGACGAGCTTTGCTAACTTTAAAGTAAAGCTGCAATAGTGGACCAAAGGTTTGTAGATAAGCCCCCTGATTAAAAGTTGCTGAGACGTGTGTGTGAGAGGGTCAATGTGTGTATATACAGTTAAACCTCGTTATCTCGAACTCAATGGGACCAAGAAAAAACTTCGATATGTCTGAGGATTCGAGAAATCAAGGGAAATTACTTAAAGAATAAGCGGTTTGGACTTCCAAATCACTTCGACATATATACCGTAGATATCAGAGTTCGAGATACCGAAATACAACTGCAACGAATCCCCTAAATTCGTCTGCTTTTGCGACCCTTTGCATGCCTGAGCACGGGACACTTATTTTTTCTAATATTTTAGACACTGTTTTTGGATTGTTTCGTAGTCCTTCCCGTTTGACTTTTCTTGATCCCTGATAGATTAGAAATAAAAATCTATCACAATGAACTAGGCTATCTGAGAATTTGAAAAAAAGGAGATATACAGGGCAAAAAAATATCACCAGTACACATTGAATCTGTGATGTCTTGTGATTATGAATGATGCTTAATTTAGCTTTTTTTCAAAGATATATTTTAACTAGAATAAGTGCGTGGTTTTTTCCTATCAAGTGTTAAATAACCTAAATCATTTTCAGTATTTCATTTAATTAATTGGAAATATTAACAGAACATATAATTCTGCTACAGTGTGCACAAGCGCCTTTTGTACCGCGTCATGAAAAAACATATTTAGACTGGTCATATATACTTGTGCCTAATAGCGAAGAAAGGAAAATATATGCTCTAATAGTGCTGAGAGCTGTACATCACGACTATGCAAATGGTCACTCCAAGAAATCATAATTAGAATCCCAAACCTGTCCGCGAACTTTCCTTTGCGAATACTCTATATAGACTCCAAGACTGAAAGAGTCTGAAAGGATCAAAGTATCAACTTTGATCCCTTTTATCCCCGGGATAGATCTTTAAACCTGCAGTATACTTTGAATCAACTTGAAGAGCCCATGAAGATCTTTTCAAGCATCGGTATAGTTATTGTTTCTCAAAACTTGTCATCATTAAAAAATATTGTTCTTCATCTACCACCCTTGCACCTCATAGAGATGCATATTTTTCCATTATAAATGCTAAGTAAAGTTCAGTCATTAGTTTTAAATAATGAGTTGAAAATTTGATTTTATTTTCTATGTGAGCTTTTGAGTCTATTAATGAGTTTAGTAATTAAACAATGAAACTTGAAAGAAATGAACTTAATGAATTATTTAAAAATAATGGTTTACTGATTACTTTGTGTTCATATACGATTTTGTAAAATTATATAGGGTAAATACACCTCTGGCTGATGAGGTCCCCGGGGGAACAGCTGAGGAAGTCCCAGTGAATTCATAAAGTTTATCCTCAAAATACGGAAATGAAAAGAAAAATCCGGTGTTCAGATATGGAAATGTTATGTGCATACGGGTTTGTTTTTATTTTTGTGTTCTTTATTTCCTTTCAGTTATTAAATGATGTAAAAGTAACATAGAAATACGTAAGATAGCATTTAAGAAATGATTAACGTTTTTCAGTGAACTTGGTGTTATGAACAACATTAGCTCTGCAGATATAATCCATGACGTCTGTTAGGACGTCAAGGTAAATATGCCTGCAAAGCTTAAGATGTTCATAACAACATGCTGAGTTCACTGAAACAACGTAAACGTTGTTTATTTTTAATATTTGCATTTTGTGATGTTCTCAAGATTGTCAGAGGAAAACTTGCAATGTGCATACCATTTGCTTCTTAATGCCCATTATCTGGCTGCAAACCGCGCTGTCTTTGTTTTCTCCTAAATTTTTGTTTTGATGCAGTTGTGACGTCATCGTTTAAAGTATTTAATTTAAATGATATTTCATTTACAGATGTAAAAGTGAATAGGATTAGACGGCAGGCTCAGCCTATTTTAGCCCTCTCCCTACATCAAGGTTTCATTTAAAGGATTGAATCTCTGTGAAAAAAAATATTATTATGAAAATGAGAAGGCTTTCATATTGATTTTATGATAAGAGTGTTTATTTTAAATCATTTAACGAGCTCAAATCAATCTTGAAGTAGATAACTTTACGGAAATTTCGCTTTGTCTGAATTCAAGTGTGAAGAGTTATTGTTCTTGTTATTGTTATATGCATAAAAATGTACAGATAAATCCAAAGATAAAGCAGCTCTAATTTCACAGGATGAACCTGCTCCATTCAGTCAACTGAATGTTCACTGAAAGGTCTGAAAAGGTGACTGAATGGCAGAGCTCTGCAAATCAGTCACCTTTCAGTAGACTTTAAGTCATCTTTCAGTTTACTGAATGGCAGAATTTTATCCTGTGTTTAGAGAAATTTTTTTTATACTATCAAATACATTGATCCAAATTAATTTA